CTGTATCACTGGCTGACCCCTCTGGGGGCCCAGTGCTTGCACGGTCTTCCATTGTGCTTCCGTGTCCGGCGGTCCCGTCTGGTGAGCTGTCTGGTCTCCACCTCCCCTCATTCTCAACGAACTTGGTGAGCAACGCTGTCCTCCAGGATGCGGGTGTTGACACCTTCACCCCTGGCCGATAGCGTGTGGCGATCTGCACGTGCTCCCAGACCGGCCGCCACCTGGCCACGTTCACCCGTGCGCCAGGGTCCAGTCTGTACACCCTCACCATTGAGCCACGCTCCATCCCTTTGTCTCCCCAGCTGCACGCGTCTGCTCAGGTAGCTACCCAGTGTGAGTGTCGCCGCCTGTCGCACGACACTCTCCTGTGGCACCACCGCCTGGGCCACCCCTCCCTGCCTCGCCTTCGCAGCATGCACTCTCGCTACTTGGTCTCTGGACTTCCCAGGTCTCTGCCTGCCCTCCCTCCCTCGCCTGCGCCGCCCTGCATTCCTTGCGTCGAGGGGCGGCAGCGCGCTGCTCCTCACTCCTCCTCGTTTCCTCCCACAGAGGCTCCCCTGCAGACTCTCCACATGGACGTGTGGGGCCCAGCCCGCGTCCGTGGACAGGGCCACAAGCGGTACTTCCTGCTGGTCGTCGACGACTACACGCGCTACACCACGGTCTTCCCCTTGCAACGCAAGGGGGATGTCCCTGATGTTTTGATCCCCTGGATCCGCGCTGTTCGTCTCCAGCTCCGCGAGCGGTTCCAGTCGGAATTTCCTGTCCTGCGTCTGCACTCTGACAGAGGTGGTGAGTTCTCCTCTGACCTCTTGGCAGCCTACTGTGCGGAGCACGGCATCCGCCAGTCGTTCACGCTTCCGGCCTCTCCGCAGCAGAATGGGGTTGCTGAGCGCCGCATTGGCTTAGTCATGGAGGTCGCTCGTACCTCCATGATCCATGCGGCCGCCCCCCATTTTCTGTGGCCGTTTACGGTCCGGTACGCCGCGCATCAGCTCAACCTCTGGCCCCGTGTCTCCTTGCCGGAGACCTCGCCCACACTGCTGTGGACGGGGAAGGTTGGCGATGCGTCGCGTTTCCGGGTCTGGGGTGCTCGTGCCTTTGTCCGCGATACCACCGCGGACAAGCTCTCCGCTCGTGCCATTCCCTGTGTCTTCCTTGGCTTTGTCCCTAACGCTTCTGGCTGGCAGTTTTACGACCCCGCCTCGCGCCGTGTCTTTCCGTCTCAGGACGTTACCTTTGACGAGTCCGTCCCCTTTTACCGTCTCTTTCCCTACCGCACTGCCCCTCGCCCCCCCCCCGCCGCTCTTTCTCGCCCCAGGTCCTCCCCAGGTAGACCCCCTCCCCGCACCAGGTCCTGCTCCTTCAGGTGTTTCTCAGGTAGACCCTCCCGTGCCTGCGCCTGTTGAGGTCACTGGTGACTCAGGTCCTGCTGGGGGTGGTGCTGTCTTTGGGGGTGCTGGGCCTGGGGGTGCGGAGCTTGGGGGTACTGAGCCTGGGGGTGCGGAGCCTGGGGGTGCTAAGCCTGGGGGTGCGGAGCCTGCGCGTGAGGACCCAGGAGATGCTGAGCCGGGGGGTGCGGAGTCTGGGGGCGCTGAGCCTGAGCGTGAGGAGACTGGAGGTCCTGAGCCAGGGGGTGTTGTGTCTGGAGGTGCTGAGCCTGAGTGTGAGGAGCCTGGGGGTACTGAGTCTGGGGGTGCGACGCCTGAGGGTTCTGAGTCTGCTGCTGCGCGGTCTCCTTGGAGTAGCCGCCTTCGTCCGCGTGTGCCTCTCACCTCACAGCAGCTGCACGACTGGTACGGTCGCCGTCAGGGTCGCGCTTCTGGAGCTCGGGGCTCTGCCGCTGGAGGTACTTCTGCTGACGTCACTGGAGCTGGGAGTGGTGCTGGTCCCGGAGGTGCTCGTACTGGAGATACTGGAGCTGCTGGGGCTGGAGGTGCTGCTGAGCCTGAGGGTGCTACTGCTGGAGACCCTGGGTCTGGGGGTGCTGCTGCTGGGGACGCGGAGGCTGGAGACCCTGGGACTTGAGGTGCCGGTTCTGGGGGTGCTGCTGAGGGTGCTGGAGGCGCTGGAGGTGCTGGAGCTGCTGGAGGTGCTGGAGCTGCTAAGGGTGCTGGAGCTGCTGGTGCTGGTGGCACTGCACAGCCGCGCCTGTTCTTTGCTCCACCGTCTCCGTCGTCTCTGCCACCGCCTGACTCCGTACTTCGCCAGGTTCTTAGCCTCCCGTCGTCTACTGGTCTTCCGTTACAGCCTGGCTCACCTCTGCCTGCTCCTTCTCCTTACGCTGAGCAGACAGGGGGCCTTGCTGAGCGTCGTGAGCCTGCGTCGCGTCCTGTCTCACCTGTCCGTTCTGGTCGTTCCAGTCGTCGTGTTCCTCGTCAGCGTCCGCCGGCTGTCCCCGGCCCTTCCCTTGTAGTCCGTCGTCCTTCCTCTTCTCCGCAGCGTGTTCCTCTGCCGTCTCCTCCTGCGTCTTCTCTGCCTGTTGTTCCGGACCCTGACTCTGACCGGTTTCGTGCTGAGCACCCTACTGTCACGCGTCTGCTAGCCACTGTTGTCACTGACCCGTCGTTTGAGTCGTCTGCTGCGTCTGCCTTTGTCGCTGAGCTTGTTGACTTTGCTGCTGCCTGTCGTCTAGACTACACTGCTCGTCTTGTTGCTGAGTCTGAGTCTGTCTGTCCTCCGTCCGTCGGGGGTGAGTGTGCTCTTGGCACGGACGTCCTTGAGGACAGGCAGGAGGACCTTGAGTGTCTTGCCGCCACTGCGCCTCATCTCGTGGCCATGCTGCTTGCCCCTGAGGGAGACCCGGATGCACCAGACATCCCGACCCCGCGCTCTTACGCTGAGGCGATCGCGGGTCAGTACTCCTCTCAGTGGCAGACAGCCATGGACGCAGAGATGGCATCCTGGAAGTCCACAGGCACTTACGTCGACAAGGTTCCCCCACCTTGGGCGAACATAGTCAGTGGCATGTGGATTTTCAGGGTGAAGCGGCCGCCGGGTTCTCCGCCTGTCTTCAAGGCGCGTTATAATGCACGAGGTTTCAGTCAGCGAGAGGGAGTAGACTTCTTCCAGACCTTTTCCCCCACCCCGAAGATGACCACTCTTCGGGTGCTGCTGCACGTTGCCGCTCACCGTGACTACGAGCTTCACTCTCTTGACTTCAGTACAGCCTTCTTACAGGGCAGTCTGCACGAGGAGATCTGGCTGCGCCGCCCATCCGGCTTCACTGGGTCGTTCCCTCATGGAACCCATTGGAGCCTCAGGCAGCCGGTCTACGGTCTCCGCCAGGCGCCACGTGAGTGGCACGACACACTGAGGACGACACTTGCGGCTCTTGGGTTTGCTCCGTCGATTGCTGACCCGTCGCTGTTTCTGCGCACCGACACTTCGCTGCCGCCGTTCTACATCCTCGTGTACGTCGACGACTTGGTCTTTGCCACTGCTGACAGTGAGGCTCTCGCCCTGGTGAAGTCGGAGCTGCAGAAGAGACACACGTGCATAGACCTGGGTGAGCTGACAAGCTATCTTGGCTTGCGGATCACCCGGGACAGAGCACGCCGCACCATCACACTGACTCAGTCACACATGGTGCAGCAGGTCCTTCAGCGCTTCGGCTTCACCTGGTCCTCGGCACAGGCCACTCCTCTGGCTACAGGTCACTCGCTCTTAGCTCCACCTTCGGACGAGTCCGTAGAGCCGAGTGGTCCTTACCCATAGCTAGTCGGCTGCCTCATGTATCTGATGACCTGCACTCGTCCAGACCTTGCGTACCCTCTTGGCCTTCTGGCTCGCTACGTGGCTCCTGGTCGGCACCGAAAGGTACACATGGATGCTGCTAAGAGGGTACTACGCTACTTGTGCAGTACATCGGGCATGGGGCTCGTGCTTGGAGGACGGAGCGACGTTGTCCTTACTGGGCACTCAGACGGTTCTTGGGTTGACGACCAGGCTACGCAGCGGTCGTCACAGGGTTACACCTTCAGCCTTGGTTCTGGTTCAGTTTCCTGGCGTTCTACACGCTCGTCTTTAGTTCTCGGCTCCAGTTGTGAGGCCGAGATCTACGCCACGGCTATGGCGGCACAGGAGCTACGCTGGCTCACCTACCTGCTGACCGACTTGGGAGAGCGGCCTCGTTCTCCTCCAGTGCTGTACGTTGACAACAAGGCCGCCTTTGCCTTGTGTCAGGAGCACAGACTGGAGCACAGAACGAAGCACATCGCTCTGCGTTACTTCCTTGCTCGAGAGCTGCAGCAGCGTGGCCAGCTTCGTCTTGCTTACGTGGCCACTCGGGCCAACACTGCTGATATATTTACCAAGGCACTTCCGCCTGGTGATCATCAGCGTTTCTGCACTTTGTTAGGCCTTGTGCCCACGTTTCCTCACTTGCTGTAGGCTTTGATTGTACTGTGATTTATATGTATACCTGCATGCTTGCTCTTGTAGATAGAGATCACTGTGCTGTTGCTGTTACATATATATCTCTGCATGTGAACTGGCCTTGTGGCCTGTTGCTTGTGCTCAGACTGCGTGGTGACGTTGTGATCCACCCTGAGCTTGCTTTGCACTTCCCAACTGGTCTTGTGACCCTCTGTTCTCCCCCACTTTGCCTATGGGGGTGTGTCAAACATATACGGTAGTTATATGTTGTAGTTTGGGTAGGCTTCTAGTGGTGTACTCACTGTGCGGTACAACCCCTTAGGTTATATTGTTTGTACCAAACTCTCAATACTCATCGATTACCTTGCCTAAGTCTTGACAGAGCTTGCTCGACAGCCATGCCCGCTCTCTCGTCTTCCCACCTGGCTAGGCTCGTTAGAGCTTTACCGATGACAACTAGTCCGTCTCTGTTCGATTCGAACACGAGTCATGTCAGGGCCCAGATAACAAACCTTCCCGTTTATAGGTGTCCCAATAGTAGCTAAACAAACTTTGCCGGTGAGCTGGTAAAAAAAACCTACACTATCATTTCCAACGAATTTACTCCTCTCAACGGACCATCATTATCCAAAGGCAGCATCTCCAACACCAGCATCATTAGCTGCTCTAGCTAAACAAGTAGAATCCGCCGCTGACCCCTTGGTCAACACAATTGCGCCCATCCTGCGCATCCCTGCATACCTCTCTGATACACAACTCTCAGGGCTGTCTACCCTAAAATCCACTCACAAACTAAAAAAGGTTTCCCTCTGCTTGTCAAGCCGTGGCATGGAGTCAAGTCAGAGTACTTGAAGGAATTGCATGATCTGATCATCCACACAGGTCGCCTTGTTCATCATGTGTGTGGGATGATTTGGCCTCAACTGCACCACGGGCTCATTACCCCGGTTCTCCCCCTTCCCCTCCCACCAAAACGACCGGTCAACAATGCAGTAGAATGTCAGCGACGAGAAATCACTGCGCAGAGAAGCCAGCGTCTCGGGCTGCCACTGTCGGGTTGCAAAGAAAATGGATTCCAGCTTTGGAGCATTTATAACGGGAGGGCGAATGCCTTCATGCCCGCTGCTGCTGCTGCTGCTCCCACCTTCTGGGCTAAAGATCCCCATCCAGTAATCAAGAGACCCATCATCTTCCACTGTGATCATGAATTTGAACCCGATGCCCGTGCCGTTTGCACCAATGGCAAGGCAGCGCAGGCAGCTCCATTCCGCGCACACCTCCTCTAGAGGCGAGCCATGCCTCACAACAAGCGTCTCCACTGTTGGCGCTATGCTGCTCAGTAGCTGCGTCAATGAAAGCTGAGAGGCGGTCAGCGAGCGTTGAGAGATGGAAGGGACGTTGTAAAGCTCATCCAATGGCGCGCTGGGCTCCACGAGGCTGGTTGGTCCGTTCAGATAGACATTCTTAGCAGAAGCTAGTGGGAGCGACGACACGACAAGGTGTCTGCGAGCAATCAGGGTAAGAGAGTCGAGAGAAAGTGGGTTGTCGGAGTTGCACTCGACATTTAGCTCCAATGCTGAGACCAAAAATGCCTTCAAGGAGGGCGTGAGGGAGAAGCAAACATCCAGCTCCTGCTCCTCAAATCTGACTGTGATAACTCGGGCAGAAAGAAACTCGAGCTTGAGGCTGCAGAAGTGACGGAAGGAGGAGGAGGAGAGAGAGAACTCATGAAGCTGCGGTGTGATTGAAGCCAGAAATCCTAGATTACAGCGCTTGCTGTCTGAGTGCTCGATGGTAAGACTCCTCAGTGCCTTGAACCACGCTGCATTCACACTGCCTAGTTCCCAGTTTCCAAGACCGAGCTTCAGCTGCTGCAGCTGCCCAAATCCCTCGAGAAAAGCGGAATCGGTTCGCGGGTGGGGTTTCATTACATATGGGAAAGACCTATTGACCCTCACGCACAAGCTTGTGAGGGATTGAGCAGAGGATGCCAAAAGTCGGCCCAAGCCATGAGGATTCTCTGGGCTGCTGAAAACAAGGACAAGGCACTTGTGACCTGGCTGTTGAAGGAACCACGAGAGCACTCCCCTCCACTGGGGTTCATCTTTTTTTAACACGAGGGAGAAAGGCTCCAGATCCTGCACACACAAAGAAGTGAAGACTCGTTGTTTTAAGATATGTTGCTTAAAGAGTATTAACTTTTGGGCGAGAATATGTATTCCTGCTGAACGGTGTAGACATCAATGCGCCCACATAGGGGCCTGAATGGTGCAGGCATGACAGAAGTGCATAAGGCGGGGAGCAGTGCATGACCCGCAGACAAGGAGGTGACACGGTGGTAAAGAAGCAGATGGCTGGAAGGGGAAAGGGGGAAGCACATGATGATGACTCACGGAGAGGGACATGACATGGTGGAGGAGCCTCTTGCTGGCCATGGCACAGCGCAGTAGAGGCCAGGAGGGGCCGAAGCGTCGTGCGTACTCCTTGTGCTTCTCGCGCTCGGAAAGTTGACTGGTGCTCAACCATGAACAGCTGCCTGCTCCTTCTAACGGATCAGCCCGTTGGTGCAGACCGATCAGCTCACACAACCTGCTGTCTGCTGCTCCCCGAGATGACAATTCCTCATCAGAGTCGTCCTGCTTTTGCTCTTGAGCGGAATCAGTGGGTGGCGGCAGCAGGTGGCGGAAGATGATATGCCAGATGGGGCCGGGCAGCAGATCAACCACGTCTAGACTCTGGTGGGTGGGGAGAGAAGGCTAAAGCGAGGGAGAAAGCAAAAGCGAGGGAGTTGGAGAGCACTATGGGATGATGCGCAGGGAAACCAGACAATCAGATGCACCGTCTGCGGCATCACGCTCACCTGGTGAGAATCTTCAGCAGCTGCGGGCTGTGAGAGATCGAAAGCAGCCATGCTCGCTTCTAGCACTGGACACTCATGGTTAGTAGCCATAGGCGAAGTGACAACTACGGAATTCGAAGTTGGTGCAGGTTTACACAAGGTTGCAACGACTCATCGGCCGTTCGAGTACAATGGGACACAAGAAAGCGAAACATAGAATAACTTTGAATGACCGAGCCGTTCGCGAATAACTATGATTGACTCCCGTAGGAGCTATGGGGCTATTGGCGAGCAAAGAAGAGTCCGCATGGCATTCAATTCGCTGACCTGAATCTCTGATACTCGAAGTCACCCGGCCGTATCACTACACCGCTCGTCCCGTACTCGCCAAGCTTGGAACCCCAGCCTCACTGGCCAGGCTCGGGCACCACGAGGTACACCTGTCGCCGCCATGGCGGTGCCAGTAAACAGCGGCGCGACGGGCTGACCGAGTCCGCACGGCACGACGTAATGACGACGAGGGTAGTCCCTGATAGTATTCCGCGGTGTGCCTTTGAGTGAATTTCATTTAGGTTGGAGCAACGGATACGAGTCGTCGATTCTATCAAATCTGAATGCATCGGAACAACGAACGGCGATAAGCATGCTGCTGCGTTAGCTCCCATAGCTGGCGGTGGGTTCTCAGACGTCAGGTGACCGACCAGCTACAGCAACAACTGTCTCATTGGATAGACAATTTCAGAGCAGCTTTGAGGCTCCTCGGAAAATTCTTTAAAATTGGCATCGGCAACTGTCTCACGCTTCGGTCATCCAATCCGCTAGCAGCTATACACGCGTCGACATGCTAGCAGTGCACACGACCTTCCTTCCACCTTGTTGGTTCGTCTCAGTGCCTGCCGATATCTTAGCGAATCAACAATTCGAACAGTCCATGCATGCGAGGCATTTCGTTTTGTATAGCAGCCATGAATCGCGTCATCGCATCGCTGGACTCTCAATTCCGTCAAGTTGCAAAGCTTCATACACCTCTCTAAACTCGAAAGGTCTAGGTACCTCCACATAATGCTAGTTCCGTAAGGCAAACCGCGTTTACCCGTTTGAAAGTGGCTCCGATTTACGACAGACTAACACCGTCGCTGAAACGCGGCTTCACATTGTCAATGGAATCAATAACTTCGAAGATTAGCGAAATAGGTAACAGAGCACTGTGCTGTTTCGCTTATCACCAGATCCATCAGCTGGGCTCCTTGATGTAGTGAGCGGGGCTGGTCATACTCATCTGCTTTCTTTTGACTGGTGTGCAATGGTCTAGAGCAGTGAAAGCACAGAGCCGCTCCCAAACGTAGCTGACCATATCAAACCGCGTCAAACGAACTCTGAGCAAAAATAGTTTGGAGGAATTTAGTTTTTCTACGTGTAGGACAATGAGCCAGAGCTCCTCGACAGCCAGAGTCGCGAAAAGTACGCCCTAGTCTAATGACGAGTGCATATGCACGACTTTTGAGTAAAAAAATAGTAGTTACTACCAGGCGGATTGGGTGCCTATGATTGTTCGATCGCCATGGCATCGGTGCAGTGTACTGGCGATGACACGGCCGAGCTGAGGGAGCGTGAGCGACGAGAGAAGAAGAGCAATGCCGACCCAGGCAAGGAGTACTATTGTTTAGCGACGCCGCATCCCACTTTCACCGCATTGCCTTCGCGCTCCAAACGAGAACCACTTACTAGACTTCACCTTCCTGCTTAGACAACTCTCAGATGCATTCGTTGCCAGTTAGTACTCTCCCCCACCTTCTGCTACTCTGTCCGTACTTTGATAATGTCCCTTCCCGCATTTTATTCCTTCTTCCGAAAATACACGCTCTGCGCCAACCTAGCTTCTTTTCGTCCCTGCTGCCGATTTCCTTCCAAGTCCTCCTTTTCACCCTACACCACTTTTTGCATCGTCCTCTCTCCCCTCCTCTCTATCGCTCATAGTGGCAAGTGGTTTAAAAAGTTAAGTCGTTGGATAGGTAATACTAGTATCGCGTCTCCACTTTGCCACTCTCATGTTGACATTCGCACCATCGAGCTTCTTTGGTCTTGGTGATATTTTTTTGGCCTCTCCGAGAAATGCTCGAGCAAAGTACTCCACGTGCCTGAGAAGAGCACTCCACGTGCCTGAGAAGAGCACTCCATGAAACGAGGTTCTTTACATCTACCAGATTTCGTCCCTGAGTTTGTCACCCACTCTCTCTCCTCCGTTCTCCCGTCCTCATAAAGCTCGCTCCATCTCACCCATCTCACCCATCCCACCCATCCCACCCATCTCACCCATCCCACCCATCCCACCCATCTCACCCATCCCACCCATCCCACCCATCCCACCCATCTCACCCATCCCACCCATCCCACCCATCCCACCCATCCCACCCATCCCATCCGTCTTATCCATCAAATCCGCCTTAAACACACTGCTGGCTTCTCACATTCCCCCTTCACCCCTCCATCTGTCCCTTTCTCTTCTCACCCATCTCTCCTTCAAGCAGCCATCCCCCGTAATCCCCTGGACATGCTACCAGTGGATATAGCATGTATATCTGGCACCGTGTGTTCCGCTGCCTGCTGCTGCCGCCCGGATCCTCCCGCCCCGACTCCCCCCCCGTGCGCGGCGTAAGGCGCGTGACGGTAGGCGTAAGGCGCCCTGGTATCTCACCGCCACAATGCAGCCCCCAGCGGGCAGAAACATGCCCGTGAAATTTGTGGACCCTGAATTTTCAGCAGTCGGGCAGCACCGGAAGAACGTGAAAACCTATGGCAGTGGGTGGGCCCTGCTGTGCTGCGCCATGGCCAGCAAGAGAATCCGCAACCTCGTCCTCTCCTTCTCCGTGAGTATGATCCTCCGTTGCACTTGGCTTTTGGTGTGCTTCCAACAGCCCTTGCTGAGAGTGTTTTGCTCGTGGCATTGCAGTAACCGCCACATCTCCCATCCATCTAGCTTTCATATTCTCTCCTCCATTCCCACCCATCCGTCTCCGCAGGCCCAGCACCCCATCTCTCTGGTCTACAACAACCTGCACCCGCAGTGGGAGAGGAGCATCGCCTTCTTTAAATCGCGTTCCAGATCTGAATTTTGATAACTTTCCAACTCCGCACTCCTTCTCCCATCCATCTCTGCAGGCCCAGCACCCCATCTCCCTGGTATACAACAACCTACACCCGCAGTGGGAGAGGAGCGTCGCCTTCCTCCTGCGCCAGCGCGGCCTCAGGTCCCTCACCCTCACCTTCATGCACGTCATGCAGCTCGACACCATCGTATCCCAGGACGAGTGGGCCTTCGCCTCCCTCACCTCGCTCACCCTCAAGCTGCGCGGCTGTGTGGACTACTCCCAGCTCTTTGACAGGGAACACAGCGATGGGCGTGCCATGGAGCAGGGCGATGGGGGTGCTGTGGAACACGGCGATGGGCGTGCCGTGGACCAGTATCATAGGGATCTCATTGAGCAGAATCACTGGACGCAGTACTTCGGCTGCCCACGTCTGCAGCGGCTGAAGCTGGGGCGCGGCAAGTGGGTTCTCTCGGACGGGTGGGCGGGGAAGCTCAAGGCGCTGCGCAGTTTGACTCTCAAGCACATCGATTGGAGCCATGTGGATGTCAAGTATCTCGCCACGCTCACGCCACAGCTCACGGAATCCACGCTTTATGAGGGCTGGGATTTGGATAACCCGTCCGTCGGCCCTCGTGGCAGCGGCATTAACCGATTCTGTTTTGACCTCTCATCAGCTCGCGTCCTCCGGTTCTACTTCGCACAGGGCAGCCTCACGCTCTTCCTCACCCTCTCCCGCTCCCTCAAGGCCTTCTCTGCCGTGGCCAAACGGCTGGTCCTCTCCTGCAAGAGCACCGCTCCTCTCTATCTCGACCAACTCTCACTCTACGGCCAGGAGCGTCTGATCATCTCCTCCCTCCGCCTCGCATCTGCACGAGTGGCCTACCTCAACGGCCCTCCCATTGACCGCCACTCCCGCGATGATGCCTGCTCATCTCAAAGAACAGATTCTTCCTCTTGGGACACCCCTGCTCCGCCCCCTGACTGGCTAAGCTTGCACCGCCGCAGCTCCTCTGAATTCTCCTGGGTTGAATGGCTGGGTGCTATAGCACCAACAGTGGAGGTGCTTATAGTGAGGTACGGGGTGCCTGTAGAGCAGGTGGGTGCGGAGTGGAGCTGCCTGCGCAGCCTTGGGGTTGTCGTGGAAAGTGAGGAGCGGTTTGCGAGAGATCTGGATTTTGAGAGGCGGCGGGATGATGGTGAGGAGGAGGTAACAGTGGAGGAATGTCAGGAGCGCAACCAGAGGCAGAGGCGGTTGCAGCAGCACCGACGTCCACAGCAGCAGTGGCAGCAGGAGGAGCAGGAGGAGGAAGACGAAGAGGAGCAAGCAGGAAAGCTCCCTGTTATCAAGGCTCCAAACTTGAAAACGATCTTCTTCCCCACTCGCACCTGCGAGCAGCAAACTCTTGTTGCCCTACGTGAATCATGCCCCTCCCTCGCCCTGTACTGCATCGCAAGTCATTCTTTCTACTGGGAGAAGCATGGGAAGGGGTTGGCTGAAACTGAGACCCCTGTGGTGCACGTGAGGAAGGGGAGGAGCGGCGTGTCGAGCAACTGCTTTGGGGAGAGGCAGGCGAAGAATGTGAGGGAGAAGATGCACGGTGTGAATAGGGAGCTGGTTGAAGGGTACAATGTTGATAAAGATGAGGCTTATATGCTCAAGTACAAAGGCAGCCTCTGGGAGAATTACCGCTCTTACTACCTTCAGCATTCGTTTATTGGTGTGGACAAGGTCTGGGTCGACTCAAAACTCGTTGATACAGGTGAGGCTTGCATGCTGACATGCTAAGGGAGCCTCTGGGGGACTTACTACTCTTGCCACCTCTAGCATCCGTATATTCATGACACGGCATCTCAAAGTATGTTTGTTTTGAGACGTCTCAAAACACTCTGGGGGACTCGCTACTCTTGCCACCTCTAGCATCCGTTTATTCATGACACGACATCTCAAAGTAATATTATATACGAAAGTGAGTGGATATGGGTGGGATCACAACTATCCTAGCACATATCCGCCTTCCTGCCATTTTTTACGCGATCATACCCGATTCACCTCCCCCTCTCCCATCCCTCCACCCCCCTCCCCACCCCATTCCCCTTGCCTACACGTCTCGTGTTGGTTATGCGTTTCCCCTTGGATTTTCTGCTTCTCCATGCTTATTTAGAAGCTTCCATTGCTGCAGCAGCACAACATGGCCATCAGCAGCAGAGCACCATTACCACCACCAGCAGCAGCAGCAGCAGCATAGCTGTGCTGACAAGACAACTCGCTGCGAATGCAGTTTCTAGTGTCGACCTTTTGCACGAATCTGAACTGTGCTTGCTTCCTTTCCTTTCTACACAGAACTGTATAGGCGTGTGAGATATGCTGGAACACAGAAGCATTGAATGTGCCGACGATCTCGTCTTGAGTACCGTAAGAGAACACTTATATTGAAACAAATGGGAAGAGAAACAAACAAAACATTTGTACAAATCACAAATACAAGCATAAATGCCAGCCCCCATTAACTCCTCTGCTTTACTGTGCCCAGCTGGTGGAGCAGCAGCCCTGTGCCCTGGCAGCAGCAGGCAACTAACAACAGGCAGACCCACCACCAACGGCACTAGCTCAGCCACCCAACATCATCACCACCTCTGCTTCACTGTGCCTAGCTGGTGGAGCAGCAGCCCCGTGCCCTGGCAGGAGCAGACAACAAACGGCAGGCAGCCCCATCAGCAGCAGGGAGGGCGGTGGCCCAGAATGGCACCCATAGGCACTGTGCATGCACCACATCACGCCACACAGGTGCACACACCACGCCCCATGATGGCACCCATAGCCACTGTGCATGCACCACACAGGTGCACACCACACAGGTGCACACCTGCCCATGGTCACACCATCCCATGGTCTCACCATTACCTAAACTCTGAACCATATAACTTAAAGTGTAAGTGCTTGATCAGCAGCACTGCTGAACAATGCTAGAGAAGGGAACTGCCTGCGCAGAGCAACCAGAAGTAGTTCAGGTTTGAACTCGTACTCTTTGGCATGATAAAAGAAAAACTTCAGGTTCGGAGCGTTGATGAACAGGCTGCTGCTGCTGCTGCTGCTGCCGCTCCTGCTGCTGCCGCTCCTGCTGCTGCCGCTGCTGCTCTCTTCTTCCCCACCAAAGCACCTCCAGAAATTAGAATCTTCCGGGTCCTCGGGTTTAGCTTTGTAACTAACCCCCCCAGTGCTGTAACGATTCATACCAACGGCGAGGCGGCTCAGTCGGCTCCACTCCACACGCACGCCCTCCAGAGGCCAGCCGTACCTCACTATAAGCGACTCCACTGTAGGCGCTATGCTGCTGAGCAGGTGGGTCACGGTGCGCTGAGATTCGAGATCGGAACAGGGAAACGCACGCCAACGATTTTCTCGAACGGTTGGTCCGTTCATGTAGACGGATTTGGCGGCAGCCAATGGGAGCGAAGTTACGAGAAGCTGCGAGCGGCCAATGAGAGAGAGCGAGTCGAGAGAGGGGCGGCTGCCGCATGTGCAATCCACGTTGAGAAACGCTGCAGTGGCCGAGAGGGACTTTAAAGAGGGGGCCATGGTGAAGCGGAGGAGGAGCGCTTGTTTCTCAAAGCAGACTGTGATAGATCGAGTAGCAGTGAGCTTGAAATCGAGGGTGGTGGAGCCAGAGCCATGGCTGGAGGAGGCGAGAGCGAGTTCATGCAGCTGCGGTGCGACGGATGAAAGAAAGGACAGCTCATTTCCGTCGCAATTGAAATCGTGGATGCTCAGGCTCCTTAAAGCCTTGAATTTTGCTGGATCCAGGTCGCCTAGTTGCCAGGTCCCGCGACCTAGCTTCACCCGCTGCAGATTCTCAAACTCCTTGAGGAATGCCGGATTCATCAGGTGAATCTCCTTAATGATAGGCTCAATTCCCCCGGGTGGTTCCTTGAGCCCAATGCACAGGTTTGTGAGGGAGCGTATAGAGGGCTGCAAGAGACGGCCGATGCTGTCCAGATCTTGGGGGCTGTTGAGAAGGAGATCAAGGGATGTGTGAGCTGCGTGCCGCAGGAAGAAGGAGAGCATTCCTGTGTTGAAAACGAGCGTCATGGGCTCCAACTCCTGCTCACACACAGCGATGGTCACATAGATGGTCACATAGATGGTCACATAGATGGTCACATAGATGGTCACATAGATGGTCACATAGATGGTCACATAGATGGTCACATAGATGGCCACATAGATGGTCACATAGATGGTCACATAGATGGCCACATAGATGGTCACATAGATGGTCACATAGATGGTCACATAGATGGTCACATAGATGGCCACATAGATGGTCACAGCGATGGTAGAGAACCTTAAGCACGACCCTGCAGCTCATAATAATTATGATAGCAGATTGCACGGGCCAGATATCAGGGTTTACCATTCCGTGAAACGAGTAAGGTTGTACGATGGAGCGAGGGAAGCAGCGCACGATGACTCACGGAGAAGGAGGCAACGTGGTGGAGGAGAGGGGGATGGTGGAAGGGGGAAGTGGGGAAGTGGGGAGTGGGAAGGGGGAACGGGGGAAGGGGGAAGGGGGAAAAGGGAAGGGAGAAGGGGGAAGGGAGAAGGGGGAAGGGGGAAGGGGGGAGTGGGAAGGGGGAAGCAGCGCATGATGACTCACGGCGAAGGAGGCGACATGGTGGAGGAGCCTCTTGCTGGCCATGGCGTAGAACAGCAGAGGCCAGGAGGCGCCGAAGCTCCGCAATGCCTCCGCATGCTGCTCCGTGATGGCAGGAAACGGAAGAGCTGTGGCGTTCGCGGTGCCGCCTGCTTCCTGCTGCAATGCACCCGAGGATTCACCCTGATTTTCCGGAAAATGATGTGCCAGTAGGTGGCGGAAGATGATGTGCCAGATGGGGCCAGGCAGCAGATCAACCACATCCTCGCTCTGGCAGTGGGGAAAAAGAAAAAAGAAGATAAGTGAGCAATAGAAAGTGAGGATTTGCCTAAATCTCTATTTCTTCCTGAGAGAAATGTGATGAGAATATCCGCTGGGAACCATGGTCCAATGCTTCACTGTCGCAAAGTTTGCGACATCATGCCTCACTCGCTGCGGCATCTCACCTCGTGGCGCTTCTCGGCATCAGAGGGCGGGAGTGTATCATTAAGAGCATGATTTCTTTCCATCACCTCATCTCCATGGCTATCCATCAGCGGCAACAGTCAGCTACGCAATCGACAGAAACGCTGGCGTTCGAAACAGATTCAGCTTGACAAAATTCTGATAGTAATGTCTGATAGGCTGCTTGGACTGCACAAAACCGGCAGAGAAGGGTTTCCGTGGAGGGAAAACTCGTGCAGTGAGAGGAGAGGGTTACGCTGGTGACAGGTTTTCTGCTCGCCTATCGTTTTCCAGGCCTGACACCACTCTAGCGAAAACTTGCAAATTGTAGGCGAACGCTTTCGCGATCGCAGAGGCTTGATTGGGACTGAAAACAGTAGCTTCACGAAGTCTGGTCGGACCATATCAACCATATGGTCCGACTGGACTTTGTCGGGCCGGAGGGCCAAACGAGGCACGGGGGTAAGCCTTCGGCTTGGTAGAGGCTTGGAGACAGCCTCGTACTTTTCGTGCCAATCATCAGGCTGTACGCTCCCATGAGTTTGGGCTTCGATTCGCAGGCACTCAATTCGAACGAATTGTTGATATTGCTGACAATGAACGAAGTGTACTCTCCATGTCATACATGTTTGTTTAGTGCTTTAGTTACATTTCATAGCAGGAAGATGTGGAATTAATAGCGAAGCAATGTTCAGAAATAAATATATGATGGTTAGATTAATATTGGTTTAAATCTGGTGGCTTTTGTATCATACATTGTCCTATTTTCGTATTACTTTGCTACAAGATTATGCGAAAAGCAACTTGGGTGGGGTTGCGTGCATAGAAGTACAGGCAAGCAATACATGAAAGCAGCAGAAGCAGACCAAGAGCACCAGCATCCTCATCAGCTATTCGACAGATTTGATACAGTCACATACTGTATGTACCATATTCAAGGTATTCGAAGGACCCACCCACCCAATCTGTTCCTGCTGCCGTTATAGCTGTCCTGGCTACTGCTATAGCTTTCTCTGCTGCTTCTCTGAAGACACACAATTTGCGTGTTTTCGAAATTCACCCAACCGTCCCTTTGTTGCTTACAAGTGCTCAGAGGCACTGAAGGCCGTCCATAAAGTCGCCCACATCTATCTCGCCACACGAGCCTTCCGTTGTCTCAAACCGCGGAGCATTTGAAGCAGCCCGATGCGCACTCACACACACGATGGGCTGACAGAGCCGCTCGCTGCCTATGGGGTTCCAGCATAACAACCTGCCAACAACGCAGTAGATCTCCAACGAGGGGAAGTCCTCTTGCAGCGACACGAGAGTGTCGGAGTTGCACCGGCGCGTGGCGAAGAGGAGAGACCGCAGCGCTGGAGCATTGATGTAGGGAGGCCTTGGCGCTTCACGGTTCCTGCTTCGACTCCTGCTGCTGCTGCTGCTGTCACCAACGTCATCGCCACTGCCACTGCCACCGCCGCCATCCCTGCCACTGCCTCTGTCTCCTCCTTCCCCCACGCCACCTCTCCTCGGGTACAAACGGCTGATGCCGCCCGCACGAGCCTCTGCTGCCTCCACTGTCGTCCTGCACCTTCCCCCACCCGCCTTGCTCCGATGCACACCGATTGCCAGGCGGTGCAGCTCCCTCCACTCGCCCTCCACTGCCTCTATTGGTAGCGAGTGTGGCACCATCAGTGCCTCCACTGTGGGGGCTACTGATTGCAGCACGCGGATCAAGGAGGATTCAGAGATGGATGGAGAGTAAAGTTCCCAGGAGATGGAAGGCTGATTCGGAGAAATCTGAGGTGAGTGAGAGGGGTTGCTGAGGGAGTGAGGGGGGTTGGCCAGAGGATTGACTGACTCCTCGTGCATGCTTGGTGCGTTCAGGTAGACGTCTTTGGCCGATGCGAGGGGGAGCGATGCCACCACGAGGCGCTTGCGACCAATCAGCATGAGGAAGTCGAGGGAGAGAGGGGCTTCACAGCTACAGTCCAGGTCGAGAGAATCCGCTGAAACAGACAGGGAGTTGAGAGAGGCAGGGAGGGAGAGCGCGAGGTGCACTCTGTGCTGGTCCAACACGAGGTGGATGGATTGAGCAGCGGAGAATGCAAAGTTGAGGGTGCAGTGCCCCTGGTTGAGAACGTAGAGTGAGATTTCGTGCAGCTGCGGTGTGATCTGGGCCAGGAACTCGAAATCCGAGGCGGTGCAGTGGGAATGATGGATGGTGAGGGTCCGTAAGGCCTTGAACCAGGAGGGATGGAGGGTGCTGAGGTTCCAGTCGGCACGCTCCAGGTGCAGCTGCTGCAGCCAAGGGCAGTGCTGGAGAAACACCGGGGAGATGCGCTCATGCTGCTCTGCTGCATGCCGCTGCTGCTCTGCATGGCCGCGCTGCTCCTCATGCTGCTGCTGCTGCTGTTGCTGGGCATGCCCATACGGGTCTTCCCAGTGGGATGCATCCGTGGGAGTGGGCCCCAGGCGAAGGGAGGTGAGGGAGTGGCCAGAGGCTCTCATTGTGGTGGCAAAGCTGTGCAGATCCGCCAAGGTGTGGAATTGCAAGTGCAGTTTCGGACTCTGATGGGTGGGGAGCGAGAGAAGCACTGGAGATGAGGTGAAGAGAGTATTTTTCAAGAATTGTCACAAAACACAGAGGCTCTCATTTGTGCCGCTGAAGCTGTGCAGGTCCGCTAAGGTGTGGAAGTGCAGATGGGCTTCCATGCTCTGATAGGTGGGGAGAGAAGCACTGGAGATGAAGTGAAGAGCGTCTTTTTAAGAATTCTCATAAAAACACAGAGGCTAGCATTGTGCGGCTGAAGCTGTGCAGGTCAGGCAAGGTGTGGAAATGCAGGTGGGCTTCCGAGCTCTGATAGGTGGGGAGAGAGAGAAGCATTGGAGATGAAGTGAAGAGCGGGAGAGGTGAGAATTCTCGGAAAAACACAGAGGCTAGCATTTTGCTGTTGAAGCTGTCCAGGTCAGGCAAGGTGCGGAAGTGCAGGTGGGCCTTTGAGCTCTGATGGGAGGGGAGATAGAAGCAGTGGAGATGAGGTGACGAGCGGAGAGGTGAGACTAGGGAGATGAGAGCAGGAGAGGAGAGGAGGGATGAGAGGAGAGGAGAGGCTAGGAGGAGGAGTGGAGGGACGAGGGAAATGTGAGAAGATTCAATGCCCTGTCTGCAGCACCCACTCTCATTCCACACTCTTCTCACTCCTCTCTTCCCTCTAATCCCTCTCATCCCTCTCATCCCTCTCATCCCTCTCATCCCTCTCATCCCTCTCATCCCTCTCACCCCTCTCACCCCTCTCATCCTTCTCATCCCTCTCATCCCTCTCACCCCTCTCACGCCTCTCAATATCCCATCCGTCTCATCATTCCCATCGTTCTCATCCCTCTTTTCCTTATCACTCTCGCCCCCTATCGTTCCTAGAAAATCCAAGGCCCGAAAAGTTGCGGGGTTGCAACTTCAAAGTTGCTTTTCCGCAACTTGGGTTTCGGAGAAAAAAAGTCTAGGTCAAAGGCTTCTGTGGCGGGGTGACTTCGAAGTTGCGGAAAAGTGACGACAAAGCTTCGAAAAAACGGCCATATCGCTACACGCGACACAACGAACAGGTGACATCAGAAGTGACATTTGTCTGAAGGTCTTGGGCTTTAAGTCTACATTTGCCACGTGGACTCTTGATTGCCACATGTGCAGATATTTTTTGCCAGCTGTCATGGTCAGAAAAATGCCACGTGGACCAATCAGAGTTCGGGAAGCATAGTGGCGCATGCAATAAAATATCAAAAGATTCATCACGTTCGCACGTACATGGAGATATTTAAATTGTTATACATATTATACAGATTCCATTACATCAAACCTTAACATCACCAAGACTAAAACCTAAATTTGTGGTAATGCAACAAAAATCAGATGCAGTTGCCCGTCAACATAAACTGCTGCCATTCAACAAAATGTGATGCTAAAATCGAGAAGTGGCGGCGTAGTTATTTTCCTCCTAGCCGTGATACCTGCAAAATCAAATGTTAGAATAACAGTCGTACAGATGTAAGCAACACAACAGGGAAGAAGGGACCAATCAACATGGCAAGTAAAAGGGGTCAACTGTCATTAAAGCGAGGTTACTTACTGGCTACTTACCTCCTGTACGACATTTCTGTGACATAAAATAACGTGGCATGGTAAGAGAACTGAAGACATATCTGCGCACAGCACATATGAGAGAAAGCACATGTAATACGTTCGACAATCCCCACCTTTGAGATCCATTCTCTGGACCGCATAGTGAACGCATCCTGCTGGGTTAGAAAAAATCGTCTACTTCAATGAGAGAATACAACATGACAGCGGTGAATCAATAAAAAAGCGCGACGATACAGCGACGTACCGGAAAATGCAACACGTAGGGCGCCATCCGCTGTACGGTAGTAAGACGAGCTTGGTTGACATCAACAATTGAACCGCACCTGCAGACAACAGTCCGACGGCACAAAAAGAAATGAACAACACAAATTTGGTTAGGAGTATTCGACCGAAAGCACAGCATAAAACAATGATGCACATTAGAGTGACATTTCGTCAGAGCAAATCACGGCGGATAGATCTGGAGAAGGGAGAAATGGGCAAGAGATGAGATTGAACAACAAGGAAAAATGGTTTAGTAGGCTGCACTCCGGCTAGTGATTTCTCAGCAAAGGATCCGTAATCATAATCTAAACCAGCACAGTTTCGAGACAGCTAGGCAGCAGCGCGACTCCCGCTAGGCAGCAGCTCTTTCCTCGCTAGTAGCAGCGCGATCCCGCCACGTAGCCCGCGACCCAGCCTCTTAGCCCGCGATTCAGCCGCCCAGGCCGCGATCTAGCCGCCCAGCCCGCGATTTAGCCGCCCAGCCCGCGATCTAGCCGCCCAGCCCGTGATCTAGCCGCCTACGCCTCGATCTAGCCGCCTAGCCCGCATTTTAGCCGCTCAGCCAGCGATTTAGCCGCCCCGCCCGCGACCTAGCTGCAAAGCAGCGATCTTGCTGACCAACCGGTGATTTAGCCGCTTAGCCCGCGAACTGCAGGTAGCAGCGCGCAGCTGGGCAGTGGAACCCGCGCCGTAACAGCGAAATCCGCACCGCTGCAGCGAACATCGCGCCGTAGCAGCGAAATCAACGCCGTAGCAGCGAAATTCGCACCGGGGCAGCGAAATCCCTGTCGTAGCAGCGACATCCACGCCTAGGCAGCAAAACCCACGATGAAGCAGCGACATCCGCGCCGTAGCAGCGAAATCCGCGCCGTAGCAGCGAAATCCGCGCCGTAGCAGCGAAGCCCGCGCCGTAGCGTCGAAGTGCGCGCCGTAGCAGCGAAGTGCGCGCCGTAGCAACGAATTGCGCGCCGTAGCAGCGAAATCCGCGCCTTAGCAGCGAAACCCGCGCCGTAGCAGCGAAGTCCGCGCCGTAGCAGCGAAATCCGCCACGTAACAGTGAAACCCGCGCCGTAGCAACGAAATCCGCGCCGCGGCGGAGGGATCAGCGCCCAGGCAGCTATACTCGCGCGTAGGAGCGCCATCGCAGTGAAGCTCGCGCCTAGGCAGCGACTACCGCGTGTAGGGAGGACCACAAAGCGAGACCCGCGCCTAGGTACCAACACCTGCAGGTAGGAGCGTCCAGCGTATAGGGGAGTCTCCGTGCGCCAGCGACACCCAACACCTTCGACTCACCCGGACTACGAGCCTTATATCGAAGGCGGGAGGCGCCCCTCCAGCGCCCCCCGCAAACAGCTTACGCCATGACCAACGATCCAGACCCCCCAGACCGGGGGAGGAAGATCATCGCGAGGATTGGCCACAAGAGACCCAGGGAGGCAGCGCCGAGTATGCAATACCCACAACTCTGTCGCCTCCACCACGAGGATGCACTCTGCCTTTTTGGCAAGCCCAGCAAGCGACAAAGGTATAGACCCCTCTCGACAGAGGGGGGGACAGAGGAACCACCCAAAGACACTCTCGGCGGCTTCGTAGGCGGCAGCGACACCATCTCCAACCGGGACCTGGACGTGACGGACGAGGGCGAGTGCGGTCATGGGGCGCACAGGCAAGGTACCGGTGATGACGCGACGATGGCTCCATGGGAGGCACACCGCCGGCGACTGCAGGAGTCTCATGATAGGCGGCGGAGGGCCCTAGGAAATCCTTTGGCACGCCCAGCCCTCACAGCTCCGCGCGGGCCTCGCCTGGCCCAAAGGCAGGAACAGAGACGGAGAGCCCGGGCGGAAGGGCAGCAGTGGAGTCCAGCGGGGACACATCCCTCGAGGCAGGAGGGGGGGCAGCAGAACTGGCTGTTGGGGGAGGCCCGGAAGCCACAGGCAAGGGAGCAGCAGATGCGGCCGGCGGGAGGGGAGCAGGAGCTGCCGGCGAGAGGGGAGCAGGAGCTGCCGGCGAGAGGGGAGCTGGAGCTGCCGGCGAGAGGGCAGCAAGAGCCGCAGGCAAGAGGGCGGCAGGCGCGGTCGGCAGGCGAGCAGCAGGTACTGCCGAAGGGAGAGCAGCAGGAGCGGCTGGCGGGAGGGCAGCTGGAGCTGCCGGCGGGGGGGCAGCAGGAGCTGCAGGCAGGAGGGCAGCGGGAGGTGCCAGCGGGAGGGCAGCAGGAGGTGCCAACGGGAGGGCAGCAGGAGGTGCCAGCGGGAGGGCAGCAGGAGGCACCAATGAGAGGGCAGCAGGAGGTGCCGGCGAGAGGGCAGCAGGAGGTGCCGGCGAGAGGGCAGTTGGAGGTGCCGGCGAGAGGGCAGCAGGAGCTGCCGGCTGGGGGACAGCAAGTGGTAGAAGTGGAGATGGCCGAGCCACAGCCAGAGGTGCAGCAGGACCAATCGGGGAACCGTGCCCGGCCACACGCAGGAGGGCAGCAGGAGCCGCCCGGGGTAGAGCAGCGTGAGCTGCCAAGGGAAGAGCAGCAGGAGCTGCCGGCAAGGGAGCAGCAAGCAAGGGAGCAGCAAGCGGTAGAAGTGGAGATGGCCGAGCTACAGCCAGAGGCACAGCAGGACCAATCGGGAAACCAGGCCTGGCCACAGGCAGGAGGGCAGCAGGGGCCGTCCGGGGGAGAGCAGCTGGAGCTGCCAAGGGAAGAGCGGCAGAAGCCGCCGGGGGTGGGGCAGCTGCCGGCAAGGGAGCAGCAAGCGGTGGATGTGGAGATGGCCGAGCTAATGCCAGAGGTGCAGCAGGACCAATCAGGGAGCCAAGTCCGGCTGCAGGCAGGAGAGCAGCAGGAGCTGCCGGGGGAGGAGCGGCAGGAGCTGCCAACAGGAGGGCAGCTCGAGCTGTCGGGGGGAGGGCAGCAGGAGCTGTCGGAGGGGGAGCGGCGGGAGCTGCCGGCGCGGGGGCAGCTGGAGGTCGCTAGTGCGGACTCTACAAGCCAAGCGAAGAGAACCCGGGCACGGGGCCGAGGCGGGAGACGACACGCCCGTAAGACGCAAGGGCGAATTGGAAGCGGAGCTGCCGCACAGCAGGCGGAGGGGCAGCCGGGGGCGACCGAGACACCCCCGGGAGCTCCGCGGGTGGGGGGGCAGCCCTGGGTGCCCGGGGCGCCCCAAGGAGAGCAGCAGCCAGGGGAGCTGCCGGGGGTGACCGGAGCACCCCAGGGAGAGCAACAGGCAGGGGGGCAGCCGAGGGTGCCCGGAGCACCCCAGGGAGTGCAGCAGGCAGGGGGGCAGCCGGGGGTGCCCGGGGCACCCCAGGGAGTGCAGCAGGCAGGAGGGCAGCCGAGGGTGCCCGGGGCACCCCAGGGAGTGCAGCAGGCAGGGGGGCAACCGGGGGTGCCTGGGGCACCCCAGGGGGTGCAGCAGGCAGAAGGGCAGCCGAGGGTGTCCGGGGCACCCCAGGGAGTGCAGCAGGCAGGAGGGCAGCCGGGGGTGCCCGGGGCACCCCAGGGAGTGCAGCAGGCAGGGGGGCAGCCGGGGGTGCCCGGGGCACCCCAGGGAGTGCAGCAGACAGGGGGGCAGCCGGGGGTGCCCGGGGCACCCCAGAGAGTGCAGCAGGCAGGAGGGCAGCCGAGGGTGCCCGGGGCACCCCAGGGAGTGCAGCAGGCAGGGGGGCAACCGGGGGTGCCCGGGGCACCCCAGGGGGTGCAGCAGGCAGGAGGGCAGCCGAGGGTGCCCGGGGCACCCAAGGGAGTGCAGCAGGCAGGGGGTCAGCCGGGGGTGCCCGGGGCACCCCAGGGGGTGCAGCAGGCAGGGGGGCAGCCGGGGGTGCTCGGGGCACCCCAGGGAGTGCAGCAAGCAGGGGGGCAACCGGGGGTGCCCGGGGCACCCCGGGGGGTGCAGCAGGCAGGAGGGCAGCCGAGGGTGCCCGGGGCACCCCAGGGAGTGCAGCAGGCAGGGGGTCAGTCGGGGATGCCCGGAGCACCCCAGGGAGTGCAGCAGGCAGGAGGGCAGCCGGGGGTGCCCGGGGCACCCCAGAGAGTGCAGCAGGCAGGGGGGCAGCCGGACGTGCCCGGGGCACCCCAGGGAGTGCAGCAGGCAGGGGGGCAACCGGGGGTGCCCGGAGCACCCCGGCGGGCGCAGCAGGCAGGAGGGCAGCCGAGGGTGCCCGGGGCACCCCGGGTGGTGCAGCAGGCAGGAGGGCAGCCGAGGGTGCCCGGGGCACCCCAGGGAGTGCAGCAGGCAGGGGGTCAGTCGGGGATGCCCGGAGCACCCCGGGGAGTGCAGCAGGCAGGAGGGCAGCCGGGGGTGCCCGGGGCACCCCAGAGAGTGCAGCAGGCAGGAGGGCAGCTGAGGGTGCCCGGGGCACCCCAGGGAGTGCAGCAGGCAGGGGGGCAACCGGGGGTGCCCGGGGCACCCCAGGGAGAGCAACAGGCAGGGGGGCAGCCGAGGGTGCCCGGAGCACCCCAGGGAGTGCAGCAGGCAGGGGGGCAGCCGGGGGTGCCCGGGGCACCCCAGGGAGTGCAGCAGGCAGGAGGGCAGCCGAGGGTGCCCGGGGCACCCCAGGGAGTGCAGCAGGCAGGGGGGCAACCGGGGGTGCCCGGGGCACCCCAGGGGGTGCAGCAGGCAGAAGGGCAGCCGAGGGTGTCCGGGGCACCCCAGGGAGTGCAGCAGGCAGGAGGGCAGCCGGGGGTGCCCGGGGCACCCCAGGGAGTGCAGCAGGCAGGGGGGCAGCCGGGGGTGCCCAGGGCACCCCAGGGAGTGCAGCAGACAGGGGGGCTGCCGGGGGTGCCCGGGGCACCCCAGAGAGTGCAGCAGGCAGGAGGGCAGCCGAGGGTGCCCGGGGCACCCCAGGGAGTGCAGCAGGCAGGGGGGCAACCGGGGGTGCCCGGGGCACCCCAGGGGGTGCAGCAGGCAGGAGGGCAGCCGAGGGTGCCCGGGGCACCCAAGGGAGTGCAGCAGGCAGGGGGTCAGCCGGGGGTGCCCGGGGCACCCCAGGGGGTGCAGCAGGCAGGGGGGCAGCCGGGGGTGCTCGGGGCACCCCAGGGAGTGCAGCAAGCAGGGGGGCAACCGGGGGTGCCCGGGGCACCCCGGGGGGTGCAGCAGGCAGGAGGGCAGCCGAGGGTGCCCAGGGCACCCCAGGGAGTGCAGCAGGCAGGGGGTCAGTCGGGGATGCCCGGAGCACCCCAGGGAGTGCAGCAGGCAGGAGGGCAGCCGGGGGTGCCCGGGGCACCCCAGAGAGTGCAGCAGGCAGGGGGGCAGCCGGACGTGCCCGGGGCACCCCAGGGAGTGCAGCAGGCAGGGGGGCAACGGGGGGTGCCCGGAGCACCCCGGCGGGCGCAGCAGGCAGGAGGGCAGCCGAGGGTGCCCGGGGCACCCCGGGGGGTGCAGCAGGCAGGAGGGCAGCCGAGGGTGCCCGGGGCACCCCAGGGAGTGCAGCAGGCAGGGGGTCAGTCGGGGATGCCCGGAGCACCCCGGGGAGTGCAGCAGGCAGGAGGGCAGCCGGGGGTGCCCGGGGCACCCCAGAGAGTGCAGCAGGCAGGAGGGCAGCTGAGGGTGCCCGGGGCACCCCAGGGAGTGCAGCAGGCAGGGGGGCAACCGGGGGTGCCCGGGGCACCCCAGGGAGAGCAACAGGCAGGGGGGCAGCCGAGGGTGCCCGGAGCACCCCAGGGAGTGCAGCAGGCAGGGGGGCAACCGGGGGTGCCCGGGGCACCCCAGGGGGTGCAGCAGGCAGAAGGGCAGCCGAGGGTGTCCGGGGCACCCCAGGGAGTGCAGCAGGCAGGAGGGCAGCCGGGGGTGCCCGGGGCACCCCAGGGAGTGCAGCAGGCAGGGGGGCAGCCGGGGGTGCCCGGGGCACCCCAGGGAGTGCAGCAGACAGGGGGGCTGCCGGGGGTGCCCGGGGCACCCCAGAGAGTGCAGCAGGCAGGAGGGCAGCCGAGGGTGCCCGGGGCACCCCAGGGAGTGCAGCAGGCAGGGGGGCAACCGGGGGTGCCCGGGGCACCCCAGGGGGTGCAGCAGGCAGGAGGGCAGCCGAGGGTGCCCGGGGCACCCAAGGGAGTGCAGCAGGCAGGGGGTCAGCCGGGGGTGCCCGGGGCACCCCAGGGGGTGCAGCAGGCAGGGGGGCAGCCGGGGGTGCTCGGGGCACCCCAGGGAGTGCAGCAAGCAGGGGGGCAACCGGGGGTGCCCGGGGCACCCCGGGGGGTGCAGCAGGCAGGAGGGCAGCCGAGGGTGCCCGGGGCACCCCAGGGAGTGCAGCAGGCAGGGGGTCAGTCGGGGATGCCCGGAGCACCCCAGGGAGTGCAGCAGGCAGGAGGGCAGCCGGGGGTGCCCGGGGCACCCCAGAGAGTGCAGCAGGCAGGGGGGCAGCCGGACGTGCCCGGGGCACCCCAGGGAGTGCAGCAGGCAGGGGGGCAACCGGGGGTTCCCGGAGCACCCCGGCGGGTGCAGCAGGCAGGAGGGCAGCCGAGGGTGCCCGGGGCACCCCAGGGAGTGCAGCAGGCAGGAGGGCAGCCGGGGGTGCCCGGGGCACCCCAGAGAGTGCAGCAGGCAGGAGGGCAGCTGAGGGTGCCCGGGGCACCCCAGGGAGTGCAGCAGGCAGGGGGGCAACCGGGGGTTCCCGGGGCACCCCAGGGAGTGCAGCAGGCAGGGGGTCAGCCGGGGGTGCCCGGAGCACCCCAGGGAGTGCAGCAGGCAGGAGGGCAGCAGGGGGTGCCCGGGGCACCCCAGGGAGTGCAGCAGGCAGGGGGGCAACCGGGGGTGCCCGGGGAACCCCAGGGAGTGCAGCAGGCAGGGGGTCAGCCGGGGGTGCCCGGGGCGCCCCAGGGAGTGCAGCAGGCAGGTGTGGAGCCGGGGGTGCCCAGGGCACCCCAGGGAGTGCAGCAGGCAGGAGGGCAGCAGGGGGTGCCCGGAGCACCCCAGGGAGTGCAGCAGGCAGGAGGGCAGCCGAGGGTGCCCGGGGCGCCCCGGGGAGTGCAGCAGGCAGGTGGGCAACCGGGGGTGCCCGGGGCACCCCAGGGAGTGCAGCAGGCAGGAGGGCAGCCGGGGGTGCCCGGGGCACCCCAGAGAGTGCAGCAGGCAGGGGGGCAACCGGGGGTGCCCGGGGCACCCCAGGGAGTGCAGCAGGCAGGGGGTCAGCCGGGGGTGCCCGGAGCACCCCAGGGAGTGCAGCAGGCAGGAGGGCAGCCGGGGGTGCCCGGGGCATCCCAGGGAGTGCAGCAGGCAGGAGGGCAGCCGAGGGTGCCCGGGGCACCCCAGGGAGTGCTGCAGGCAGGAGGGCAGCCGAGGGTGCCCCGGGCACCCCAGGGAGTGCAGCAGGCAGGAGGGCAGCCGAGGGTGCCCGGGGCACCCCAGGGAGTGCAGCAGGTAGGAGGGCAGCCGAGGATGCCTGGAGCACCCCAGGGAGAGCAGCAGGCTGGGGGGCAGCCGGGGGCGATCGGAGCACCCCAGGGAGAGCAGCAGCTAGGGGGGCAGCCGGGGGTGACCCGAGCACCCCACGGCGAGCAGCAGCCGGGGGTGACCGGAGCACCCCAGGGAGTGCAGCAGGCAGGAGGGCAGCCGATGGTGCCTGGGGAACCCCAGGGAGTGCAGCAGGCAGGAGGGCAGGGAGTGCAGCAGGCAGGAGGGCAGCCGAGGGTGCCCGGGGCACCCCAGGGAGTGCAGCAGGCAGGAGGGCAGCCGGGGGTGCCCGGGGCACCCCAGAGAGTGCAGCAGGCAGGGGGGCAACCGGGGGTGCCCGGGGCACCCCAGGGAGTGCAGCAGGCAGGGGGTCAGCCGGGGGTGCCCGGAGCACCCCAGGGAGTGCAGCAGGCAGGAGGGCAGCCGGGGGTGCCCGGGGCATCCCAGGGAGTGCAGCAGGCAGGAGGGCAGCCGAGGGTGCCCGGGGCACCCCAGGGAGTGCAGCAGGCAGGAGGGCAGCCGGGGGTGCCCGGGGCACCCCAGAGAGTGCAGCAGGCAGGGGGGCAACCGGGGGTGCCCGGGGCACCCCAGGGAGTGCAGCAGGCAGGGGGTTAGCCGGGGGTGCCCGGAGCACCCCAGGGAGTGCAGCAGGCAGGAGGGCAGCCGGGGGTGCCCGGGGCATCCCAGGGAGTGCAGCAGGCAGGAGGGCAGCCGAGGGTGCCCGGGGCACCCCAGGGAGTGCTGCAGGCAGGAGGGCAGCCGAGGGTGCCCCGGGCACCCCAGGGAGTGCAGCAGGCAGGAGGGCAGCCGAGGGTGCCCGGGGCACCCCAGGGAGTGCAGCAGGTAGGAGGGCAGCCGAGGATGCCTGGAGCACCCCAGGGAGAGCAGCAGGCTGGGGGGCAGCCGGGGGCGATCGGAGCACCCCAGGGAGAGCAGCAGCTAGGGGGGCAGCCGGGGGTGACCCGAGCACCCCACCGCGAGCAGCAGGTAGGGGAGCAGCCGGGGGTGACCGGAGCACCCCAGGGAGTGCAGCAGGCAGGAGGGCAGCCGATGGTGCCTGGGGAACCCCAGGGAGTGCAGCAGGCAGGAGGGCAGGGAGTGCAGAAGGCAGGAGGGCAGCCGAGGGTGCTCGGAGCACCCCAGGGGGAGCAGCAGGTAGGGGGGCAGCCGGGGGTGACTGGGGCACCCCAGGGAGTGCAGCAGCCAGGGGGGCAGCCGAGGGTGCCCTGGGCACCCCAAGGAGCACAGCAATCAGGGGGGCGATCGATGGACGACCAGGAGCAACAGTTGGAGGAGTGGTGTCGACTTTTGGAGCTTGATACCCCCATGCCGACTGTGGAGGAGTCAGAGGCGGACGAAGCACCTCCCATGCCGCCTTCCCCATGCCCCCGCTTTCCGTGCGACACGTGTTTCCACACTTTCGCTATGCGGGGGGCCGCTGCGAACCACATGAGGGTATGCCGAACGGCGGAGGCGGAGAGGCGTGCACAGGCTCTCGGCTCGATTCCGTCTCTGGTGGAGACCGACACGCAGGAGCGATCGACGCCGCGGGAATTCGGGGAGGAGGCGTGGGCTGGGGTTACGTCATGGGAATGGGAAACATTTTTCAGCGTGGAGGCGGTTGGAGGGAGGACAGTGCGCCGGATTCCACAGCGGGCCAGGTCGGGGGTTTTAGACGCGCTCTGTTGCATCCTTAAGCGCTTGAAGAGCCAGCCGGGAGATGAAGCCGCTACCCTCCTACTCTTGGCGTTTCCGCGCCTCATCCTAGCCATGCCTCCCAAGCCAGGCATAGGTCAGAAGGCGCTGATCACAGAGCGGTTGGGTGCGTTCTGGGAGGGGAGGTGGCGGGAGCTGTTCGATTCTGCCATGGTGGCGGCGCGGCCAGCAGTTCGCCCACTTTCCTACACTTGCTCTGACCAGGACCCGGATGCCATCCGCCTGTCACGGTGCCGATCTCGGTGCAAAGTGGGGGAGTGGAGCCGTGGATTGGCCTGCCTTACAGCAGGGGAGTTGGCTCGACCGTCTGAGGTCATGGTGCAGTCGCTGCGAGAGAAGCACCCGGCTAGCGCTGGCGAGGTACCACAGTGGGTCCGCGATTTCACCATCGATACTGCTCAGCGGCCTTCACTCACGACCGACATCCTGGCCAGAGCTATCCATACAGCCGCTCGAGCTTCAGCAGCAGGGCCATCGGGGTGGGTCACAGAGCATCTGCGCGACACCTTCCTCACTGAACCTTCCTGCCTTTCCCACTTGTTGGAAGTGTTCAACCAATGGGTGGCAGGACAGGTCCCCGAGCGGGCTCGGCCGTGGCTCGCCGCATCCAACCTAGTCGGGCTTTCCAAGCCTAACGGCGACGTCCGGCCGGTGGCGATCGGGGAGGTGCTTCCTCGTATCCTTGCTCGAGCTCTCTGCATCTCGCTCCGCCCTGCAATGGTTTCCTACTTCCTGCCGTGCAACCAGCTGGGAGCGGGCACCAGGGTCGGGGCGGAGATTCTCACTCACTCTTTCCAGTCAGCGCTGGCCACTCACCCCGACTGGTGTGCGCTACAGATAGACGTCGCAAACGCCTTCAATTCGTTTCACCGTCATGTGATGTTCGATGGGCTGCGGGAGTCGCCTTTCTCAAGGATGATGTGTCTTTTATGGGACACCTAGCGACCTGTACCTCCGAGCAGGCCCTTTCGTACAGAGCCTCGAGTCAGCACGGGGATCGAGGCAGGGGGGCCCGCTCGGCCCTTTTCTTTTCGCGTTCACTCAGCAGCAGGTGATGGAGCCGGTTACTAGGGAGTTCAAGGACCTGTTTTTCCTCAGCTATGCAGACGATACCTATATTTTGGGGCCAGCGGCTAGGATTCTTGAGGCTTTTGGGGTGCTTCGGGAGCGGTTGGAGTGGGTGGGGCTGGAGGTGCAGGCGCACAAGTGCCGGTTTTGGGAGCGCGAGGGCAAGGAGGTGGAGCGGGCACTGCCATTGGGGATGCAGCGGGTGGATGAGGGTCTTACTGTGGTGGGCGTGCCTATTGGAGAGGAGGTTTGGGAGGTGGTCCGGCTACGGGAGCGGCTTCGACAGTTGCAGGCGCCACTGCCATGGCTTTCCTTGCTCGACCACCCCCAGATGGCTTCACACCTCCTCGCCATTGCAGTTTCAGCGCGGCCGATGTACCTCGCCCGGACTATGCCGCCGCGTCCGGAGGTAGTTGAGGCTTTTAGGGATTGGGATAGCTGTTTAGAGGATTGCTTTGAGCAGCTTTTTCCACCTGGCACTTGGGAGCAGGACCCCGACCGGTCTAGGCGCGCACGCATACAGCTGCATCTCCCTGTGCGTCTCGGAGGGTTCGGGATCCGGGCGGCGGCCTCTTTGAGCCCACTGTCCTATGTTTGTGGGTGGGCGCAGGCCGCGCGTGACATTGCACAGTTAGGGGTGGCGGGTGAGGAGGCGATGTTTGCAGAGTACCTCACCACTTCGACAGGGGCAGAGTTTCTTGACCCGTGGTTTGTCAAGGCTCTTGAGCAGCTGCCAGCGACTATCCGCCACGAGATACCGGGCTTACCTCTGTGTGTAGCGGCCCCTCCTGTTCGGCTTTTCCAGGCGCGGCAGCGGCAGTTAGCTGTAGAGGAGCTCCAAGCACTGCGCCGCTTGGCTCGTGACGATGCCACCTTGGCCCGTTTCACATCCCTTCAGGGCCCGGGGGCAGGTGCATGGGTTTCGGCGGTTCCGGCTCACTCAGATCTCACATTCACTGCGGCTGAGTGGGGCATTGCTGCTGCTATACGGTTCGGCCTCCCAATCCAGCAGCTGCAGGTGGCGGGGAGGTGTGTTTGTGGCACAGCGTTTGTTGACCCAGCAGATCCGCACCATGCCCTGAGATGCAGGCATCAGCATGGTCCTTCTCGGGTGCATGATGAGGTGAAGTTTGCGGTGGCGAAGATCTCTAAGGCGTCCGGGGGGGTGGTGACAATGGAGGATAGTGTGGTGCTGCATGGGAAGCGGGTTGATGTGGCGGTGCGACGTCCAATGGCTGGAGAGGCTCACGCCCTAGAGATCAGCGTCGCGGATCCGCTATCGCTGTCTCCATCACTGCTGGGACAGTGCGGGCGTCAAATAGGTGTGGCGGCAAGGGAGTGGAAGCGCCGCAAAACGAGTGACTACGCGCCTCTGCTTGCACGCAACCGGGGCGTGCAGTTCACCCCTTTGATAGTTGAGACGTGGGGGTGTCTCGGCGGTCGTTTTCAGCGATGGCTTCGTCAGCAGGGGGATGCGCACGTGGGACTAGCTGTGTCGCGGGGGGCTTGTCGAGAGGACGACTCTGTGTTTTCGGCTTATCTTTTAGGGTCACTGAAGGCGCTCATCGGGGTGGCGTTACAACGGGCGCAAGCCCGTGTCATCCTGCTTCGAGCAGCGTCTTCCATGGGGGGGATTAACGTAGATTTGGTGGATCGGGAGAGGGACGATGTCGATGTGGAAGGCGGGGCTCTCTGGGTGGAGGCCCCGTACATGGTCGATACGTTGATGTGATTGAAGGGGGGGGGGGGGGATGGGGTGTGGGATGGGATGTCTTGATGGGGTGTCTTGACTGGACGTTTTGATTGGGTATCTTGAGTGGGGGTTTTATGTGTGCTGCATTTGGGTTCTTTTTGGCAGTTTCATTTTCCTTCTCCCTTTCTTTCTTCATTCCCTGTCCTTTTCAGAAACACTATGGCGGGCAAGGTTTAGGTCCAGTGGGTTTCACGAATGGCTGTAGGTGCTTCGGAATCCGGAAGAAAATGGCGGCTGAGAAGGGAGGTGGCGAAGGTCTGGCGAAGGAAGCCTTTTTGCAAAGGTCGTCATTATTTCACCAGCAGCAGAACGCAGGCGAACGAGCAAGCAGCAGTTACATATATTGTTGTAAATGTTGTAGGATTACGTCATCTAAGATGGGTCGATATTGGCCACTAGCGAATGGTTGGGGCGCTTTGTGCTGTAGGCCTAATTCCATTCCAACGAACCATGCCGATTGAAATGCTGTGATCATTATGGCTACAGAAAAAATGGTGGAGAAACTGGTTGAGAAGAAATGGTTGTGAAGAAGTGGTCGAGACGAAATGGTTTGAGAAGATTGTGGAGGTGGTGGGTGGGGTGTTGATGTGGAGATAAGGAATCGTGTTGATTGGTTGGAAAATGTTGGGTTCCTCTCTCGATTGGTTAGAAAACGTCATTTGGTTGAGTACGACGCACAAGAGTGGGAGGGGTTAGTGTTTGGCGACGATTTGGTACTTCGCAAATTTCGTTGGCTTGAGTTTGTCGCTTTGCTTGTTGATTGGTGGTTTGACTCTCGACTTTCCAAACCTTCGCCCATATCCGTAACATTTCGTGGTCTTCGTCTTTTTCTCTGAAATGAGAACCACACTGTAACCCCTTGTACCACGCAGAACACTACTTTGGATGAGTGTGGATACAGGTAGAGTGGCGAAAGTGACATTTTCGCCACTTCAAGGTTGCGTGAAAGTGAATGGCCATTTGTCACGGTGAAGTCACTTTGGCCACTTGGCTCTGAATGTGAGCGCCAGAGCTTTTCCGAAGCTTTTCCGAAGATTTTTCGCAGGAAAAGCTACCGTGTACATTTTGTGCTCACAAGGAATTTCGCGATGCTCCTAACTCTTACAATTTTCACCTGTCGCATTCTCCTCATCCCTCGCATTCCTCTCATTCCTCCCAATCTTCTAATTCCTCTCATTTCCCTCATTCCTCTCACCCCTCTCATTCCTCTCGTCTCTCTCATTCCTCTCTCACCTGATCATACGCATCAGAGAGGGTTCCGCTATCCACTTGAGCCCATGCATCCTCTTTCAGGCCGCCCTCATCTTCTCGAATAGCCATCGCCGGCGGAAACTGAGGACTTTGAGGCGCCTAAAAAAAAAACAAAAAACCGCGTGAGCTGAGACGACTTTTGAGGCGCCGCAAAATCCGGCGCAGAGTGGAGGACGGCGTGCACAAGTTCTCCAGAAGGGCCACTAAAGGCAGAAAACAAAAAAAATTGCTGGAAGAAGTTACCAAACGACAGCGGCACGCCGGAACGGGGAGAGGATGGGTCGTGAGAGCGAAGTGACCGCGTCTCGGAGTTGCTCGGATGCACTACGACTCCAGGTGGTGCCGCGACTGAAGCAGAACTAGGACCACGTGGCAGTCATAGGAATTAGAACCAACAGTCCGTGAACTGAAATCTAAAATGCCCGTTACATGGCTGTGCGAGGTTCGTCACGCTGAATGGCTCGAAGACATCTACCCTCCTGTCTTACGCGATGTCGAAATTCGTCAGATCCAAAGGGATTCAGGCGAAAAACTTGCAGCAGGTAACGTGCTTGTGTCGCAAGTGGTGCTGACTTCGCTCCCGTCTGACTTGGTTCACACAGTTGGTGAAACTCTGATGCCCACGAGTTTTTCAACGGTGAAATGAAGTTTTACATTGGTCGGGATGGTCATTGAGCAAACGAGGGGAAAATTGACCCACCCCTCGGATAGCCAAGCCACGGGGACAATGCGAACTTGGTAAACAAAGCGAATTCGGATTTCAACTACAGGAGTGTTGTAACTATCAATCCTCGGTTGTTTCGATTTCGATGAGCAACACAAACCAATGAAGAGAACGAAGCAGATGATGCCAAGGAATCCTGAGGCATTTCAAGAATTTGAGAATGCCTCAACACAAACCAAGCCAAGAATACGCCCTCATTTATCAGATTCTTCCCAAGTCCCGCGCGAGTTCCAGCATTCGCTGGCAGCGAAATAGCTCCCCCTTCCCACAGCAGAGGTGCGCGTGCGAAATATGTAACTCACACGACATTTCTCGCCTTTTCTCCTCGAGTTTGTTGACTGTCCCGCAAGTCTCCTCGGGACGAGAGCGACCCAGCCGAGGAAAAACGACTCCTTTTTCTCGCCACCGCCACGTGCGCTGCGTGGTCGTCATTGTCAAATCCGTTCAACCTCATCTCCCTCCCTCCTCATCTTCTTCTCACATCCTCTGCTGACTCTGCAATGGCTTGCGCTGCGAACGCCATGCCTCTTGAGGCAACGGGGACGGGACCGTCATATATTAGGTTACGAACTTCAGCGAGATGCGTTCAGACTGTCTCCCATGTGCCGCTCGACTCACAAGCTTTTCATGATTCAGGAGAGGGTTGAAATAATACAATCTTGCGAAACCAGACGCTTAGTATCCATTCAACTTGCCAGTCGCAAATTCCTGTTGCAAGAGCAAACACCCAGTGTACGCGGGCCCCTTCCAGTGCTGACGCTTATCAGTCACGCGAACCGAGAGGTTGCTCGCTTCAGATTCACTCGAGTAGTAAATACGGCGATCATGACGAGCCGTCGCGTTGCCACGCGGCGGTGCCTGACTTTTCCGCTGTGGCTCCTTATCCTTTACCACGTGGCATCCACGTGTCGTGCGTGTCTTCCGCCGCCTATGTTCTCGGCAGCAGCAGACGGCTCCCCTCCGAGCCCTGATTTGGAGCCCAGCTTTCACTGGCTAACCGATGAGGAGCAAATCGCCATGGCGCGCTTCGCTGTGGCACAGCACAACGCCGCCAAGGTGAGGCGCGATTCGCTCTCAATCGAAGTGTTGCGTCTCACTCTTCGACTCCAGCTGTCTCACCACCGCTGCGTGTATAACACCTCGCTACCCACTGGGTCAAAACGAGGGTGTTATTTGGCGCAGCGGAATGCCCATTAACACTTAGCCCACAGGCGTTACACTCGTCCCCCCCTGGTGTCAACGTCCTCGTTGACGAACTTCAGGGAGTCGGCCCTCGCAGGGACCTATTCACTGTGCTCCAAGCAGCGACTTCGCTGGTGGACCAGGCCAGCGGAGGATCGTTCGCTGGGTTCAATCCGGTTACCACATTCAAGTTCTCGCCACAGGCGGAAAATGTGGATTTAGCCAGGATTTGAACCCTAGGCTCTGATTCCAGCATAACACCTCGCTACCCACTGGGTCAAAACGAGGGTGTTATTTGGCGCAGCGGAATGCCCATTAACACTTAGCCCACAGGCGTTACAGCGTGTGATGAGTCTGTTTTTTAGTCGACTCATAAAACAGTCTCGTCACACGCGGGTTTGAGACGATCGCGTCTCAAAAACAAGTGTTGCATCTCAGGTAGGCGACAGGCGACATGCGAGAGGCGACAGGTAACAGGTGGCAGGCGACAGGCGACAGGTGACAGGTGACAGGTAACAGGCGACAGGCGACTCTCCTTCTTTTAAGAGCAGCACTCCTGAACTTGAGCTGGCTGAGGGTTGCACCTTTAAATAGTCCCTTGCTTGCACCACAGCACCACAGCACCACAGCTGCACAGCAGCACAGCAGCACAGCACCACAGCACCACAGCACCACAGCACCACAGCACCACAGCACCACAGCACCACAGCACCACAGCACCACAGCACCACAGCACCACAGCACCACAGCACCACAGCACCACAGCACCACAGCACCACAGCACCACAGCAGCACAGCTGCACAGCAGCACAGCAGCACAGCAGCACAGCACCACAGCACCACAGCACCACAGCACCACAGCACCACAGCACCACAGCACCACAGCACCACAGCACCACAGCACCACAGCACCACAGCACCACAGCACCACAGCACCACAGCACCACAGCACCACAGCACCACAGCAGCACAGCAGCACAGCTGCACAGCAGCACAGCAGCACAGCAGCACAGCAGCACAGCACCACAGCAGCACAGCACCACAGCAGCACAGCACCACAGCACCACAGCACCACAGCAGCACAGCTGCACAGCAGCACAGCAGCACAGCAGCACAGCACCACAGCACCACAGCACCACAGCACCACAGCACCACAGCACCACAGCACCACAGCACCACAGCACCACAGCACCACAGCACCACAGCACCACAGCACCACAGCAGCACAGCTGCACAGCAGCACAGCAGCACAGCACCACAGCACCACAGCACCACAGCACCACAGCACCACAGCACCACAGCACCACAGCACCACAGCACCACAGCACCACAGCACCACAGCACCACAGCACCACAGCACCACAGCACCACAGCACCACAGCACCACAGCAGCACAGCTGCACAGCAGCACAGCAGCACAGCAGCACAGCACCACAGCAGCACAGCAGCACAGCTGCTCCTTTTGCCCTTCTTCCCATCCCCCCTTCTCCCCGTTCTCCCTCCCTTCTCTCCTCAATCTCTTCCCTCCTCCCCTCACCCCCTCCTCTCCTCCCCCCCTTCTCCTGCCGCGCCACGCCAGAACGACAGCCTACAACCGGTCTGGATTATGTCTGTAGAGTATGTGGAAAATGGCGGCACAGGCAATGGCAGCGCAGGGGAGGAGTACCTTGTGTCACTGGCGGCTCTCAACCTGCTGCGCGGCCGCACTGCCTTATTGGACGCCCTCCTCTCCCGCCGCCCTCTCGTGGAAGCGCAATCCGCGCTCCCTGCTGCTGCGCCTTCAGCAGCAGCAGCAACGGCGCCTTCAGCAGGAGGAGGAGGAGGAGGAGAGGGAGGGGAGTACGTGCTGCAGTCGGTCACGATGCAGGCCGGGTCGGAGCGTGCGAGCACGCGCGAGGAGCAGGAGAAGGCGTTGAGGCACGTGGTGTCACTGCCGCCCATACCGTGTGGCAATGAGTTGACTTACGTTGACCTGTCAGATGCTGACGTGCAGCGCGTGGCACGAGGGGTGGTGGCGAGTGAGAATGAGAGGCAGGTGAGTGATGGGATGGGATGGGATGGGGTGGGGTGGGTTGGGGTGGGGTGGGGTGGGGTGGGGTGGGGTGGGGTGAGGTGGGGTGGGATGGGGTGGGGTGGGATGGGGCGGCACACAGGGCAGCACTCTGCTACTGATCTCGCTGCTGGAGGGCGCAATACCACTGTCTACTTCCTTCCTTGCCCTCTCTCCACCCCCCTTTCGCCCCCCACAGGGCAGCACTCTGCCACTGATCTCGCTGCTGGGGGTTTAACGTTGAGGCACGTGCTCAGACCCATGCTCAGACCCATGCTCAGACCCAGTAACACTGTCTGCTTCCTTCCGTGCCCTCTCTCCAACCCTCTCCCCCCTGCAGGGCAGCGCGCTGCGCCCACTCTCCCTCTTCTGCCTGCTCTCTCACCCCCCTGCAGGGCAGCGCACTGCTGCTGATTTCAGTGGTGGAGGCACAGGTGGTAGTGCCTGTCCCAAGGCACTATCCCAAGACCCAACCACTCGCCGGGGTACAGAGAGTAACCATCCCAAGGCCTATCCCAAGACCCAACCACTCGCCGTATGTGGTGAGGCACACTGATGGCTCCCCTCCTTCCCTCCCCTCCTTCCCTCCCCTCCTTCCCTCCCCTCCTTCCCTCCCCTCCACATACAGGGTAGCGTGCTGCTTTTGATCTCGGTGCTGGAGGCACAGGTGGTGATACCGAGACAGAGAGTACACGTTCACACTGCTGCTGCTGGCTCCCCTCCTTCCCTTCCCTCCCCCCACAGGGCACAGCACTGCTTTTGATCTCGGTGGTGGAGGCACAGGTGTTGGTGCCGTCATGCAGATACAGAGAGTACAATCTCACCCTGCTGGCAGCAGATAACACCACCGGCATGGCAGCACACTATGCCACGCACGCACTAGATAACAACAGTGGCGCCATGCCTGATACTTCCACAAGGGGGGAACGCGAGTGGGAGGAGGTTGGTGAATGTGACGGCGTTTGCGGTGGTGGCGGGGATGCAGCGGAATGCAACAGCGGGGGAGATGGGCGTGGCGGCAGCAGGGGGGTGTGCCGGGAGGAACGTGAGCAGCAGCAGTGCTGGTGGTGGGAATGCAGCAGCAGCAGCGTTCAACAGCAATAGCAGTAGCAACAGCAGCAGCAGCAACACAAGCAGCAACAGCAGCAGCAGCAACAGCAGCAGCAGCAGCAGCAACAACAGCAGCGGCATCAGCAGTGGCAGTGGTGCGGTGGTGGAGTGGGACTTGGCACGGGCCATGGCAGGGGTGTGTGTGGATGAGGGGTGGGTGCTCATTCCTGCTGCTACCCCCCTAGACACCTGGACGCCTCCCCCTGCCTCCCCTAATGCTTCCTATAATGCCTCCTCTAATACCTCCTCTAATGCCTCCTCTAATACCTCCTCTAATGCCTCCTCTAATACCTCCTCTAATGCCTCCTCTAATACCTCCTCTAATACCTCCGCTAATGCCTCCTCCAATTCCTCCTCCAATATCTCCTTCAATGCCTCTGCTAGTGTCCCCTATAACGACTCTTACAATGGCTTCTCCATGCGCTCCCTCGCTCTCTTCGCCTTGAGCGAGCGCAATGGACAGAACAACATCACCTCGCATTTGACCCTGATAGATGTGCTTGCAGCGAGGGCGAATGTGGTGGAGGGGGCAGGGATCAACTACAGCGTGACTGTAACAGCAGCAGCGCAAGCAGCACATGTAGTGTTCCAGTCGGTGTCTGGAGGAGCAAACATGACAGGTGTGAGGGAGAGCAAGGAAGTGGCGACAGTGAAGGTGCTGGTGTGGCAGCCGGTGCCCTTCACGGCTCACCGCCTGCTTGACTTGTTCGTGTTGGGTGACGGAATGAGCAATGGATCTGCTTCCCCACCCCCGGGTCACACCCCCCTGGGTAACAACACGGTTGTGCCTAAGGCTGGCTGTTCTGGTGCTGCGCCGATCGGATTTGTGACCGTGCTTGGGGTGCTTGTATCCCTTGGCCTTGTGATCGCGCTCTTGTAGAGAGGCAAATGGTGTACGTAGAGATTCGTGATATACGTGCCGCATGCAATTAATTCTTACTGCTGCGAATATCTGTGTTGGGCTGGTGTACATGTGGTCTCTTGTGCAAGCTTTTGAGTCCACTCAAATGTGGTCTCTTGCTCTGTGATGTCTAGGTTCCTTTCCATGTGCTGGGTGGTACCGCAGCTTGAGAATACAGCATAAATGAAAACATCAAAACCTTCACCTCTCACATGTCAACAAAACTTCAATACTTGGAATATTTACAAAACGTCAATGGCATAAATCCAAAACATCAATAAATACACTACCATCAGTCCTCTGCTTTACTGTGCTTAGCTGGTCGAGCTCCAGCCTTGAGCAGTAGCAGCAGGCAGCAGCTCAGACATTGTCACATTCAGCAACAGCATCATCATCATTTGCCCCAGATGTAAAGGCAGGCACCACATGCGGTATGCCCACCACTACCATGATGCCATGCCATGCCATCACCACGCGATTAGGGTGCACCATCCCATGGCCGCACCACCATCCCATGGCCGCACCACCATCCCATGGCCGCACCACCATGCCATGGCCGCACCACCATGCCATGGCCGCACCACCATCCCATGGCCGCACCACCATCCCATGGCCGCACCACCATCCCATGGCCGCACCACCATCACATGGTGTCACTGGCAGCTCTCAACCTGCTGCGCGGCCGCACTGCCTTATTCGACGCCCTCCTCTCCCGCCGCCCTCTCGTGGCCGCGCTCCCTGCTGCTGCCCTTCCATTAACAGCAGCTGAAAATGGAGGAGAGGGAGGAGGGGAGGGATGGGAGTACACGTTGAGGTCGTGGGTGCAGCAGGCGGGGTCGGGGCATGCGAGCACGCGGGAGGAGCAGGAGGCGGCGCTCAGGCACGTGGTGCCGGTGACCCCCCCTCCGTGTGGCGACCTGTTGACTTACGTTGACTCCTCAGATGTGGACGTGCAGCGCGTGGCACGAGAGGCGGTGGCGAGTGAGAATAAGAGACAGGTGAGTGATGGGATGAGATGGGATGGGATGAGGTGGGATGGGATGGGGTGGGATGGGATCCATCCTTCAGAAGAGCCAGTTTACACACCATTCTTTTTGGTCGAGACCCGTGCTCAGACTCTGTACCCACTGGTGAGTGGTGTGAGAGGTGGCGGCCAGTGGGAATGAGAGGCGGGTGAGTGGTGAGACGGGATGTGTTTTTCACAGGGGTCAGTTTGCACTTCATTCACTCGCTCGAGGCCCATGCTCAGACCCATGCTCACACCCATGCTCACACCCATGCTCACACCCATGCTCATGCCCAGTAACATTGCCTTCTTCATTAACAGAGAGTATACGTTCACACTGCTGGCAGCAGATAACACCACGCACATGGCGCCACGCACATGGTGCCACGCACATGGTGCCACGCACGCACTATGCCGTGCATGCACTGGATTTGGGGCGGACGAATAACAGCGGCGCCACGCCTGATACTTCGCAAGCGGGGAACGCGAGTGGGAGGAGGTCGGTGAATGTGACGTGGTTTGCGGTGGTGGCGGGGACGCAGCGGAATGCAACAGCGGGGGAGATGGGCGTGGCGGCAGCAGGGGGGTGTGCCGGGAGGAATGCGAGCAGCACCAGTGCTTCTGGTGGTGGGGGTGGTGACAGGGCGTTTAAGAGCAGTAGCAGCAGTGGCAGTGGTGGGGTGGTGGAGTGGGACTTGGCACGGGCCATGGCAGGGGAGTGTGTGGATGAGGGGTGGGTGCTCATCCCCGCTGCTGCCACTGCCGACAATTCCACGACTCCCATTGCCCCTAGCAATGCCTCCTCCAATGCTTCCTCTAATGCTTCCTCCACCCACCCCTACACGGATGCCTACAACGGCTTCTCGATCCGCTCCCTCGCTCTCTTCGCCCTCGACCAACTCAGCAACCACAGCAGCCTCCCCTCGAATGTGACTCTGCTGGATGTTATTGTAGCGAGAGCGAATGTGGTGGAGGGAGCAGGGATCAAGTACAGTGTGACTGTAACAGCAGCGGTGGATGGATCAACGGTACCTACAACAACAGCGGTTCCTACAACAACAATTTTTGCAGCAACGGTACCTACTACAATCCCTGCGGTGCTGCTGAATGCGCCTGCAACCAAAGCCAAGGCAGCAGAGGAGGAGGCAGGGAAGCAAGTGGTGGTGGTGAAGGTGGTGGTGTGGCAGGCGGTGCCCTTCACTGCTTTCCAACTGGCTGACTTTTTCAGGCTGGATGGGGGAGACAGCGAGGGGAGTGAGAATCAAAAGCAGGAGGGCGTATGGTATATTGACTGTGTGTCCCCATCCCCAGGTTACATGTACACTGCTCATCGCACAGCAGTGCTCAGGGATGGCTGCTCCGTTGCTGCTCCCACTGGATTCATGGCATGGATCTGTGTGCTTGTCTCTCTTGGCCTAGCGCTGGCTCTCCTGTAGTGAGATATGGCTGCCTGTTGCGTCGCTCTATCACGCGGTGGTGAGGTCAGTTCTTCTATAGACGTGCACACAAACAATCTAGCAGCCGACCTTTCCTGGAGAGCTTGGAGACTGGGGCAGTTGATATTAGTGTGTTAGTGATCCGTTGGTGTGATCTGTTGCTGTTCAGTACAGAACACGTATGGACTCTGAGTAGAGTGGACCCACCCGGACTCAGTTAAACGATACCTTTTTATGGTTACACATCTGCTGGTTTCCTATTTACAGAGGGATGTTTGGGTGGGTGGTTGAGCTCCGCGAGCAACTGTATGAGACCCACCATCATCAGTACTCGGGATCACATATTACTTTCCGTGGTCACATGCGCTTGTCTTATATGTAGAGAGGAATGCATGGGTGAGCTCTTCACACAGCTGGATGCTAGTACCTAATGCGCCAACGAGCGAGTTTTTTTTTTTTTAAGGAAAACTTCATACGGTATGTGATACACATGGAGGGAGGGACAGAATGGGAAGTGAAGCAAACCCAACACGAGTATACCATACAAAGCATGAACAAACAACATCCAGACAAATCATATAAAAAACCATCAGCCTTAACGAAGTCATCTGATTTACTGTGCTCGCTCAGCTGACAGCTGGCAGCAGGCAGCAGGAGAGCATCAGAGCAGGAGTATCATGTATGGTTTTCCCACAATTGCAATCCCCAATGCTTGCACCCGCTGACATCCCATCCCATCGCCATGGGTTTAGCGTGCATCACACAGATGCACACGACCCCTACAGTCACACCAATTCCACTACCACTATAAGCACACAGCATCCTTCCTGCTCGTCCCTGCACACCCATTCCTCACACATGCAACCCTCACACATGCAACCCTCACACATGCAACCCTCACACCTGCAACCTCACACATGCAACCCTCACACATGCAACCCTCACACATGCAACCCTCACACATGCAACCCTCACACATGCAACCCTCACACATGCAACCCTCACACATGCAACCCTCACACCTGTGTATCTTGGTTCCACTCACTCACTACCCCAGCTACCCTGCTCCCTCTCTCCTCTCAAAGCACGAAGTGCCTCAGAGGGTTTAAAACAACCCTCATGGTTCAATTCAATCATCCTGCCTTCTCCATGCCCTGACCCATGGCATGGGAAACATGATCTGACCCCATGCTACCGCCGTGATACAATGTGACCCCATGCTACCGCTATGACACAATCTGACCCCATGCTACCGCCGTGACACGGTCTGACCCCGTGCTATCGCACTGACTCGCTGTGATCCCATACTAACCCGCCACGCCCATCTGACCTAATTGCACCGCTCCTCTCCCACCCGCTCACATGCCAGGGAGACGACGGATCAACAACGCTGTACGATACCAGACAAGGGAACTGCCTGCACAGAGAAGCCGGAATGCCCGGTTGCCACTCGGAAGAGGCATAGTAAATAGACTTCAGGTTCGGAGCATCGATGAACAGGTTGCTGCCGCTGCTGCTGCTGCTGCTGCTGCTGCTCCTGCTCCCTTCTTCCCCACCAAAGCACCTCCAAAACCGAGAGTCTTCCGGATCCTCGGGGTTGTCTTTGTAACTAAACCCCCGAGTTCTATAACGGTTCACACCAGCGCTGAGGTGGCGCAGCTGGCTCCACTCCACACGCACGCCCTCCAGAGGCCAGCCATACCTCAATACAAGTGACTCTACTGTAGGCGCTATGCTGCTGAGGAGATGGGTCACGACGCGTTGGGATTCGATATCGGAACCCGCCACGCCCATCACGGACGATCACGCCGCTGAACTTCTCGATTGGTTGGTCCGTTCAAGCAGACGGACTGAACGGAGGCCAATGGGAGCGAAGAAACGAGAAGCTGCGAGCGGCCAATGAGAGAGAGAGTGAGTCGAGAGAGAGGCGGCTGTTGCATGTGCAATCCACGTTAAGAGACCACGCAGCGGCAGAGAAGGACTTCAGAGAGGCAGGGAGGGCGAAGCGGAGGTGAAGCGCTTGTCTGTCAAAGCAGACTGTGATAGCTCGAGCAGCGATGAGGTTGAAATCGAGGGTGGTCGAACCAGAGCCAGGATTGGAGGAGGCGAGAGTGAGTTCATGCAGCTGCGGTGCGAGGGATGAGAGAAAGGACAGATCATTTTGATCACACTCGAGGATGCTCAGACTCCTTAAAGCCCGGAACCTCGCTGGATTCAGTTTGCCTAGTTGCCACGTCCCATGGCCCAGCTTCAGCCGCTGCAGCTGCTCAAACCCCTCAAGGACGCCCGGATACATCAGCGGATTCTCCTCAAAACTAAAACTATGCACTTAAAAAAAGTCTGGATTCAGCCTCCGTCCCTTAATACGAGTAGGTTTAATTTTTTCAAGTGGAGGTTCCTTGAGCCCAAGGCCCAGGCTTGTGAGGGAGCGCACAGAGGGGCCCACGAGAGGCCCGAGGCAGCGCAGGTCACGGGAGTCGCTGAGAACGAAATTGAGGGGCGCGTGGGGGGCGTGCTGGAGGAAGACAGAGTGCGCTCCCGAGGGACGTGAGGGCGTGGGGTCTAGGCGGTTGAGAGGCCGCGTCATGGGTTCCAAGTCCTGCTCTCACACGGTGTGACAGAGAGATGGAGAGAGAGAGAGAGAGCATATTTAAGGGGCCCTCTATGCCTTCCCTGCCTCATTATTTCGTGGGTGATCATTTTCGGCTCGAGAGAGAGCGAGAGAGAGAAGGTCTTAGCATTCAGCCCTCTCCCCTCCCCCTGCCCTCTCCCTCTGAGCCTATTTAAGGGGCCCTCTGTGCCTTTCCTGCCTCATTATTTCGTGGGTGATTCATTTTCGTCGGAGAGACTGAAAAACGAGGCGCTGAAGGATCTGATCCCCCTCGTCCGCCTTTCCTATGGGGCTCCCTCCACACTTTACCTCGACCACGACTTTGGCGCAGCCCCGCTGCAGAGCGCCAGAGGAGTTCGCCAAGGGGACCCGCTCGGCCCCCTCCTGTTCGCGGCAAGCATCCACCCGTGCCTTGTTGACACGGCGGCTGCACACCCTCAGGTGGTCCTGCTGGCGTACGCCGATGACATCACGCTGCTCGGCGACGCCACGGCCTGCACAGCGGCTTTTGTCCACCTCACATCTGCACTAGCCGCCCAAGGCCTGGTACACAACCCGGCCAAGTGCGCGGCGTGGTCCGCAACAGCAATTGACCCCTCTTCAGTTCCCCCAGGCATTACAATCTCTGAAGAAGGGTTGCAGATTCTAGGCAGCCCGGTTGGCACACCCCGCGGCTGCGCGGGCGCTGTGAGAGAGAGATTGGCAGCAGCAGCAGCCCCACTCCCCCTGCTGGCCCAGATGGATCCCCAGCTCAGTCTCCTCCTCCTCACCCGTTGTGTCAGCCGCCGAGCATCCTTTCTGGCCAGAACCACCCCCCTGGAAGCTCTCCCTGAAGCGGAATGGTCTGCTTGGGGGGAACAGCTTCTGCATACCTTCCTGGATTCGGCCCACATCATGAGCCCGAGGGGTGCCAGGGAGAGACGGAGGATTTGGCGGCAGGTGGCCCTGCCAGTGACCCTGGGAGGCCTGGGCATCACTGATCCCGCCGTCGAAGGCAGTTACGCCTACCTCGCTTCAGTGATCAGCGCCGCCCACCTCCTGCACTCCCTGGAGGACTCGTTGCACCCTGCTGTCGCCGCGCTCCTCCCCTTACTGGACCCGACCCACGGCTCCCCGCACGCGCTGCCAGCACGCCTCGCTGCGGCTGAGGCAGCTCTCCCACCTGAGGCTCTCGAGGTGCTGCAGGCCGGGAAGGCGGACCCCAAGGGACTGCTTTTGAGTCGACTCAAAAGCGGACCCCAAGGGACTGAAGCTGCAGCAGAGCCTAGCACTGGCGGTTCACTCCCGCCGCTTCCTCAGAGTCATGCGCGAGGCGAGGCGGATGCGCCCCAACCCCCGTTCTGGCCACGCGCAACGGATGCAGTCGGTGCTAGGCCCAGGGGCGGGGGACTGGCTGCTGGCGATCCCGCTCATCCCCTCGCTCCGGATGGGCCCGTCCCAGCTCTCAGCTGCAGCTGCCTTCCGCCTAGGTCTCCCCCTCCCCGTGCCTAGACGCTGTGACTGCCGCTACCGCACCACCTTCCCCGACGACCGCCTCCCCAACCACCTCTTGCGCTGCGGGAAGGGGAAAGGAAGGACCGCTACCCATCACGCTCTGCGGGATGAGATAGCAAACATAGGGGCTGAGGCGGGCTTTACGGTACACAAGGAGACGTATGTCTACTCTCTGGTTGAAAATCTAAAGGCGGATGTCACCATCCGTCATCCCCTGACTGGAGAGGTTTGGATGTGCGACGTGACCGTGACGGACCCGGTGTCATACCAGGACGAGAACTGCAACTGAGCTCCTGGATGGGCGGCTAGGGCGGCAGCAGCAAAAAAGGAGGAGAAGTACGCTCGCAGGAATGCGTGGGTGGGGTTCCACGCGCTTGCAGTGGAAACTTACGGCTACCCCTCGCCAGGGGTGATGGCTTACCTGCGCCAATGCGCGGAGCTAGTGGCAAAGCTGCGTTTTAACGCAGCACCCACCTCCTACGAAGCAGCGAAGCTGCTGACGGAGTACCGCCAGCGCTGGAGCGTGTGCCTTCAGCGGGCGCAGGCCAACGCCCTCCACACCAAGACCAATGAGGCCTTGGCGGCGGACGAGCTCGGCTTTCGGGGTCCCATCATCCCTCTCAGTGAGGGACAGCTGCACCAGTTGATCGAGGCCCCGTTCGACCAGAGGGTCGGACAGGGGGGGGGCGGTGTAGGTAGGGGACTTGAAGTAGATAGGATACCTGTTTGCGTGTTTGTTTTGCCTATGTGTTCGAATCTTCCATTGTACCACCCCTTTAGTAATGCAAGGACCATGAGAGAGAGAGAGAGAGAGAGAGAGAGAGAGAGAGAGAGAGAGAGAGAGAGAGAGATGGATGGGGAGAGATGGAGGGAGAGAGATGGAGGGAGAGAGATGGAGGGAGAGAGATGGAGGGGGAGAGATGGAGGGAGAGAGATGGAGGGAGAGAGATGGAGAGAAATATGGAGAGACGGAGAGAGAGAGATGGAGGGAGAGAGATGGAGAGAGAGGTGGAGAGACACAGCGATGAGTAGGTACTAGAGGAGCGACTTTGTGAGTCAAATTAAAGTCTCCAGAGTGTAGCTTGGCAGCGTCAATGGCTCGAAATCATGCTCACACGCAGCGATGGACACGAGGATGGTTGAGGAGGCTTAGCCGTGACCGGGACCGCTTCATAGCTCAGCACCCAGAGAAGAATTTTACCATGGATTACGGGGAGCAATGAGAGACTCACACAGGGAGCAATGAGAGACTCACACGGGGAGCAATGAGAGACTCACACAGGGAGCAATGAGAGACTCACACAGGGAGCAATGAGAGACTCACACGGGGAGCAATGAGAGACTCACGGGGAAGGAGGCGACATGGTGGAGGAGCCTCTTGCAGACCATGGCGCAGCGCAGCAGAGCAGAGGCCAGCAGGAGCCGAAGGTCCTCAATGCGTCGGGGGAGCCACCCCGATTCAGCACTTTATGTTTCAGACGATTCAAACGTCGAACTAAACGCTTTCTGCGTCCCTCGTGTGATTCGCCCAGCAGCACGTGGCGGAAGATGACGTGGCAGACGGGGCCGGGCAGCAGATCAACCACGTCCACGATCTGGTGGGTGGGAAAAAAAAAAGAGGATTTTTTTTTTCGATAAGAAGGAGAGAGAAAGAATGAGAGGTCAGTTCTCTGCGAGAGTCTCGTTCGTCCTGAGAAGGATGTGGTGTGAGAAGCCGCGAGGGGAATGATCGGCTGGGAATCACGGTGCGCCTCACTGTCTGCGGCATTGCTCTCACCTCGTGGTGCTTCTCGGCATCAAAGGGTGCTGTGAGATTGAGAGCATGATCCCCCTCAAGCACCTCATCTCCATGGTCTGCCATCAGCACCAATGATCGACGCAAGAAAAAACGCTGATTTCGGGAGGTTTCTAGAAACCACCGACTGAAAACAAGTACGGCCCTACACACCAGTCTAGGTTTCTGTCCAGGGGGTCTCTTAGCATGCAGTGAAGGCGAGGGTTTGCTACGCAGGCCGCATGATTATGGTGGTGTTTCGTTTCCGCATAGCTTTTATGCGGCAACGGACGCACAAGCTCTGCGCCAGGAAGCTTCCAGCCACTACATCATTCCACCAGTTCCTCGACGTTTCGCCATCGACGAGCACAGCAATTGCTCTGGTCCCAGTGGCCATTGTCGGACCAGAGCAATTGCCGTGCTGAGCTGTTGAAATAGCTTCACTCTCCTAGGTTTTTTCTGTTTCCCGTCAGACCCGATTTCCTCTGCGTCTGGTCTCCCCGCATGTTGGCCGCCGTGCTACAACTGGGGCAATCTCAGAACACTTCGAGTGAACCACACGTAATGCGTCACAAATCCGTAAATCTAAATTTGATTTCGTTTTGATAGACCTTTCTCTCGCAAATCTAAATTTCGTAGATTTTACCGAGACAGGCGAAGTTTCATTTTGCATCGAGTAACATACTTGAGTCGCTAGTGCTCGTTTCGCTCCATCTGACCACCTTGCGCAGTTGCTGAAACATGTGACCCTCTCAAACGCGTTCGGACAACAAGATGAAACCAGGTCCGAGCCGGTGCGAACTTAGCAAACCTCGAGAATGAACACAAAACCACCACAGCACAGAACAGTCGCATCAGGCGATGAACAGTACACTCAGGCAGGGAACGAAGCGGATGAGCCAAGAAAACAATGGGAGTCCCACGAGGGTTCCTCCCTCCCCTCAGCGAAGCTATGCGACAATGGACGACAACATGTAACACACACTCGGCGATGGCCAGACTGCGCATGTCTTCCCCACCTTTTCCTCCCAAGTTCCTTGACAGTCGCGCAAGTCGTACGAGATCAGGCTGACGAGATGAGACTAACCCAGCCGAGAGGAAGCACTCTTAAGGCGTGTGCAAAGTGCGCAAGAACTCGACGTCGAGCAACGTCGGCGAATTTCCACCCTCGGATCAAAGGTTCCAACTGTGACGACCCACTCTTACCGTCCCGTTCGTCCTTGTCAAATCTGTTTTCTCCCTCATCTCCTTCCTGCTTCATCGTCCGTCCTCAGCCGACTCTGCAATGGCACGCACCGCGAAAACCGTCGCCCTCCCACCATGCCTCTCAGGGCAACCGGGACGGGACCGTCATATAGGGCAGCGTCGGCGAGATGCGACAGGTGTTAAGCGACGGGCGACACTCCATGTTTCAAGAGCACTTTGCTGCTTTGCTTCTCGTCCCCACTCCAGCGTATTCTCTCTCCCACATCCCCACTGTAGCACAGTCACTCCCTTGCTTTCATTCTTGAACGCTTCCCCCTTTTTTTCTCCCCTTCTCCCCGTCTTCCTGTCTCCCGCTTCTCCACGCCAGAACGACAGCCAACAGCCAGTCGGAGTTCTCGATGTGTACCGCCCGAGCGCAGGCAATGGCAGCGCAGGCAACTCAAGCGCGGGCGGGGAGGAGTACCTTGTGACACTGGCGGCTCTCAACCTGATGCGCGGCCGCACTGCCTTCTTCGACGCCCTCATCTCCCGCCGCCCTCCCGTGGCCGCGCAATCCGCGCTCCCTGCTGCTGCCCCCCCACCACCAGCAGCAGCGGAGGGATGGGAGTACACGTTGAGGTCGTGGGTGCAGCAGGCAGGGTGGGGGCATGCGAGCACGCGGGAGGAGCAGGAGGCGGCGCTCAGGCACGTGGTGCCGGTGACCCCCCCTCCGTGTGGCGACCTGTTGACTTACGTTGACTCCTCAGATGTGGACGTGCAGCGCGTGGCACGAGAGGCGGTGGCGAGTGAGAATAAGAGACAGGTGAGTGATGGGAAGGGATAATATCCCCCTTTCACATGAGCTACTATGCACTTCATTCTCTTCACTCTGACCCATGCTCAGACCCATGCTCAGACCCATGCTCAGACCCATGCTCAGACCCATGCTCAGACCCATGCTCAGGCCCATGATCAGACCCATGCTCACACCCATGATCAGACCCATGCTCAGACCCATGCTCACACCCATGCCCAGGCCCAGTAACACTGCCTTCTTCCTTCCTTGCCATCTCTCCACCCTTCTTCCCTCCGCAGGGTAGCGCGCTGCTGCTGATGTCGGTGCTGGAGGCACAGTTGGTGATACCTGGGTTCAGAGAGTACACGCTCACACTGCTTGCTTCCCCCCTTGCCCCTGCCCCCCCCCCTCCCCTCCGCCAACCACCGCAGGGCAGTGCGCTGCTGCTGATTTCGGTGCTGGAGGCACAGTTGATGATACCCGGGTTCAGAGAATACACGCTCACACTGCTTGCAGCAGATAACACCACCCGCATGGTGGCACACTATGCCACGCACGCACTAGATCTAGGGCTGACAAACAACAGTGACGCCACGCCTGAAACGTCACAGGGGGGGAACGCGAGTGGGAGGAGTTTGGTGAATGTGACGGCGTTTGCGGTGGTGGCGGGGACGCAGCGGAATGCAACAGCGGGGGAGATGGGCGTGGCGGCAGCAGGGGGGTGTGCCGGGAGGAACGCGAGCAGCAGCAGCAGCAGCAGTGGCGGTGGTGGCGTGTTGCAGTGGGACTTGGCACGGGCCATGGCAGGGGTGTGTGTGGATGAGGGGTGGGTGCTCATCCCTGCTGCTGCCACTGCTGACAATTCAACGACTCCCACTGCTTCCTTCAATGCCTCCTCCAATGCCTCCTCTAATGCTTCCTCTAATGCCTCCATTTCCGCCCCCTATACCGACGCCTACAATGGTTTCTCCATGCGCTCCCTCGCTCTCTTTGCCCTGGATGAAGTCAATCAGAACAGCAGCCTCCTCTCCAATGTGACTCTGCTGGACGTTATTGTAGCGAGGGCGAATGTGGTGGAGGGAGCAGGGATCAACTACAGTGTGACTGTAACAGCAGTGGTGGATTCAGCAGCTGCAGCGACGGCACCGGCAGCAACGGCACAGGAAGCACTGCTGACGGTGCCTGGAAGCAAAGCCAAGGCAGTAGATGTGGGTGCAGCAGAGAAAGGGGCGAAGAAGCGAGTGGTGGTGGTGAAGGTGGTGGTGTGGCAGCCGGTGCCCTTCACGGCTCACCGCCTGGTTGACTTGTTCCTGCTGGATGGGGGATACAGTGGTGAGGGGAGTGGGAAGCAAAAGCAGGAGGGCGTGTTGCTCTTTGACTGTGCTTCCCTGCTGGATGGGGGATACAGTGGTGAGGGGAGTGGGAAGCAAAAGCAGGAGGGCGTGTTGCTCTTTGACTGTGCTTCCCTGCTGGATGGGGGATACAGTGGTGAGGGGAGTGGGAAGCAAAAGCAGGAGGGCGTGTTGCTCTTTGACTGTGCTTCCCCACCCCCGGGGCATGTCCTCCTTGCTAACTGCACGGCAGTGCCCAAGGCTGGCTTTTCTTCTGTAGTTGCACCGATAGGATTTGTAAAATTGCTTTGTGTGCTTGTCTCCCTTTGCCTTGTGCTGCCTCTCATGTAGAGAGCGGTCATGAATGAGTGCACCTGGCGTGCATGATAGGGGGCACTTGAGATCGACACGCACGCTAGTCTTGAGAAATTACCGTAATCAGATTCTCAGTAGCATGGTAAGCATGGCGACAGCATGTGCTGTTTCGATTTAGTGATAAAAATCATGAAGTGTTTTTTTGAACATTCAGTACACAATACATCAGCAGAGCCCACCATGTCACATGCTTACAAGAGAAACCCATTATTGTCCCCCCACACCACATGCCCTGCACACACCTCTCTTGCTTGCACGTTTCACTCCTAAATGACTACCAGGTTTGATTCACTCGATTTGCTACAGTACATTATCAAATGTCTCAAAGCATGAATTCAGTTCAGAGGCATTGAAGTTGATCATCCTGCGCCATGTCCTCCTGGGTCATGTAAAGTGCATTACGCTCTGGCTTCAACCGCATTACGGGACCCTTGCTTCGCCTTTCCCCGTCTTCTTCCCAGTGGAATGATCGACCAACAATGCGGTACAGCGCCAGAGAAGGAAAGTGCTTTCGCAGCAAAACCAGCGTCTCGGGCTGCCAAAGGCGAGTGGCAAGGCAAATCGACTCCAGCTTAGGAGCAGTGATGAAGGGAGGGGTTACCGCTTCACGTGTGCTGTCCCTATCCAGCAGACGAGGACCGTTGGCATCCTCCACTGTCGTCATGTAACTGACCCCTCTGTCAGTTCTGCCGTTCACACCAACTGCAAGGCGGCGCAGGCGACTCCACTCCGCAGCCACACTCTCGAGTGGCCAGGCATGCCTCACTGTAAGCATCTCCACTGTTGGCGCTATGCTGCCAAGCAGCTGGGTCAAGGAAGCTTGGGAAGCAGTCAGTCGAAGTAGAGCTTCAGGATCGAACGCTATTGCAATTGGACTGACCTCCTCTTTGGTGATTGGTCCGTTCAAATAGACAGTTTTGGCGGAAGCCAATGGGAGCGAAGCAAGAGAGAGCTGTTTGCGGCCAACCAAAGAGACAGAGTCAAGAGAGAGAGGGCTGTCGCATTTGCAGTCAACGTGAAGTGACTCTGCTGTGACAGAGAAGGTCTTCAAAGAGGGTGGGAGGGAGAAACAAACGTCGAGCACCTGGTTTTTGAAATTGACTGTAACGAGTCGAGCAACAGCGAACTTGAAACTGAGAGTGGTAGAGCCATGGCTGGTGGAGGAAAGCGAGAATTCATGCAGCTGCGGTGCGAGATCAGACAGGAAGAGATGATCATTCCTGTTGCAGTCCAAATGCTTGATGCTCAGACTCCTTAAATGCCTGAACCATGGAGCCTGCAGGTTGCCTAGCTTCCACCTCCCACGGCCCAGCTTCAGCCGCTGCAGCTGTCGAAAGGTCGCAAGAAAGGCCGGATAGATCAGCTGTCCGTCCGGCCCTGTACTCGATAGGTTTGCCTTGGTCGGCAAATTCCTTGGCTTTAAGGCTCAGGCTTGTGAGGGAGTTAGCAGAGGATGCCATGAGTTGACCGAGGCTGTGCAGGTCTGCCGAGCTGTTAAACACGAGGTCGACAGATCTGTGGGCTTTCCGTTTGAGAAACCACGAGACCGAACCTGCCCACTTGGGGACGAAGGTGTTGTGTACCAGGGCGATTGGCTGCAGCTCCTGCGCATACACACACATGTGACAAAGAAGAATTGTCCATGTTGTAACCGTGACACACGGCAGAGGATCTGCAGCTCCCGCATCCTGACAGTACGGTTCAACACCCAGAGCAGAATGCTTCATGCTGTGAAATAAACCGTACGGGACGAGGAAGAAGCGCATCACTCACAGAGAAGGAGGCTCGTGTAGGCATGAGTAGTGAGGAGTAGAAATGTAGGGAAGCAAGAGACGCAGCGGATGACTCACGGAGAAAGAGGTGACATGCTCGAAGAGCCTCTTGCTGGACATGGCACAGCGCAGCAGAGGCCAGGAGGAGCCGAAGCGCCTCGTGTTCTCCTCATGCTGCTCGCTGGCGGAAAGGGGCCTAGTTGTGGCGAATGAGGTGCTGCGTGCTCCCTGCTGTAAAGCGCCCAAGGAGTTGCCTCGTTTCTGAGTGGAGTTGGCTGGTGGCGGTAGCAGCAGGTGGCGGAAGATGATGTGCCAGATGGGGCCCGGCAGCAGATCAACCACGTCCACGCCCTGATGGGTGGGGAGAGAGAAGTAATGGAGATGAGGGAGGAATCGAGGGAGTATTAGAGGTGTGATGAGAAACCAGAAAATCAGATGCACTGTGGGGCAACACTCTCACCTCATGATTCTGGGCATCAGAGAGTGCTGTGAGCTTGAGAGCATGCATCCTCCCCAGAACCTCGGTCGTATGTTGGCTAGCCATGGCCGTCGACAAAAGGTGTTTAAGACAAATCTCCCCGCAAGCTCCTAGGATTGAAGTCGCTGCCAGTGGCGTTGAGGTGCGTTCGCTGATAACAGTCAGATGAACGACTCTGGTATTACAAGTATTCTGGTCATCCTATACACGCATCTCGCCGTGCTCGTACACTCGTGAATCCCTCAACAGTCGTCACATCAGCGATGGCGAGAGCAACACATTCGACCCATCGGGGCCATTCGTATGCTCATCGTTCAATCGAACCCGTTGGAGCGCGACACGGAGAACAGGGGAGGCCGCGGCGGAGGAAGGCGTGGAAGGGAGAGCGGTGCGGTGAGCTCTCACCTGGTTTCGGACCAGCGGCAGCAGAAACTGTGTCATTCGTCATGCTTCGGTCGTTACAACCATCACTACTACGCGTCGAGATTACCGGTCGTGTCGGGTTTTTTAGCTGCCGAAGTGATACATGCATGCATGGCAAGGCTTTCAGGACGGCCATGCACTTTTTCGTCCTAGCTGGCTGGGCTCGTTTTGCGAAGGCACGCGTCGGGAAAAAGTCTCACGGGTCTTCAAGCTAAACGAACAAACGAGAAGGTTCCGTTTGCTTACCGCTCCACAGAATCAACACTAGTCTGTGTTCCATCAGTGCATAGAAAAGGTAGTCCTTGTGCGTCTACCTACGGTAATACCGTAATAATCCAGGATTCCAGGTTCAACTCCGAGTGCAATTGATTGGGCTAATCTAGTTGAAAAGCTTCTCTTCCACATCCTGCCATCACGGAATACAGCATATGCCCCAGCCCCACCCACTGGTTGATACTGAGTTCAGCAGCAGATAAATCAAGACGGAGGTGTGGTTGTACAGTCGCACAGGGTGCTAAGTCAGTGTTGCTTGCAATGGCACAAGAATACCACTTGCACACATCTGAGCTTACGTGAACAGCAACCAGCAAGTGTTTTGCTGAATTCACATAAATGAAGACACATGTTAACTGAGGGGACACGACCTGAGGCAGGGGGAAAGAGGGAATAAGGGAAGGTCTGACAGGGATGGTAAGAATGGCTGCGTTGGTGGGTGAGGAGGGAGGGAGGGAGACTGTTAGAGTGAGACGATGGAGGTGATAGGGTCTTGTTTCGTGCGTGACACGAACAAACAAGAGCTAGGGCACCCATAGGCACCAGATCCTTCACAAGCATCATAAATTGCACTGTTACCTGCAATGCAGCACGCACACACATGCACCAGCACTGTCCATGCACCAGCCCATGGCGACAATATTGCCACCACTACCATACGCATACGGCAGCCTTCCTGCTCCTCCCTACACACACGTCCTTCACAGGTACCGTAACTCACCCACCTGTGTAACTTTTGAGGGCCCCCGAAAGCTAACTTACCCACCTGTGTCACTTGTCTTTGTTCATTCACTCACTCAACCAGTCGTATAGTATCAAATATCTCAAAACATGAAGGAGTTCAGAGGAATTACTTTTGAGAATTCTAATCCATGAACATCTCAAAGGTGGTTTAAACATGAAGCAGCTCCGAGGAATTGAATGAACTTCCTCATGCATGCCCTCCCCTGGCTCAGGGTGCATGCAATCTAATCTGGCCTCACCTGCACTGCTGCCTCACCTGCACTGCTGCCTCACCTGCACTGCTGCCTCACCTGCACTGCTGCCTCACCTGCACTGCTGCCTCACCTGCACTGCTGCCTCACCTGCACTGCTGCCTCACCTGCACTGCTGCCTCACCTGCACTGCTGCCTCACCTGCACTGCTGCCTCACCTGCACTGCTGCCTCATTGCTCCGCTTCTCCTGCTGCCTGCAAAAGTGTTACCTCAGCCACGTCCTTCTCTTCCTCCCTCGCCATCCACACCGCACCATCGGTTCCCCGTTTTGCTCTGCTCGATTGGTGGAGCACCAGCAGTGTGCTCTGGCAGCGGCAGCAGCAGCGCCAGAGCAGCAGCGCCAGAGCAGCAGCGCCAGAGCAGCAGCGCCAGAGCAGCAGCAACAGAGCAGCAGCAACAGAGCAGCAGCAACAGAGCAGCAGCAACAGAGCAGCAGCAACAGAGCAGCAGCAACAGAGCAGCAGCAACAGAGCAGCAGCAACAGAGCAGCAGCGAGCAGCAGCAACAGAGCAGCAGCAAAAGAGCAGCAGCAACAGAGCAGCGGCGCCAGAGCAGCAGCAACAGAGCAGCAGCAACAGAGCAGCAGCAACAGAGCAGCAGCAACAGAGCAGCAGCAACAGAGCAGCAGCGAGCAGCAGCAACAGAGCAGCAGCAACAGAGCAGCAGCAACAGAGCAGCAGCAACAGAGCAGCAGCAACAGAGCAGCAGCAACAGAGCAGCAGCAACAGATCAGAAGCAACAGAGCAGTAGAGCCAGGCAGCACCATCCTCATGACACTTCATGTCAAGTGATCAGCAGCTCCGTCAGCAGAATGATGATCAGTTGCCACAGCTATACAAGACAAGCACCACACATGCCCACCTTTGCCACCCCACCGCTAGTACCCATCGCTATCCCATCGGCATCGCATCATCATCCCATCGTCATCCCATCGCCACCACTTTCATCGCCAACTCTTCAAAATGCATAACTAGGTTCCACCCATTCACAAACTCAGCTTCTCTTCTTACTTCTCTCAATCACATACGTGAATTGGAACTCAAGATAATGCATCATGTCCGCATCATCATCATCATCCTCCGTGCCCCACACCATCATTTCAGGCTCTTTGCTCCACCTCTCCCCCTCTCCCTCCCCCTCATAGTGAAACGACCGACCACCACCAATGCGGTACCATCTGAGGGAAGGAAACCGCCTGCCCAGCGTTGCCAGGGTTTTCGCATGCCACTGCCGGGTTGCAGCAAACAGAATCTTCTGCAGTTTTGGAGCTTTGATAAAAAGCGGCCTCAATCCTTCATCATCCTTGCTGCTGCCGCCGCCGCCGCCGCTGCTGTTGCTCTCTCCTCTCTCAGCATCCGCGGTTGGCAACGTGTATAAAGAAGACGTGAGACGTGAGACGTCTCAAAAATCTTCTTTATACACGTCGCCGCTGCTGCTGTTGCTGCTCTCTCCTCTCTCAGCATCCGCGGTTGGCAACGTGGGCCTCTCACTACCAAGTCTGCTGCCGCCCACACCGATGGCAAGGCAGCGCAGGCAGCTCCATTCCGCACGCACCTCCTTCAGCGGCAAGCCATGCCTCACTGTGAGCGTCTCCACTGTTGGCGCGATGCTGCTGAGTAACCGTGTCAAGGAGAGCTGTGTGGCATCCAACACACGCTGAGAGGTGGCCTCAAAGTAATCACCATCGTAGCCTCTTGCACCGAAATCGCCGCCTCTTGCATCGTAATCGTAGCCTCTTGCAACAAAGCCGTACATCTCTCGCGCATGCAATCTGGACCGCACGCCGGTGGTTGGCCCGTTCAAATAGACATCTTTGGCGGAATCCAATGGGAGAGAAGACACGATAAGCTGTGTGCGGCCAATCAGAGCGAGCGAGTCGAGAGAGAGGGGGCTGGAGCACTCGCAATTCATCTCCAGTGCCGCTGCTGTGACGGTGAACTCCTTCAAGCAGGCAGGGAGGGCGAAGCGAAGGTTGAGCCGTTGATATTCGAATCTGAATGCAATGACTCGAGCAGCAGTGAACTCGAGACTGATTTCGGTGAGGCGGCACGGGCGGCGGGTCTTGGAGGAAAGAGACAACTCGTGCAGCTGTGGTGTAATTGCCGAGAGAAATGCCAGATCTTGGCTGGTGCACTCGAAATAGTCAATGGTCAGATTCCTCAGCGCCTTAAACCAAGCAGCTTCCAGGTGGCCTATGAGCCACTCTCCACGACCGAGAGTCAGCTGCTGCAAATGGTCAAAACTCCTGAGAAACGCCGGATTGATCACCCTCGGTTGGATTGGCGATTCATAGTCATAGGCATCCATGAACCCAAGGCGCAGGCTCGTGAGGGTGTATGCAGACGATTCCATGAGCCTGCAGAGGCTCTGCAGATCCTGCAAGCTCCTGAAAGTGAGATCAAGGGACCTGTAACCTGGGAATCCGAGGACGAAGGAGATCGTTTCTGTCCATTGGGTTTGCTCACTGTCGTATGCAAGAGAGATGGGCTTCAGTTCCTGCACGCACAGAGACTCTCTGATGGAATTAGCACGGAATAATTAGCTTGGCAAGGGGAGAACTATTTGAGAATTCTGAAACGGCACAGGGAGAACCAGCTCTCGTGTCAGATGACAGAGCACTTGGAAAGCAACAGAGTTTTGCGACGTCTTAAAACTAGAACAGCCAGCTCTGCATTCAGATGACAGAGGACTTGGAAAGCAACAGCTCAGCAGCATCCTAGACATACCGATCCATGAGATTAACTACAAACTATGTGTTACAGGGTCTTCTACGTGTGAGTGAAAAATCAGCACATGATGACTCACGGAGAAGGAGATGAGATGGCCAAGGAGTCTCTTGCTGGCCATGGCGCATCGCAGCAGAGGCCAGAAGGAGCCGAAGCGCCTCGTGTTCTCCTGATGCTGCACTTGGGAAAAACGTGGGCTGCTAAGAGCACATGATGGACATGATGGACTGGCGCTGCCTGCTGCCTGGAAATCCTCCGATTCCGAGTCGTCGGATAAAATCTCCAACGTCTCGACCCGGGTTGACTCGAACGCCACGTCGGATGAGATCTCGAAAGTCTCGACCCGACCCAGCAGCTGAGGGGAACCGGAAGTGCCTGGCGGAAGCAGCAGGAGGCGGAAGATGATGTGCCAGATGGGGCCGGGCAGCAGATCAACCACGTCCACGCCGCTCTGGTGTGTGGGTGGGGAGAGAGAATTCCTTATAAAGAGGATGATGCGATATGCTGCGACGAGAGAATGAGATCATCTGGGTATCATGATGTGATGGTTCGGCAGGCTATGGCATGTCTCTCACCTCGAGAAGAGTCGCAGCATGAGTGGAGGGTTCTATAGCCTTGGGAGCATGAGCATACCCCTTCTCAGTACCTCATTCCCTTGGTTAGCCATCGGCAGCGGCAATAACCTACGCGATGGATGTTTAAGAGACTCAAAAACAGAGGTTCTCGATAAGCCAAGACTACAATATCTCCAGCGAACCTCGTTGCCATTCCAGAAATGTGTGGCTCCTGACTATAATTCGAATAGTCGCCGTTCTTACCCATGTCGTTCGTTCTTGGTGAGCGGAGACTATTGTCGATTTGGGGTGTTTCGCAGGCTTGGGTTGGGTTGTGGTGGGTGGAGAGTGCGTGGCGTAGTACCGTGGTTTCGCCTGCAGAAAATGAGCTGTCGGGAAAACCTCTGTTGACCAGTTCTGGAGGTTGTTCCTTCCCACCGCTTCGTCCGACCAGGCCCGGTTGGACCAGTGAGAAATTGCGTCTCTCTTTCTTTGCCTTGGGCGATGGGAAGCCACACTCCAACGCGGGAAACGAGAGCAACCAGCCACAGTTCTAGATTGCAAGCCGCCTGAACTGACCAAACCGATCTGTATCTCCATTTCATTCGATTCCTATTCCAAGCTTAGGCACTAATTACATAGGTCTTGGAAATCAGTTGCTAATGAAGCAGCTTCAGCCTGGGAATCAGGCTCATACGTGCTTATCTCGTCTCCAATCTTTAATTATGCAACATGGAGCATGAAATCATTAATCTGTGGTGACACTTCTTGGATATAATAAATACCGTAGTTGTGTGATTCCAAACGTGCACATAAATTAGCCGTGTGATACTCTGCACTGCATATCATATGCAGTCACGGCCGGAGTGGCATATACTGAGAGATTCTGTGAGCATACAGGAGCATGCAACTAGCTCAAGTAACATTTTTGTGCTTTACATCTATATTTCCATAAAGAGATTCGGTGGGATCGTGAAGGGAAGGAAAATGGGGGGAGGCGGATTGATAAGAAAGACAGGAACAGATGTTTCAGTGGAAGAGAAAGAGATTGATATGGGGTGGAGAACGGAGTGGACTGGGGCGGGAATGGGAAATCAAGGTGGGTGGGGGTGTGGGAGGGGGTTGGTCTTGTTTTATTATTTTGTGGTAGCATGAACAAGCAAAAAGGACCAGAGAAGGAAAGAAAGGGGCAAGAAAAGAGAAGACAAAAGAAGTGCGAAAACAGAAGAAAGTATACCTGTGATACTACATTAGCTGGAGGCAGGCTCCCAACTGAAACTGCTCTCATTCCCCTCTACACACACCTAAGATCCCCATCCCATCTTTATTAAAAAAAGCCTGCTCTCCCCAATAACCCATACCCCCTCCTCCCTCCAAATTAACTTCCTCTTCCCTCCTCCCCAAGTATTTACCAAGAAAGGCTGCTTTCAACATCGCACCAAAGCATCGCTTATTCCTTTATTCTCTCTCGACCTGCCGTGGCACCAGCAGTGCCAACGTTGCCTTCTGAAGAAACGGCGAACGTACCCACAATCGCCTCTCAATCGCCTTCGCCATATTGCGTACAAGGCCATCCAGCAGCTGCTACAGCCAGCAGAGACGCTAGGCGAGTCATCTTCACCCACGCAACTCGCCAGTCAGGCACCCGCTCTTCTCGACTTGAGCCGCGCTTGTCCCACGCACTTATGCCGTACGGACATCCCACCTCGCTGTTTCCCATGATCCATACGCCGTCGTGCGCAACGTTTCCAACACGCCAATTCTTTTCCGCCCTCATCATTTCGCCTGGCGCCAATCATCCCTCCAATCCCCTCCCCCAACCTTCCCCCGCCCATCATCAGGCCGCCCGCGCTTTTTGCGCCGTGTCGAAAGGCCCCGCGACGCCGGCCGCTCCGCCCGCGCTCGCCATGAGACGACACGCGGCAGGCTGGAAGGGCGGTGCTAGGAGCGACGCGGAGAAGAGCAGCGAGGGGCAGCGCGCCGTGATGTCGAGCCGCCGCACCGCCTTCTGGTTCAGCCACGGGTGCTCCAGCACCTCGAACGAGCTCAGCCGTTGATCCGGGTTCACGCGCAGCATCCGACGGACGAGATTCTTTGCGTCGGCGGAGATGCCTTTCCAACTGGGCGACACGAAGTTAATCAGCAGCGAATCGTGAAGCGCGAGCGTCGCCGAATCGACGGCCGGAAGTCGCCCCGTTAGAATAGCGCACAGCGTGATTCCGAGGCTCCACACGTCAGCCTTCAACCCGTACGAGCCCCCTTTACTGTCACATCGGGCAACGCCGGTCCCTCCAGTGGCGGCAGCAGCAGCGCCAGCGGCTGCGGCGGCTGCGGCGGCGGCGGCGGCCTGGTCCATTTCCGGCGCCATGTACTGCCGCGTGCCCGCGCCGAGGTCCGCCTTCTTTCCGTTGAGACCACCTTTAACGACCGTCGACAGCGCGAAGTCAGCGAGCTTCACTCCCCAGATTCGCCGCCCCGCTCCCACGTGCGTCGCCGCGATTGACGGCGGAAGGTACGCGCTCCAGGATTGAGTTTGCTGAGCCTTTCCCGGCCCACCGGGAGGAGCTGCGACGGTTTTGTTCGTCCCTGGTAGCTTGGATGAATTCGTCGCAGCAGTCGCACGGGGGAGATTCGTAATGTCGCCCAGCGGCTGTCGCTTCTTCGCCCGGGCTTTTCCGTCTCCAGTATCTCCCGTCGCACGTACCGTCGCACGCTCCACCGCGTCCGCAATTTCCGGCGCGTTTTCCGGCGGGCGAACAAGCAACACATTGTCCGGCTTGATATCCCGATGCATCACACCCGACGCGTGGCAGTACGCGACGGCCGACGCAATCTGCCGGAAAACCGTCGCGGCGAGCGGCTCGGCAAGCGGACCGCGCTGCATCACCTCCGATAGAAGGTCGCCGCCCGGTACAAGCTCCATCATTACATGCACCTCCGCCGCGGCGGCATCGACGATGAAATCCACGAGGCGCACCACGTTGGGGTGGTCGCCCACCATCTCGAGCGCGCGCACCTCCGCGCGGATGTCGATGATGGCGGAGTGCGACAAGGGGAAGGTCTTGCACGCCACGCGCGGCGCGCCGGGGGCCGCGGTGACGTCCTCGCACTCCCACACGCTGCCCTGCGAGCCCTTGCCCAGTTTCCGGATGCGGCGGTACCGCCCGCCAATCAGCTCGCTCATTGTCGTGTCGGCAGTCGGGCTCCCCGCGGGACTGCCCTCCGGCCCCGGCGGCGCGGGGCTCATTGTTGGCGGTAATGTGTCTCGCGCCGCGGTTGCGGTGCCTCGAAGTGATGGAGATTTCAGAAGAGGATGATGATGAGCAGAGCAGGTATAACCTCAGTAGAAGCCCCAGGAAACGAAGCAGCTTCCTGGAGGAAAGGAAGATTTTTAAATAAGCGAAACAACGAGGGCACCTTGAGGTGCTTCCGCACGTCTAATCTTGGCAGCTCGTAGTGGAATTCGGTAGAGAATTATCGCACTTCAACGTCTCCTTGAAAATGAGCGCAGTGTGATTGACTTCTCAGAGAGCCCAGGGCCGACAATTATCGAGCAAGCGCTCTTCAGGAAGCTGGATGTGATAGACGCACGAGATTCTTGGCGGAATAATGGTTGCGCTGGCGCAACGCGAAAGTTGAGTCCCAGTAACTTGAAAGGAACTGGTAGGAGCTCTTTTGGAAACAGAACAAGAGTGAGACGGGAAGGAAGACGGGAGAGCAAAGAAGGAATGGGAGAGCGACAGCAAGGTGGATGAGATTCAAAATGTGTGTTCGTCGAGTCGCAAACCAATTCATGGCACAGCTGAAGCTGCCCGTCGTTGCCAAATATTAATGGATTTGCAGAAACGTACACTCCATGTTCCAGGGAAACCATATTAAACCCACTCAAAAGCTTGTATTTGCACTTCGTTGTTCTGCCCAGAAAACAATCATGGGGACCCCCAGCTGGAACTGGAATGGGGAATTATTGATGCGCGAAATTATTGGCGCACCTACCTGCGACGTCAACCGAAGGACGACGTTCGATTGATAAACTGGATCATGGTGAGACTCGGTAAGACTATCAGACTGTTAAGCCGGACCAACACATATTTATCACGCGTTAGTAATTTTAGGCATCACATCGAATTACCTGCATCAGCACCACATTTTTTACAAGTAATAGCATTATCGCTAAAATATTAAAATAAAATTTATCAGCAGTATAGTGTACAGTTATCTAATGATTGCGTTTGTAGATTAACATTACCTCATGATTACTTACTATAACAAAGAGCTAAACAGTAACATCGCCAAGATGTGATAGGCAATCAGCTTGAATTGTGCAGGTGTGAAGTTGACTTTCTTGTAGTCGGCGTGTTGCTCCGCTATAACGCATTCGGAACTCATCCTTCAATCATCAGAGCTTTCGATTGTGCCACATTCGCAAACAGCAGTGATGCGCCGCCGTTTGCGGTCTTCGGTCCATCATATTTCTGTGTGCCAGCGTCACCCTGGTTTTTTCGCGACATATGCTGGACGAGCGTCGCACGCACCCATGTCCTCATTTTGTCGCAAACAGGGAAAACCCTTGAGCCGCCAGAGGCACATTGTGCAACATCGTGCTGGAAACCTTTATGTATTGAAGACCCCTTGTTCCCGATGTCATGTTTGGGGAAACACTTTGACATGTAAAAAAGTTGGATATAGGCGCATCTTGTGCCTAGTGCTCAAGATTTATTTGTGGGTTCACTGTTTTCTCAAGCACGAATCCGTCACAACAGATCCCCACGCGTCTTGGCAACCAGTCTTTTACGAGCTGCCCAGCCAGGGGTACCCACCTCTGGGCAAAAACTGTCGCTTCCTGGTCTCACATTGAGAGGTCGCCTGTCTCCCTGCGCGCTTCGCTACTTTGGCGAGAGAATCACTACACCAACTTCATAGCAGTCCCCTCCCCATTCCCCTCCCCTCCCAACAGCACAGCTCCTTTTTCAGTCACTCTCAGATTAGAAAGACAGGGCGCACGCGCCTCGTCTGTAAGTCGTCGGCGCACCACTCTGCTGTACTATCCAGGGATATTTTGTTTGCGGGCTCTTGCGGCTGCCGGCGCCCCTTGCTTGGTGATACCCAGGGCTGGGAAAAGCTTCATCCACTGCCATGATTATCAAACAGCTGGACGAGAAGTCATTCCATCCATACTGCTGCTAGGATATGAGTCTCCGGCTACCGTGCTCTCGTTCTTTGCCGTCGGAGGCAACGATCGCTTTGGTGCCTTGAAGCTTGTTACGCTACCGTCGCTGCTATCTGAATATGTCCCCTTCGTGACATAGCAAAGACTGTTACAGAGGCTTATGCGTGGTAGGTACTTTTTTTTAGTGTTTGATCTCGGTGTGCACGTGTCGCAAAGGTAGTCCGCTTGATGCCACAATTGAGCTTTCTAGATTTAAAGAGGTTGAGCAGCGGTGCTGCCACAAATTGCCCGGGCAGGCAAACACGGTGAACAGAGGGTAGCGTACAGTACGCAGGGATCAGACGGAACGAACGGCGCAGAAAGAACGGAGGGCGGAACAGACGGGACGGAAGAAGCGAACGGCGGAACAGACGGGACAAAAGGAGCGGACGGCGGACGGGAGAACAGAAGGAACAGACGCAACGCACGAAGCAGGATAGGCAGCGAGTCTTACTGGGGAGCCACGTGGCTCTCCTAGGCAGCGAGGAGACAGACGGGCGCGAGAGATCGCATCGACGTATAAACTTAGGTCGTCACAGCGCTGTCGTTAGGCCTCCATATTGGCTCTTGTAAGCAGCGAGGAGACAGACGGGTGCTCGCGCAGTTTGCGCCAATCAGAGGCACCAAAGGAGGTGCGCCCCGCCCCTATGACCCTCGCGGAGTCGCAGCCCCCCTTTAGTTCGCACCGCGCATGGTATGCAGATGGCTTCTTGGACACTGTCGCTGATGGGTCAATGTTTTCGCAACACGAAGACAGCGCGGGAGAGGAATGCAATGGCGATGTTTCGAGCGACGAGCTGATTGGTGGGCGATACCGTCGCGTTCGTCGCGTCGGCGCGGGGTCGCAGGCGGTCGTGTGGGAATGCGAAGATGTTGTAACGTCGCAGCGGGTGGCATGCAAGAGCTACTTGATGGCGCAGGCCCCGTTGCGCGACATCGCGGCGGAGGTGCGATCGCTGGAGATTGTGGGCGACCATCCGAACATCGTGCGACTGCACGACGTGATCGTTGGGCGACAGGGAAGCAGCCGAGCAGGCAGAGTAGCATGCGAAGGGACAGGCGGAGCAGCAGGCCGAGTCGCGGAAATAGGAGCAGGTGTAAGGGCATGTAAAGCAGCAGAGGTGGATAACTCGTGTAAACCTGATAAATCATCCGCGCCTCGAATTTCCGCCGTCGCATCTCAGCCGTTGGATCCATCCATTGACGCGAGCGTGCACGTGCTGATGGAGCTGGTCCCTGGCGACGATCTCCTCACGGAGATTCTGCAGCGCGGCCCGCTTGCCGAGCCGCTCGCGTCGGCTTTGTTCCGACAGCTCGCATCGGCCGTCGCGTACTGCCACGCGTCGGGGGTCATGCACCGGGATATCAAGCCGGACAACGTGCTTCTGCTGCGGCCTCCTGATTCCGCCAGCGGCGGGCCTCGCATTGCGACGGGCCCTGCGACGGAACATGCGACAGGATGTGCGACGAGCGTCGCGGCGGCGATGGGCGCGGCGACAGCGACGGAGCAGCAGATGGCAGGAGCAACGGAGAGAACTGCGAGGCAAACGGGCGGAGCACGTGGAGCAGCACGTGGGGCAGCTGACCCGCCAAGCCAGGGTTTAGGGTTCCAACCACATTACCTTCCGCCTTCCAAGGCTGTATTGAATGCCGGAGCCTCTGGAGCCATAATCGGAGCGAGCAGCGCCGCATTGCCGCCAGCGGGCGGGGGGAGGAGGGCCGCGCGGGAGCCTCGTGCGGAGGAGGGATTGTGGGGGTGGCTCATCGGCGCGCGGCTGTTCCCCTCCGCCGCGGGCAGAGGCGCGAGTTCCGACGGGCTCGGCGCGCAGGGGAGGGGCGGCAACAGTCCGCTGCGGGTCGTTCCGGGGAAGGTTGTGGGGAGGCGCTTCGCGGGGAAGAGCACGCGCGTTCATCCCATGGCGGGGGGGGAGGCGGAGGGGACTATTGGCGCTGCGCTGACCGCGCAATCCTCGCACTCCTCAAGCTCTTCTGCTTTCCCCTGGCTTTCTTCAGCCAGTTCTATCCCCTTTGCGCCTACGCCCTCCCCAACCTCTGTCCTCCGCTCGCCCTCGATTGTGTCACACTCTCTATCACCCGCATCCTCCACACCCTGCTGTCTTACAATCACGACAGGGGGAGAGTTTGGGGAAAGGCGGTGCCCCCTCCTGCCCGCTTCCGCGGAAAGCAGCTCGTTTTCCGCCGTGGGAGCGGGGTGGGCGCACGTGGGTGCGGAGAGGGGCATCTGGGGGGTGAAGCTGGCGGACTTTGCGCTGTCCACCGTGGTGGCGGGGGGCATGCGCGGGGCAATGGCGGACAGGGGCGCGGGGACGCGGCAGTACATGGCGCCGGAGATACTGCTGCTGGAGGTGCGGCGGAAAATGGCCAGGGAGCGGCGGAAGGGAGGAGGGGGAGAGGCGGGGGGCAAGGGGGATGCGATTCAGGGCGAGGGTGGTGGTGGGGGTGCAGGGGGAACAGGGGGTGCAGGGGGAACAGGGGGTGCAGGGGGAACAGGGGATGCAGGGGGAACAGGGGATGCAGGGTGCAGCTATGGCATGAAGGCCGATGTGTGGAGCATGGGCATCACTCTCTGCTCCATGCTCACTGGCCGCCTGCCAATTGTCAAGCCGGGGAAGCTGCTGGCCATGCTGCATGCGCAGCAGCAGCAGTTGGAGCAGCAGCAGCAGCATGTGGAGTGGCAGCAGCAGTGGCAGCAGCAGCAGAAGCAGCAGTGGCAACGGAGAGAGGGTGATGTGGGGGTGGAGATGGGGAGGCAGCAGGGTGAGCAGGGAGGGTGGCAGTTGTGGGTAGGTCAACGTCCGTGTTTGCAGCAAGCAGCGTCGTATGCGGGGGAGCAGCAGATCAAGCAGGATTACCACCGACAGCAGCAGCAGCAGCAGCAGCAGCAGCAGCAACAGCAGCATGTTATGGCATCTCAATCTCAGAACGATCATGCCCCGGCGATCTCTGCACCCATGGCACATGCTGCACACAGCTACACCGGCGGTGGCCCTGCATTCACTAGTGCCACTTTCCATACAGTCACATCCGCTCACCTTTATCCCCCAGATCCCAGCCTTGCACCAGTGGACATGAACAGTAGTCTGCACATTGACTTCGAGTCTCCTGGCTGGAAACCCATCTCTGCAGCGGCGAAAGATCTCATCCGTCGAATGCTCTGCATCAACCCTGATCAACGGCTGAGCTCGCTTGAAGTGCTGGAGCATCCGTGGCTGAATCAAGGGTCTGTGAGGAGCCGCGACTTGGCTGCTCTTTGCCCCGCCTTGCTGTTCCATCCACCATACCCATCCACATCCTCATCTAAATCCTCGTCAACATCCACATCTGCGCCATACCCATGCACATCCACATCTACACCTACTTTTTCGTCATCGAATCGGATTGCACCTGTGATGGCAATGCAAGGTTGATGCATTCGGGGCGGCCTGGCAGTCGTGCTGTGAAGAGACTGCACCATTGGCACAAGCGGGAATATTTGATCTATTAGATTTAGCTTCAGCTCTTGCCATTGTTCGAGGTCAAGGTCTAGGCTGTAGCATTAGATACCGTAGGTTCGAAGCCGGATTGACAGCTGTGCAGCTACCTCAGCTGTGCAGGTCAACTGTTAGATGGAGCACTGAATGTTTTCTTATGCATCACTTGCTTAATTTCCTAGTTTTATGCCAGCTTGCAGGGCCCATATGAACTACAACGGAAAGCGGATTGATCTCGTCTGGTGGATGGAGTCTTGCAGAATTTAGTTGACAGGGAAACGAAGTCCTCATTTGCTGCGTTGTTTTGAGGCAAACTTTCCCGCGAAGAATGACTATAATTTCATCAAATCGGTGAGAGGGTAACTACTTTCGCAACATTCCCGTTATGTCTTCGTACAGCACGTTTTTCGCGAACGGCTCTGCTACAAGTTTGTTGACCGAGCACCCAGCTTCCTGGTGCCCGACAGATTCTCGTGCCAAAGTTTTGTTGCTCGAGGCCATCAATACCATCAACATTACTGCTATGCATCCATGCATGCTTATGGCTGGTAACGAGCTAGAGGATCTGAGATGAGTCTCGCCTGGTACTACGCCGGGTTGTATTGCTGCTAATTGCGAAACCATTGGATGAGTGTACTATGAGCAATCTGACAACTGTCGCTGCCACGTGTCAGAATTAGGGGTCTGGAAACCCACCACCAAGCTAGGATAATCTGAGCAACATACCCGACTCTGTCAAAGAAACTACACAAGCGCATGCTATGTTCTTCACTCTAAAGCGGCTCCCCTAAAGACTGCTTCTGTTTCCGCGGCCAGACGCACACACGCCTCGCGTCTTGTCCACCCCCTTCCCGGCCTTGCCGTGTCGCACTCCCACACACTCCGCCTGCCCGCCGCGCCGCTGTGCCGCAGTGCATGTTAGCTGACCAGCGGGGTTAGGGTTTCACTATGGTGCGAGGACGCGGCGAACGGCGTGTGGGACGACCAGCATCCTCTGATGCTTGTCAGCATGAGGTACGTGCTGAGACAGCCGCTGATGTTCACCAAATCGACATCTTTAATCCGGATGTTCCGACCTATCTCTCCCTCTGTCTCCCTCTCCCAACCCATCAGGGCCAGGACGTGGTTGATCTGCTGCCCGGCCCCATCTGGCACATCATCTTCCGCCTCCTGCTGCTGCCGCCAAAATGTCCCACTCAGCTGCAGAGTCTGGTCGACTCCCTAAGAGCCTCGCAGCAGAGAGCGGGCAGAACCTCCTGGCGTGCCACATCCTGTCAGCTGCGTTCCTTACAGCCCCATGAGGCCAGTCAGCTGCGTGCCTTACAGCACCATGAGGAGGACACGAGGCGCTTCGGCTCCTCCTGGCCTCTGCTGCACTGTGCTATGGCCAGCAACAGGCTTTTTCACCACATTACCTCCTTCTCCGTGAGTCACGCTCCATGAGTCATGCTCCATGAGTCGAGTCATGCTCCGTGAGTCGAGTCATGCTCCGTGAGTCGAGTCATGCTCCGTGAGTCGAGTCATGCTCCGTGAGTCGAGTCATGCTCCGTGAGTCGAGTCATGCTCCGTGAGTCGAGTCATGCTCCGTGAGTCGAGTCATGCTCCGTGAGTCATGCTCTGTGAGTCGAGTCATGCTCCGCGAGTCGAGTCATGCTCCGTGAGTCGAGTCATGCTCCGTGAGTCGAGTCATGCTCCGTGAGTCGAGTCATGCTCCGTGAGTCATGCTCCGTGAGTGGAGTCATGCTCCGCGAGTCGAGTCATGCTCCGTGAGTCGAGTCATGCTCCGTGAGTCGAGTCATGCTCCATGAGTCATGCTCCATGAGTCGAGTCATGCTCCGTGAGTCGAGTCATGCTCCGTGAGTCATGCTCCGTGAGTCGAGTCATGCTCCGCGAGTCGAGTCATGCTCCGTGAGTCGAGTCATGCTCCGTGAGTCGAGTCATGCTCCATGAGTCATGCTCCGTGAGTCGAGTCATGCTCCGTGAGTCGAGTCATGCTCCGTGAGTCGAGTCATGCTCCGTGAGTCGAGTCATGCTCCATGAGTCGAGTCATGCTCCATGAGTCGAGTCATGCTCCGTGAGTCGAGTCATGCTCCGTGAGTCATGCACTGCTTCTCGATTCCACGCACCTACTTCTCTACCACCACCATGTCGCCTCCTCCGAGAGTCATGCTCTCATGTTTTCCGCGTCCATCTGCACAACCTAGTCAACCACAGTGCTCTGGTTGCTAATCTGTCGCTTCCAAAGTCCTCTGTCATCATGGTGGGTGTTGAGCTGAGCTGGTTCTTCTCTGTGTGTGTGCAGGAGCTGGAGCCCATCTCCCTTGTGTACAACAGTCAGGAAGTCCAAGGGACAGAAGAGCTCTCCTGGTTTCTCAAGTTCCCAGGTCACACATGTCTTGACCTCACTATCACCAGCTTGATGGATCTGAAGATTCTCAACCGCCTTCTCGCATCTTCTGCACATTCCCTTATGAGCCTGTGCCTTAGGTTAAGCGCTATGTCTCCTGGATACGTTCCTATTCAACACCAGATGGTCAACCCAGGGTTCCTTGTAAATTTCAGGCAGTTGCAGCAACTGGCGCTTTGCAGTGGGAGATGGAAGCCAGGCAACCTGAAGGCTGCGTGGTTCAAGGATCTAAGGATTCTGAGCATTGATCATGCGGACTGCAACGAATTCAATCTGGTATTCCTGTCAGCAATCACACCGCAGCTGCATGAGTTCTCTCTTTCCTCCAAGAGCCGTCACGCATGCCACCTCAGTTTTGAGTTCTCCGCTGCGCGAATCATCACAGTCAGTTTCGAGCAGCAAAGGCTCAACCTTTGCTTCTCCCTCCCTCCCTCCTTGAAAGCCCTTTCAGCCACAGCAGCGGAACTGGAGGTCAACTGCACGTGCTCTAGCCCTCTCGCTCTCGACTCGCTCACTCTCATTGGCCGCACACAGCTTCTCGTCTCTTCACTCCCACTGGCTTCCGCCAAAACCGTCTATCTGAATGGACCAACAGCTGTCAAGCACTCCAGCTCGCCTTAAGAAGACCTTTTCGATCGCACCTCCATCTCGCAACGTTGCTTGGCTGCTACTGAAGCTTCCGTGACGCAGCTACTGAGCAGCATAGCGCCAACAGTGGAGTCGCTGACGGTGAGGCATGGCTTGCCGCTTGAGAATGTGTCGGCTGAATGGAGCCGCCTGCGCCGTCTCTCCATTGGTGTGAACGGCAGCAGGAGAAGTCGCGGTGGGAGACACACGACTGCATTGGATGATGCTGAGTTCCTTTCTTTTTCAAGGAGGGGCTTTGTTCAAGGAGAAGAGAGCGGTAGCGGCAGCGAGGACGAAGCAAGCAGCCCTCCGTTCATCAATGCTCCGAAGCTGCACTCCATTTTCTTTGCGACGCAGGAGTGGCACCTTGGAACCCTGGTGACCTGGTCTCTCTGCGCAGGCACTTCCCTTCTCTGTCGTTCTACTGCATTGTTGGTCGCTCGTTTCGGTGGGAGGGGGAGGGGGAGAGGCGGAAAACTGAGCCGGTAATGCAAGTGAGGAGAGGCGATGCTGCAGACAAAATGAGCCAGGACATGGCCCAGGATGATTAGGCCATGAGATTCCTTCAATCTCTCTGAACTATTTCATGTTTTGAGAAATGTTATCTGAATGATTGTGTTTGTGAGTTTTGACACACATGACTTAGTTGCTGTCACTTGGTTCAAAAGCTGTATACTTATGGCCCAGTTAGCAGCAGCAGAATAATGTGAAGTCTAACTGTAATTACGTATTTCTACCGTAAAAGATAGGCTTCGCTCGCAAGTGTTATGTGAATGCTCGAGGGGCACGACAAGCAACCTACAGTCCAGGCAGATATTGCACACAGCCAGAAACTTTCATACCAGCAAGCTCGAACAGCCCAGTCTGCTTGTCCCTTGGTCCGACAAGGTCCGTCGGACCGTCGGACCAGAGCAATCCCTATGCTCTCTCGTGTCTGGGAATCCCAGACGGATTGCGGCTCGACGATTGCGACATGCGTCAAAAGTTAACTAACTTTCGCGCAAACGTCATGAAACCGCCCGAGTGGTGTCTCGGCTGGAGAATGAGCCGCAAGCAAAGACCATGTAACCAGCGTAACCCTCTTCATTCCCTACATAAGAGTTTCCCGAGATCCGAAGAAAAGCCCTCTCGTGTTGGTGTTGTAGAGCTGTGACTTTGTTTCCAGTTGGCTTTGCGAAAGCCTCCTGCTTTCGAACGCGGGCGTTTTTGCCTATGTCGAATGCTGCGCAGTTGATTCATGCCGGTAATGGCTAGCCGTGGAGATGAGTCGCAGGCAGGAAACCACTCTCTCAATCCCACAGCACCCTATGATGTCGAGAATCACCGTGAGGTGAGAGTGATGCCGCAGACAGTGGTACACTGCACCATGTTTCCCAGCGGATCCTTTCGGTTCTCATCACAATCTCCTTTCTCATCCCAGAGCAAGAGATCTTCCTTCCTTCCTTCCTTCCTTCCTTCCTCTCAAGCAGCTCCTTTCTCTTTCTCTTCCTCGCAAGCAGTCTCTTTTTCTCTCTCTTCCTCTCTTAACTTCTTGTTTGTTTCCCCCACTGTCAGAGGAAGGACGTGGTTAATCTGCTGCCCGGCCGCATCTGGCACATCATCTTCCGCCACCTGCTGGACAATCCGGATGACCCCTGGGCCGCATGGCCGTGGGGAGCAGGCAGCGCCTCGTATGAGGAGAACACGAGGCGCCTCGGCGCATCATGGCCTGTGCTGTGCTGTGCCATGGCCAGCACGAGGCTCTTCCGTCATGTCATCTCCTTCTCCGTAAGTCTTCCTCCGCTGCTTCTACATTCCACAGCCTTCCCTGCTTCAACTCATCTCACCGCTTGGCACCTTCTGCTCTGGGTGCTGAGCTGTACGCTAACGGCTAAGCCCCTCTCCCATCATATCTGTGTGTGCAGGAGTGCGAACCCATCCAGCTGGTAGTGGACGCACGGGAACCCCGGCTGGCAGGAATGCTCTCCTTCCTCCTCAGAAACGCCGCTCACACATCCCTCAATCTCCAGCTCAAATCCTCCGACGACCTACCCATCCTCGCCCGTCTTTTGGAGCCGGTCGTGCGCTCCCTCACAGGCCTGTGCCTTGACGTGCGGGACTCTCCCGGGCCTTTGCTGGATCCGGCCTTTCTCGGGGAGTTTCAGCAGCTGCAGCAGCTGGAGCTACGCCTTGGGAATTGGCTCCTGGGCAACCTCAACCCAGCAACGTTCCAGGCTCTAAGGATTCTGAAAGTCCACCTTTTGGAGTCCAGCAGAAGGGACCTGTCCTTTCTCGCATCCGTCTCACCACAGCTGCATGAATTCGCTCTCTCCTCCTCCAGCATTGGTTATAGCATCCTTAAATTCAAGTTCACTGCTGCACGAGCTATTACAGTCTGCTTTGAGAGGCAAGCGGTCAACCTTCGCTTCGCCCTCCCTCCTTCTTTGAAGTCCTTTTCTGCCTCTGCGCATTCTCTTAACGTCCACTGCACATGCAACAGCCCACTCTCTCTCGACTCGTTCTCCCTGACTGCCCGCATGCAGCTCAATATTTCGTCGCTCCCATTGGCGTCCGCCAAGTCCGTCTACATGAACGCTCAAACCACCCAAAATCTCGACTCCCAGCTTGCCTTGACGCAGCTGGTCAGCAACATAGCGCCGACAGTGGAGAAGCTTATAGTGAAGCATGACTGGCCTTTGCAGAACGTGCACGTGGAGTGGAGCTGCCTGCGCCGCCTTGCCATTGGTGTGAACCGATTCAGCACTGAGGGGTTTGGATACACAGCACGAATGGGCAGCCTGGTCAATTCTGATTTTCTGAGGTGCTTCGGTGGAGAAGGAGGGTGCAGCGGCAGCGGCGGCGGCAGCGGTGGCAGCAGCAGCACGTTCATCAATGCTCCAAACCTTGAGAGTATTTTCGTTGCCACGTACAAGTGGCATCCCGACATGCTGGTTTCTCTGCGCAGGCAGTTCCCATCACTGGCATCCTACAGCGTTATTAATCAGTCATACCACTGGTAGCGGGAGGGATAGGAGCGGTGCAATCTGGTCACAACGTGTTACAGCGATAGCATGGCGTCGGATCACGCTCTTCCCCATGGGATGGGTCATGGCATGGAGCAGGCAGGATGATCGGATCACACCATGGGTGTTTCTTTGAACCCTCTAAGGAACTTCATGCTTTGAGAGAAAAAAAGGAGCAGGGTGGGTGGGGTAGCGAGTGTTGGAACCAAGGTTCACAGGGGTGATGCGTGAGGGAGGCGTGTGCAGGGACGAGCAGGAAGGGTGCCGCGTTCTAATAGTGGTGGTGGTAACGGTGTGACAGTAGGGGCGGAGTGCATCCGTGTGGTGCATGCTAAACCCATGGTGAAAGAATGGCGATGTGTGCTAGCAGTGGGGGTAGAAATGGTGTGCACACGTGGTACTGCTGCTCTGCTGCTCTGCTGCTCTGCTGTCAGCTGAGCACACTAAAGCAGAGGAGTTTCTGAAGGCTCATGGTTATTGATGTCTGGTGGATGCTTTGTATTGATGTATAGGTGATATAATGCTTTGTGGTGATGTTTTGTGTTTTGCTTCCCATTGTTGTTTCTCCTGTGTGCTTTGCCTCCTACAAGCGCTCTCGTTGCTGCGTTCAAGGTTTACGGCCCAAGCATTGCTACCGCATAAAAAACATGCGTAGCCACGATACGGTACATGAACATGTGAGTCTAGTCTAGATGGGGCCATCTGTACTGTAAAACTAAGCAGCTCACTGTCCATGCTCCCCATGAATGGTAGGCTATTACCGTAGCTTGTCTGGGTGCACGTTTAGCAAAGCATTGACTTCGCCGTGTGTTGCAGCGACTCTAGGCACCCATCTTACATGAGAGGCAGCACAAGGCAAAGGGAGACAAGCACACAAAGCAATGTTACAAATCCTATCGGTGCAACTACAGAAGAAAAGCCAGCCTTGGGCACTGCCGTGCAGTTAGCAAGGAGGACATGCCCCGGGGGTGGGGAAGCACAGTCAAAGAGCAACACGCCCTCCTGCTTTTGCTTCCCACTTCCCTCAATGTCTCCCCCATCCAGCAGGAACAAGTCAACCAGGCGGTGAGCCGTGAAGGGCACCGCCTGCCACACCACCACCTTCAGCAGCTCTGCCGGTGCCGTTGCTGCAGGTGCTGCATCCGCCGCCGCTGCTGTTACAGTCACGCTGTAGTTGATCCCTGCGCCCTCCACCACATTCGCCCTCGCTACAATAACGTCCAGCAGAGTCACATTCGAGGGGAGGCTGCTGTTCCGATTGACTTCATACAGGGCGAAGAGAGCGAGGTTGGGTTACTCTCTGTATGCCGGCACGACCACCTGTGCGTCCACCACCGACATCAGCAGCAGCGCGCTGCCCTGCAGGGGGGAGAGGGTTGGAGAGAGGGCGAGGAAGGAAGCAGACAGTGTTACTGGGTCTGAGCATGGGTCTGTCTGAGCATGGGTCTGAGCATGGGTCTGTCTGAGCATGGGTCTGAGCATGGGTCTGTCTGAGCATGGGTCTGAGCATGGGTCTGTCTGAGCATGGGTCTGAGCATGGGTCTGAGCATGGGTCTGAGCATGGGTCTGAGCATGGGTCTGTCTGAGCATGGGTCTGAGCATGGGTCTGAGCATGGGTCTGAGCATGGGTATGAGCATGGGTCTGAGCATGGGTCTGAGCATGGGTCTGTCTGAGCATGGGTCTGAGCATGGGTCTGAGCATGGGTCTGTCTGAGCATGGGTCTGAGCATGGGTCTGAGCATGGGTCTGAGCATGGGTCTGAGCACGTACCTCAACGTTAAAACTCCAGCAGCAAGATCAGTCGCAGAGTGCTGCCCTGTGGGGGGCGAAAGGAGGGTGGTGAGAGGGCAAGGAAAGCAGTAGGCAGTGGTATTGAGCCCTAAGAGGTGACTTTTGAGGCGCTTAAGAAACGGCAGCACTCTGAAAAGTGAAGGAAGTAGGCAGTGGTATTGAGGCCTAAGAGGTGACTTTTGAGGCGCTTAAGAAACGGCAGCACTCTGAAAAGTGAAGGCAGTAGGCAGTGGTACTGACTTTTGAGAATTCTCAAAAGTCACTCCAATATAGGCAGTGGTACTGAGCCCTCCAGCAGCAGCGAGATCAGCTGCAGCATGCTGCCGTTTCTTAGGCGCCTCAAAAATTGGGGAGAGGGTAAGGAAGGAAGCAGACAGTAGAAATCTAAACTAGCAGTGCCATGTTTGTTGCGATAGTGGGTATTGCGCATGAGCATGTGCCTCAGCGTTAAAATTCCAGCAGCTAGGTCAGTCGCAGAGTGCTGCCCTGTGGGGGGCGAAAGGAGGGAGAGGGAAGGAGAGGGTGGGGGGGTTGGAGGGGAGGAGAAGTAGACAGGCTGAGCATGGATCTGAACATAAGCATGGAGAGAAGGGAATGAATTGCAAACCGACCCTTGTGGAGGGATGATTCCATCCCATCCCACCCCTCCCCATCGCACCCCATCCCATCCCACCCCACCCCATCCCACCCCACCCCATCCCATCCCACCCCACCCCATCCCACCCCACCCCATCCCATCCCACCACTCACCTGCCTCTCATTCTCACTCGCCACCGCCCCCCGTGCCACGCGCTGCACGTCAGCATCTGACGGGTCAACGTAAGTCAACTCATTGCCACACGGTATGGGCGGCAGTGACACCACGTGCCTCAACGCCTTCTCCTGCTCCTCGCGCGTGCTCTCACGCTCCGACCCGGCCTGCATCGTGACCGACTGCAGCACGTACTCCCCTCCCTCTCCCCCGCCTGCTGCTGCTGCCGCCGCCGTTGCTGCTGCTGCCACTGTTCCTCGTCCTTCTCCTTTTGCTGCTGCTGCTGTGGTTACCACCGGTGTGGCTGCTGCTGCTGCTGCTGCTGCTGCTGCTGCTGCTGCTGCTGCTGCTGCTGCTGCTGCTGCTGCTGCTGCTGCTGCTGCTGCTGCTGCTGCTGCTGGCGGAGGGGCAGCAGCAGGGAGACAAGGACACTTGTTGCTACAGGACAACAAGCACAAGGCCCAGGGAGACAAGCAGCACAAGGCCCAGGGAGACAACCAGCACAAGGCCCAGGGAGACAACCAGCACAAGGCCCAGGGAGACAACCAGCACAAGGCCCAGGGAGACAACCAGCACAAGGCCCAGGGAGACAAGCACGACCACAAATTCCACAGGCGCAGCAATGGAACAGCCAGCCCTAGGTACTGCCGTGCAGTTACCCTGGAGGATGTTACCCAGTCATTGGGTGCGGAAACACAGTCATTGCTCATTCCGCCATCCAACACGAACAAGTCAAGCAGGCGGTGGTGAAGCTGCACCAGAAGCAGCATCACTCGCGGTCGCCCCTTGTGAAGTGACGGGCGTGGCATCAATCCAGTGCGTGGCATCAATCCAGTGCGTGCACGGCATAGTGGGCTGCCATGCCATGCCATGCCATGCCATGCCATGCCATGCCATGCCATGCCATGCCATGCCATGCCATGCCATGCCGGTGACCTCATCTGCTGCAAGCAGTGTGAGGGTGGGGTGGGCTCTCTGTACCGCCGCACCACCACCTGTGCCTCCAGCACCGAAATCAGCAGCGGAGCGCTGCTCTGCGGGTTCGGGGAGGGGGGAAGAGAGAAGGAGTGGAGGAGCGGAGAAGTTATAACATCTTCTTTGCCTACTGGCTGCCTGCAGGCGGTGCCCTCATCTGCTGCCAGCAGTGTATCCCGGCACCACCACCTGTGCCTCCACCACTGAGATCAGCAGCAGCGGGTTGCCCTGCAAGGGGGAGGGGGTGGGAAGAGCATGGGCCTGAGCATGGGCCTGAGCATGGGGCTGAGCATGGGGCTGAGCATGGGGCTGAGCATGGGCCTGAGCATGGGGCTGAGCATGGGGCTGAGCATGGGGCTGAGCATGGGGCTGAGCATGGGCCTCGAGCAAAGAGAATGAAGTGTAAAGTGACCCCTGTGAAAGACAGATCTCGTCCCACCGCTCAACCACCTCTCATTCTCACTGGCCACCACGCCTCTCACCAGTGGGTACAGAGTCTGAGCATGGGCCTCGACCAAAAAGAATGGTGTGGAAACTGGCTCCTGTGAAGGTGGGATCCCATCCCATCCATCTCATCCCATCACTCACCTGTCTCTTATTCGCACTCGCCACCGCCTCTCGTGCCACGCGCTGCACGTCCACGTAAGCAAGGTGCAATAATATGGCCGTCTTTTCAAACTGCTCTACGATTTCTAACAGGAGCCTATTACACGTTACCGTATTTGACGGTTGATTCTAAAAAAAACGACCATAATTTTGCACCTTGGACGTAAGTCAACAGGTGGCCACACGGAGGGGGGGTCACCGGCACCACGTGCCTGAGCGCCGCCTCCTGCTCCTCCCGCGTGCTCACATGCCCCGACCCTGCCTGCTGCACCCACGACCTCAACGTGTACTCCCATCCCTCCCCTCCTCCCTCTCCTCCTCCTGTTGCTGCTGCTGCAACGGACGCTGCCGCAGGGGTGGGTGCAGTTGCTGCTGCTGCTGTGGCTGATGCTGGCGGAGGGGCAGCAGCAGGGAGCACGGATTGCGCGGCCTCGAGAGGGCGGCGGGAGAGGAGGGCGTCGAAGAAGGCAGTGCGGCCGCGCAGCAGGTTGAGAGCCGCCAGTGTCACAAGGTACTCCTCCCCGCCCGCGCTTGAGTTGCCTGCGCTGCCATTGCCTGCGCTGCCATTGCCTGCGCTGCCATTGCCTGCGCTGCCATTGCCTGCGCTGCCATTGCCTGCGCTGCCATTGCCTGCGCTGCCATTGCCTGCGCTGCCATTGCCTGTGCTGGCAATGTCTGCGCGGTCCACATAGAGAACTCCGACTGGCTGTAGGCTGTGGTTCTGGCGTGGAGAGGCGAGAGACGGGGAGAAGGGGAGCAGGGATGAAGGGGAGAAGGGATGAAGGGGAGAAGGGATGAAGGGGAGCAGGGATGAAGGGGAGAAGGGATGAAGGGGAGAAGGGATGAAGGGGAGAAGGGATGAAGGGGAGAAGGGATGAAGGGGAGAAAGGATGAAGGGGAGAAGGGATAAAGGGGAGAAGGGATGAAGGGGAGAAGGGATGAAGGGGAGAAGGGATGAAGGGGAGAAGGGATGAAGGGGAGAAGGGATGAAGGGGAGAAGGGATAAAGGGGAGAAGGGATGAAGGGGAGAAGGGCTAAGGGGAGAAGGGATGGAGGAGAGAAGGGATGGAGGGGAGACGGGATGAAGGGGAGAAGGGATGAAGGGGAGGAGGGCTATCGCCTGTCGTCTACCTCGTCGTGGCCTCGTTCTGCTGCACAGTGGTGAGTCAGCATGAGTTGAAGGGAGAGAGTGCAACACCCGATCGAGACTCTCGAGGCGAGAGTACAACACCTGTCGTAAGAGAGTACTCGGAGAGAATCGAGGCGAGGCGAGGCGAGGCGAGGCGAGGCGAAGCGATGCTCACCTTGGTGGCGTTGTGCTGTGCCACGGCGAATCGCGCCATGGCGATTTGGCTCTCGTTACTCAGCCAGTCGAAGTCGATCTCCCAATTAGGGTTTGGAGGGGTGCCGTTTGCTGCTGCCAAGAACATAGGCGGAAGACACACTCGACACGTGGATGCCACGTGGCAAAGGATAAGGAGGCATAACGGGCAAGTCAGGTGCTGCCGCATGCCACGGCGACGGCTCGTCATGATCGCCGTATCTTTTCGAGTGACTCTGTAGCGAGCAAGCTCTTAGTTCGTGTGACTGATATAAGAGCCAGTTCCGGACCGCGGTGTTTGTTTAGGCGTCAGTTCTGCGATAGGCTTCTGCGATTGGAATCTTGAATCATGATGTTCTTGAATGGTCTCGAATGTTTACCAATAATAGCGTCTGGTTCCGCAAGAATGTGATTTTTCCAACCCTCTCCTGAATGATCAAAAGAGTGGGAGTCGAGCTGCGCATGGGAGACTGTCTGAAAACATCTCGCCAAAGTTCTTGGCCATAACTGATATTGAAGATCCCTTTTCAGTTGTCCTGAGAGGCATGGTGGGAGGGCGATGGTGTTCGCGGTGCGAGCCATTGCAGAGCCAGCTGAGAACGTTTGAAGAAGAAGCGGGAAGGAAATGAGGGAGAACGGATTCGACCAGGACGAATGAGACGGGTGGAGCGTCTCGTCACAGTTGGCAGCGCATGTGACGGTGGCGTGGCGAGATAAGGTGTGCTTCCTCTCAACTGGGTCGCTCTCGCCTCTCGTCTGCGTGATCTGCGCGTAAGACTCGCGTGACGGAAATCGAACTGTGGAAGAAAAGGTGAGGAAGAAAAGGCGAGGAAGAAAAGGCGAGGAAGAAAAGGTGAGGAAGAAAAGGTGAGGAAGACTCGTGGCGAAATTTGGCACCTGTTGAGATTTTGTTACATCGATTCGCTTATGGTCGCATAGATTCGCCAAGGGAATGGAGGAACACCTCCCATTCATCTACTTCATTCCCTCCTCGAGTTGTTGCCATATCGACGGTTCTGTGCGGTGGCAGTTTTGTGTACATTCTCGAGGTTTGCAAAGTTCGCATGGTCTCGGCGACCTGGTTTCATCCTTTGTCCGAACACGCTCTGGAGGATCACACGTTTCAGCAACTGCGCGAAAAGGTCAGATGGAGCGAAACGAGCACTAGCGAGTCAAGCATGTTACTCGAGGCAAAACCTTCGCCTAGGTCGGTAAAATCCGACGAAACTCGGATTTGCGAGATACTGGATTTGCGACGCATAACGTGTGGTCCACTCGAAGTGTTTCGTGATTTCAGTTGTAGCACCGCCGGATCCAACATGCGGGGAGACAGAAGCAGAGGATATCGGGTCTGAACCGGAAACAGAAAAAAACCTAGGGAATGAAAGCTAAGTCAACAGCTGTCTGGTCCGACAATGGCCACTGGGACCAGAGCAATTGCTGTGCTCGGCGATGGCGAAACATCGTGGAATCGGTGGAAGCTTCCTGGCGCAGAGATTGTGCATCCGTTGCCGCATAAGAGCTATCATGCGGAAACGGAACACCACCATAATCATGCTGCCAGCGTAACAAACCCTCGCCTTCACTGCATACTAGAGTTCCCCTCGACAGAAACCTTGTTTCTTGTGTAGGCGCCGTACTTGTCGGTTCCAAAAACCTCCCGATTTCGAACGACAGCGTTGTTTCCTACGTCGATCATTGGCGCTGATGGCAGGCCATGATGGAGATGAGGTGCTTGCGGGAGATCACGCTCTCAATCTCACAGCACCTTTTGATACCAAGAAGCACCACGAGGTGAGAGTAATGCCGCAGACAGTCCGCCTGAGGCGCTACAACCGTGGTTCCCAGCAGATTCCCCTCCCTTCTCACCACGCCTGTAACGCCTGTGGGGCTTACACGTAAGGGTATGAGAGCATCCGCTGCGCCTCAAATACAACCCTCGTTTTGACCCAGTGGGTAGCGAGGTGTTACAACGCCACTACCTTCTCAGGACGAACGAGAGAGGACTGACCTCTCATTCTTTTTTTCTCTCTCTCCCTCTTTTGTTTTTTTTTTTTTTGTTTTGTTTTCCCCACCCAGCAGACCGTGGACGTGGTTGATCTGCTGCCCGGCCCCATCTGGCACATCATCTTCCGCCACGTGCTGCTGGGCGGGTCGCACGAGGGACGCAGGATGCGTTTCGTCCGACATTTGAATCGTCTAAAAAATAAAGTGCTGAATCGGGGTAGCTCCCCCGACGCATTGAGAACCTTCGGCTCCTGCTGGCCTCTGCTGCGCTGCGCCATGGTCTGCAAGAGGCTCCTCCACCATGTCGCCTCCTTCCCCGTGAGTCTCTCATTGCTGCCCGTGAGTATCTCATTGCTGCCCGTGAGTATCTCATTGTTGCCTGTGAGTATCTCATTGCTGCCCGTGAGTATTTCATTGCTGCCCGTGAGTATCTCATTGCTGCCCGTGAGTATCTCATTTCTGCCCGTGAGTCTCTCATTGCTGCCCGTGAGTCTCTCATTGCTGCCCGTAATCCATGGTAAAATTCTTCTCTGGGTGCCGAGCTATGAAGCGGTCCCGGTCACGGCTAAGCCTCCTCAACCATCCTCGTGTCCATCGCTGCGTGTGAGCATGATTTCGAGCCATTGACGCTGCCAAGCTACACTCAGGAGACTTTAATTTGACTCACAAAGTCGCTCCTCTCATCGCTCTCTCTCTCCATCTCTCTCTCTCTCCATCTCTCGCTCTCTCCATCTCTTTCTCTCCATCTCGCTCTCTCCATCTCTTTATCTCCATCTCTCTCTCTCCATCTCTCTCCATCTCTCTATCTCTCTCTCCATCTCTCTCCATCTCTCTGTCACACCGTGTGAGAGCAGGACTTGGAGCCCATGACGCGGCCTCTCAACCGCCTAGACCCCGCGCCCACACGTCCCTCGGGAGCGCTCTCTGTCTTCCTCAAGCACGCCCCCCACGCGCCCCTCAATTTCGTTCTCAGCGACTCCCGTGACCTGCGCTGCCTCGGCCCTCTCTTGGGCCCCTCTGCGCGCTCCCTCACAAGCCTGGGCCTTGGGCTCAAGGAGCCTCCACCCGGGACTGTTACGCAGTATCGTATTGAGAGGAAGGACGGGATGATTATATGCACTCCTCAAGAGGATGTTGGTTTTATTCAGGTGAATCAGCTGATGTATCCGGGCGTCCTTGAGGGGTTTGAGCAGCTGCAGCGGCTGAAGCTGGGCCATGGGACGTGGCAACTAGGCAAGCTGAATCCAGCGAGGTTCCGGGCTTTAAGAAAACTGAGCATCCTCGAGTGCGATGGAAATGATATGTCCTTTCTTTCATCCGTCGCACCGCAGCTGCATGAACTCGCTCTCGCCTCCTCCCGCCATGGCTCTGGCTCTACCACCCTCGAGTTCAAGCTCACCGCTGCTCGAGCTATCACAGTCTGCTTTGAGAAAGCGCTCCTCCTCCGCTGCGCCCTGCCTGCCTCTTTGAAGAGCTTCTCTGCCGCTGCAGAGTGTCTTGTCGTGGATTGCACATGCAACAGCCCCCCGTCTCTCGACTCGCTCTCTCTCATTGGCCGCTCGCAGCTTCTCGTTTCTTCTCTCCCATTGGCTGCCGCCAAATCCGCCTATTTGAACGGGCCAAACAATCGACCAACCAAAGGAGACTGGTGGAATGATCTTCCCTGTTCCGATCTCGAATCCCAACTCGCCGTGACCGATCTGCTCAGCAGCATAGCGCCTACAGTGGAGACACTTGTATTGAGGTACGGCTGGCCTCTGGAGGGCGTGCGTGTGGAGTGGAACCAGCTGCGCCACCTCAGCATTGGTGTGAACCGTCTTAGAACTCGGGGGTTTAGTTACAACGAAAGGCCGGAGGATCCGGATGACTCTCGGTTTTGGAGGTGCTTTGGTGGGGAAGAAGGGAGCAGCAGCAGCAGCAGCAGCAGCAGCAGCAGCAGCAGCAGCAGCAGCCTGTTCGTCAATGCTCCAAACCTGGAGTCTATCTACTATGCGTCTTCCGAGTGGCAACCGGTCATTCCAGCTTCTCTGCGCAAGCAGTTCCCTTGTCTGGTATCGTATAGCATTGTTGATCCATCGTCTTTCAGGCATGAAAGCAGGTGGGAGAGGAGCGGTGCAATTAGGTCAGATGGGCGTGGCGGGTTAGTATGGGATCACAGCGTAACATGGCGATAGCATGGTGTCAGACCGTGTTACGGTGATGGCATGGGATCAGATCGTGTTATGGCGATGGCATGGGATCAGATCTTGAGTATTCACAGCTTCCTACCAGGGCCTCAGATTCGTTTGAGGGTACCCTGTGGACTCAGGGCAGTTTTTAAGAAACCCTATTTTGTCCTGAAATGTCAGGACTGTGCAAGGACGGGTTTGCTGTAGGGTCAGTGCTACAAATGACATTATCCTGACCCGTCAGTGCTACATTTCATTTTATCCTGTGCACGACGGTAAAGGCTGTATTTGTTCTAATTAAGAGCCACTTTGGAAACTTTTTTAATAGACATGCATTTCAACATTCATCCTCCTCCTCCAGAAAATATTGAAAAGCATCATTATCATTGTCCCCCCCACTGTCTGCATCCCCCCCATCCTCTGCGTGGTGGTCACGCTTCTCTGCAAGTGACCCCCGGAACCCTGTGGCACTCCTCTTCGATACATTCACCGTGGCTGCCTTGCGCTTGGTGGGTCGCCTCTTTTTGGTGCTGCGCCACAGTGCCACAACTTCACTCCACTCCATGTCGTACTCCAGTAGACTCAGCGTCATGAGGTCGCCCAACTTCGCATCGCACAAGCTGGTCCGCTGCCAGCTCTTGATGACATTCTGGCGCGAGAATCCGCGCTCGCACTCCACCGTGCTGAGCGGCAACACTGCCACAGCCGCCTACAGCCGCACCAGGTTCGGATAGGTCCGCTGCCAGTCCGCAGTTGACAGGATCGCCCGTAACCCCGCATGGAAGGGTTGCTCCTCCTTTGGCGCCCCGGACAGCACAGACAAAAACGTGCGCATCTCCTTCCGCACTTCGCGCTTGTTCACACCTGTATGATGGGATGATAAGGGAACATACAAGCGCAGCATCAACAATCGCGCTTCTAAGGGGTACAAGATACACAGCGATGTTTGTGGGCGAACAAAACAGTTATCTCACCAGGCAGTATATCATCTCTGACGCGAGCATGGAACATCACCGCCAGCTTCTCCATCTGTTCTTTGCGCTCCGCGTCTCTCGCCTCTTTCCCACGCGACCAGGTTCTTGGCATGAAGAGCTTTGCGGCGTTGAGATTTGTCAGGTCGCCAAGCCGAAAGTCGAGGTTGTAAAGCAGCTCAGTCGCAAACGAGCGACACGTTCGAATGCAGGACTGGATGTCACCAGCGCTCGCCAAGTACCCGGGAATCGCCTCCTCGTGCAGGGTGAACTCATGCTCCCTTGTCAGAATGTTATTATCTAGCCTGTAGTGGGGTGCTCTATAGCGAGTACAACCCTGTTAGGGTTTGCTATATGTATCCCAACTGCTGCTAGTGAAACCCCTCCTTTCTTCATTTCTCTCTTGCCTAGCTAGCTAAACCCTAGCTATGGCTCCTACTTGTGCTCATCATCTCAACATCCCTTGCCTCCCCGTCGGCGTCCACTCCCTGCACAGTCACTTCCCTGCTGCATGGTGCACTGTGGCGAGCAAGGAACGGCGACAGTAGAGTGCTCGCCCCTGCACCGAACTGTTGCCCACAGTCGATGTAGCGCTCTCTGATGAAGACTTCTGTACGCCTCAGCTGGGAGTGGACCCCCGTCAAGTCAACCTGTGGTCGGGTTTTGGATCAGGGAGGGCACAGTAGTGAAACACATCCGTGAGCATCAAACACCTATCAAGTGGATAGTGCTACAAAGCAGACAACGGTACCTCGCGCCTCTGGAAGAGCATGTTGAGCGAGTTCAGCTCTACGTGTACATCCGCCAGGAAGTACACAAAGAAGTGGAACTTCAAGCTGGTGACCATGTGGTAACAGGTTGAGTCCGGCTGCTCCAGAAGGACAATCACCGCCGGCAGCACCTTCACGAACCGGGCTATCGCGTCACCGCGGCTTAGCCACCGTACGGCGTGGATCCCTTGCATTTCCAGGTTCGTCCGGGTGAAGACGGCCTGGAGCTCCTTGAATGCAGCGTTCGAGGTGCTGCTGCGGCCGAGATGCTCCGCCAAAGCACGGATGAGAGCGTCAACCATGGCGAGCTCTGGGAGCGCTTCTGCAGAATCTTTCGCGGCAAATGCCTCCCTGTAAAGAAAAAGCCACGGACACGGCGTCAGGCAGTCAGTTGGTAAAACAGCGGCAGATGTTGGATCTGGGATGCAGAGGCACCCACCTGTGGGCGATGTAGTGGCACGAGACCACATGAGGGATGCAGAGTCGAAGTCGCCCGGTCAGTCCGTTGGTTCCGTCGAGCATGACTGGAGCGCCATCGGTGCTAATCCCGGCGATCTTAGCAAGGGGGAGGTTGATGCTGTCGAGGTAACCGACGAGCACTGCATACAGGGATCCTGCATCGCATTTGTCAACTGTCAATAGTGTGAGAAACTCAGTGGTAACCTCGTTTTCACGCAAAAAAGTGATGAAGACGATCATATGCTTCCCCCGCACGCGGTCAGTACTCTCATCACAGCTCAAGCCAATGAATGGGCTCGAGTCTATGAACTCCCGCTGCTTCGCACGAAGATAGCTTGCTGTCGCGGACACTAGTTCCGCGAAACCGTACCTGCGAACACACGGTTAGGGAACATAGTGTTAGTATATAGTAGATCATGTGTTACGTGAAAGATATGAACAGCATATTACTTACGTTGTGTAATACGCGCTGTAGCCATTCTTCGGGAAGCCCGGAGTCCCACGGGAAGCAAGGTGCCGGACGAGTTGCACCCACATCTCTATGGGTGCGTCGGTCCTGGTGATGAACAGCATGGTGTCCAGCAGCGACTCCACAGCGTCGTGCTCCACGTCACGGGCTGTCGGGCAGTCTAGGATGCGATGCTGTCCGGCAGCTTTGGCCAAAGCCAGCTCCTGATTGCGGATGGCTTCTCTGTGCTTCGTGGTCCTTTGATGACGTTGCATGGCCTGAGTCTGCACATCCAGGGCCCCCTCCCCTTTCCCGAAGTTGGTTCCTGTTCCTCCATAATCCATACACACTGTACATTTCATGGAGGGGAAACCAAATTTAGTTTGACAAATAATAAGCCAAGGGAAGTCCTCGTTCCACCGTCGTTTAAACATGAGCAAAGCTTCTTGATACTTCTCCTCGGCAACGTCGGGAATCTCGGTGTCAGAAGAAGCAGTGGCGGCGGTTTCAACAAGGACAGTAGGTTCGGTGGTCGGTTCATGATGTTGCCTGGTGACGGAAATGACAGCGGTGGTGTCAGATGTACGGACAAACGAGAGCTTTGTCTGTTGATACCGTTGCGCGGAGAGTTTTTGGCTCGGTGGTCCTTTGCGGGTCGTCCCAGCCGCCTTAGAGCACTCCCCTTGCGTGCGAATCGGCGGTGGCACGGGGACGTTGTCAACCACGACCGGTGCAGCTGTCACGGGAGAAGGCACGGGTGGCTGGGACGGCGACAGGAGGGGATCAGCTGCGGCAGCGGCAGCGGAATCAGCTAGTGTTGGTTTCGGCGGTGGTGGAGGCTGAACAGGCCTACTACGCAATAAATCCAGGCCCGTCAACCCTACGGTCGGGCAGGGCGGGCTAGGTATGGCGGGGGCTTCACCATCGCCCGCCGGCGATGGGTCAGCCATGGACGGTAATTTGCGGCAAAAATAACGAGACATACGGCGTCGAGCAGCTAGGCAAGTTACGGGGAAAAACAAAGATTGTTGGCGTTCTGGCTGGGGTTTGGTTGAGAGACGAGAACAGGCTGGAGGGGATGGAGGAAGAGACAGAACAGAACATCACAATCTTACCAACCCCAGACACATGGCGCGTCGACCATAGGAGTCGCGGCCTATGCGCTGGCACAAGCATCTTGCAAAGTTGGATAAGGGACAAGTTTCATGGCTAGGTGGGAAGCACGTGCCACCAGCATCTTGCATTGTTGGCCGTGTTTTTCAAGCGTGTTAAGTCAGCGGCGCACTGTGATTGGAAGATGTTACAGCATTACTGTGGTTCCAGGCTGGGCGCGGTGTGGTGTTGCGCCACCCAGGCAAAAATAAACAATGCGACAGTCACGGAGCGTAATTTACGCTGTACCAGGTCGGTGGTTGGGTACACTAGGCCCGGGGAAAATGCAGTATTCGCGTCAGGACGAGTCTCGACACTATCCTGACTCATCAGGGCTGTACCTACAGCGCTATCCTGAGGGCCCAGTATGAAAAATTACCATTATACTGATATCACAGGACAGACATTTGCATTATGCTGTTTTTACAGGAGAGGCACTAAACACCTATCCTGAATTCAGGAGAATCAGGATAAATTATCCTGATAACGTAGGCCCTGCTTCCTACATCCAGCAAGGCGCAGAGAGTTCACCCATTAATCCCTCTGTAAAAAGGAGATACGCACACGTGTAACCACAACAATGAGACTCTTAACTCCAGATTGGGGGGGTCGTGTGTGTACGTTAAGTGAAGCATTGACTTTGCCAACGGTGACAGTGTTACAGCGACACAAACGGCACCCACCCATGATACCATCGCAACAGGAGAGCCAGCGCGAGGCCCAAGGGAGAGAAGCACACGAAGCAATGTTACAACTCCCATGCAGTCAGCAAGGAGGATGTGAGTGGGGGGTGGGGGAGCACAGTCAATGGACACAGAGCCCTTCGCCCCTCCACTCGCCTCACCACCTCCCGCATCCAGGAGAAAAGAAGTCAACCAGGCGGTGACCTGTGAAGGGCACCGGCTGCCACACCACCACCTTCACCACCACCACTTGCTCCCTTGGCCCTCCCTCGTCTACTGCCCCCTCGCCTGCTGCCTTGGCTTTGATTCCAGGCGCAGTCAGCAGTGCTGCAGGTGCCGTTGCTGCAGGCGGTACATCCGCCGCTGCTGCTGTTACAGTCACGCTGTTGTCGATCCCTGCCCCCTCCACCACATTCGCCCTCGCTGCAAGCACATCCAGCAGAGTCACATTGGAGGAGGAGAGGCTGCTGTGGTTGCAGAAGCATAAGGGGAGGCGTTAGAGGAGGCAGTGGGATGAGGCAGTGGGCATTAGGATGAGCACCCACCCCTCATTCACACACACCCAGCACTGCTGCTGCTCCCGTTCCTCCCGGCACACCCCCCTGCTGCCGCCGCGCCCATCTCCCCCGCTGTTGCATTCCGCTGCGTCCCCGCCACCACCGCAAACGCCGTCACATTCACCGAACTCCTCCCGCTCGCGTTCCCCCCTTGTGAAGTATCAGGCGTGGCGCCGCTGCTGTTATCCAGTGCGTGCGTGGCATAATGAGCCGCCATGCCGGTGCCCTCATCTGCTGCCAGTAGTGTGAAATTGTACTCTCTGTATCTGTATGACGGCACCAACACCTGTGCCTCCACCACCGAAATCAGCAGGAGCGCGCTTCCCTGTGTGTGGAGGGGAGGGAAGGAGGGGAGGGAAGGAGAGTGGTTGAGTCTTGGGATAGGCCTTGGGATAGGCCTTGGGATAGGCCTTGGGATGGTTACTCTCTATATGCCGGCACGACCACCTGTGCGTCCACCACCGACATCAGCAGCAGTGCGCTGCCTTGCAGGGGGGAAAGGGTTGGAGAGAGGGCGAGGAAGGAAGCAGACAGTGTTACTGGGTCTGAGCATGGGTCTGAGCATGGTGGGTCCGAGCATGGGTCCGAGCATGGGTCTGAGCATGGATTTGAGCATGGATTTGAGCATGGATTTGAGCATGGATTTGAGCATGGATTTGAGCATCATGGGACCGAGCATGGGACTGAGCATGGGACTGAGCATGGGACTAAGCATGGGTCTTATCATGGATCTGAGTGAAGAGAATAAAGTGCAAACTGGTGAAGGACAGAGTTGATCCCGTCCCAGATTGACTGGGACTAATAGCAACGCAACTCACCTGTCTCTTATTCACCCTCGCCACCGCCTCTCGTGCCACGCGCTGCACGTCAGCATCTGAGGAGTCAACGTAAGTCAACAGGTGGCCACACGGAGGGGGGGTCACCGGCACCACGTGCCTGAGCGCCGCCTCCTGCTCCTCCCGCGTGCTCGCATGCCCCCACCCTGCCTGCTGCTCCCACGACCTCAACGTGTACTCCCATCCCTCCCCTCCTGCAGCTGCTGCTGATCCTCCCTCTCCTCCTCCCCCTGCTGCTGCTGCGACAGACGCTGTCGCTAGGTGGGTGCAGTTGCTGCTGCTGCTGGTGGAGGGGCAGCAGCAGGGAGCGCGGATTGTGCGGCCACGAGAGGGCGGCGGGAGAGGAGGGCGTCGAATACGGCAGTGCGGCCGCGCAGCAGGTTGAGAGCCGCCAGTGTCACAAGGTACTCCTCCCCGCCCGCGCTTGAGTTGCCTGCGCTGCCATTGCCTGTGCTGGCAATGTCTGCGCGCTCCACATAGAGAACTCCGACTGGCTGTAGGCTGTCGTTCTGACGTAGAGAGGCGAGAGACGGGGAGGATAAGGGGAGACGGAGAGAAGGGAAGAAGGAGGGGAAGAAGGGAAGAAGGGAAGAAGGGAAGAAGGGAAGAAGGGAAGAAGGGAAGAAGAAGAGAAGGGGAGTAGGGGAGAAGGGGAAAATAGAAGGAGAGAAGGGGAGAAGGGGGAAGGGGAGACGGGGAGAAGAAAAGGGGAAGCGTTGAAGAATGAAGGGAAGGGAGTGACTGTGCTACAGTGGGAATGCGGGAGAGAGAATACGCGGCAGTGGGGACGAGAAGCAAAGCAGCAAAGTTCTCTTGAAACGTGGAGTGTAGCCCGTCGCCCGTCGCCCGTCGCCCGTCATCCGTCGCCTGTCGCCCGTCGCCCGTCATCCGTCGCCTGTCGCCCGTCGCCCGTCATCCGGCACCTACCTCGTCATGGCCTCGTTCTGCTGCGCCGTGGTGAGTTAGCATGAGCTTGAAGAGAAAAGAGTACAACACTGGATCGGGACTCTCGAGGCGAGAGTACGACACTTGTTCCAAGAGAGTTCTCTGGCACTCGGAGTGAATCAAGGCGAGGCGAGGCGAAGCGAGGCAAGGCGAGGCGAGGCGAGGCGAGGCTCACCTTGGCGGCGTTGTGCTGCGCCACGGCGAATCGCGTCATGGCGATTTGGTTCTCGTTACTCAGCCAGTCGAAGTCGATCTCCCAATAAGGGTTCGGAGGGGAGCCGTTTGCTGCTGCCGAGAACATAGGCGGAAGACACGCACGACACGTGGATGCCACGGGGCAGAGGATAAGGAGGCATGATGGCGGGAAAGTCAGGTGCTGTCGCATGTCACGGCGACGGCTCGTCATGATCGCCGTATCTTTTCAAGTGACTCTGTAGCGATCAAGCTCTCAGTTCGCGTGACTGATAGGCGTCAGTTCCGGACCGCGGTGTTTGTTTTACTCCGTCAGGCTGCGATTGGCGTCTCGAATGGTCTTGCATGGTAACGGTTACCACTAGGGTCTGGTCCCGAGAAGCGGGGAGATGAAGCGGCAAGGAGATGAGGGAGAACGGATTTGACGAGAACGAACGAGACGGGAGGAGCAGGGCATCACAGTTGAGGGCGCTCGTGACAGTGGCGTGGCACACCAGGTGTGCTTCCTTCCTCTCAACTGGGTCGCCCTCGTCTCGTCTGCGTGATCGGCGCGTACGACTTGCGCAACCGCGAACGAACTCGGTAGGAAAAAGTGAGGAACAGACTCATTGACGAGGTTCGGCACTCGCCGAATGCGCGTTACATGTTTTCGCTACGGGAAGTAACTCCCAGGTTAATTTCGGAGTTTCACGCGTTCCTCGGGCTTGATTTCTTGGGATCACCTCCTTCGTTCCCTCTTCGAGTAACTGTTGTTCGCCTCATTGACTGCTCTATGCGATTCTGGCTTTGAGTACAGTCCTCGAGGTTTGGGTTCATTTGACCTTCATCGCAAAGTTCGCATCGTCTCGGCGACTTGGTTGAACACGCTCGGGTGTCTCACAAGTTTCAGCCACATATGGAGCCAAACGAGCACTAGCGACTCAAAAGTACGTTACTCGATCCAAACAGTACGCCTGGCTCTGTTACATCTCACGAAATTCGGAATCGCGAGAGATTGGCTTCGATCGAAACAAACTCCAAGGCTGAATTTGTGACTCACGTCACGTGTGGTTCACCCGAAGTGGTTTGTGAGCTGAGCACCCAGACAGACGAAGGAGCGGGAAACAGAAAACACCTGGCAAGTGAAGCGAACTCAACATCTCCGTAGTATACGGCAATTGCTTTGGCCCGACAATGGCCACTGGGACTACAGCAATTGGTGTGCTCGTGTTTGGCGAAACGTCGTGGAACCGGTGGAATTATGTAGTGGTTGGAAGCTTCATGGCGCCGAGCTTGTGCGTCCGTTGCCGCATAAAGCGATGCGGCAACGGAACACCACCATATTTATTTTTGCAGCCAGCCTAACAACCCTCGCCTTCACTAGATAGTAAGAGTTTTGCTCGACAGAAACCCAGCTGTTATTTGTTGTGTAGAGCCGTACTTTTTTTTCAGACGGTGCTTTCTAGAAACCTCCCGATTTCGAACGACAGTGTTTTTGCCTCACGTCGGTCGTTGGCGCTGATCATCGCAAAAAAGCAGGCTCTGCTTTCGGCTGTTTAGGTTGATCGAGGGTGGTCGAGGGTGGTCGAGGGTGGTCGAGGGTGGTCGAGGGTGGTCGAGGGTGGTCGAGGGTGGTCGAGGGTGGTCGAGGGTGGTCGAGGGTGATCGAGGGTGATCGAGGGTGATCGAGGGTGGTCGAGGGTGATCGAGGGTGGTCGTTGCCGCTGATCACATCGCAAAAAAACAGGCTCTGCTTTCGGCTGGTTAAGGTGATCGAGGGTGGTCGCTGGCGCTGATCATGGCACGCCATGGAGATGCGGTGCTTGCGGGAGATGCGGTGCTTGCGGGAGATGGGGTGCTTGCGGGAGATGATCATGCTCTCAATCTCACAGCACCCTGTGATGCCGAGAAGCGGCACCACGAGGTGAGAGTGATGCCGCAGACAGTGAGGCGCCACACCGTGGTTCCCAGCGGATTTCCCTCCCTTCTCACCGCATCCTTCTCAGTTTAGGGTTGACCTCTCATTCTCTCTCTCTCTCTCTCTCTCTCTCTCTCTCTCTCTCTCTCTCTCTCTCTCTCTCTCTCTCTCTCTCTCTCTCTCTCTTTTCCTATCTTGAAAATAAGTAACCTCTTCTTTTCCCCCCACCCAGCAGAGCGTGGACGTGGTTGATCCGCTGCCACGTCCCGTCTGGCACATCATCTTCCGCCTCCTGCTGCTGCCACCCTCACTCTCCTCCCACTCTCACAATCCAGCACTCGTCTGCAATACTTCTCCCCGCACCCACCCACCAGAGCGTGGACGTGGTTGATCTGCTGGACAGGACGTGTGTCCACCGCCTGCTGTGCGGTGGTGACTCACCCACGTCCCTGCGCATCCATCCACCAGAGCGTGGACGTGGTTGACCTGCTTTGCTGGACGCCCCCATCAGGCACATCATCTTCCGGCATTGGGCTAATCCTCGCTCTCCCTCTCTCTTTCTCATCGTACCAAACATTCCCTCACCTGCCAGGTGGACGAGGTTGATCTGCTGCCCGGCCACATCTGGCACATCATCTTCCGCCACCTGCTGGACGAACGGGATCATCACTCCAAGTCCTCATTCGCATCGCTGCAGGGAACTGCCACTAGCAGCATGGAGTCCGGAGCCACAGCCACTCCACCTTCTGACTTCTCAGAGCAGCATGCGAAGGCCATGGATCACTTCGGCTCGTCTTGGCCTCTGCTACGCTACGCCATGGCCAGCAAGAGGCTCCTCCAGCATGTCGTCTCCTTCTCCGTGAGTCGTCACCTCATCACGCACTGCTTCCCTCATTCCATCATCGAACAATTCAGAGTTGCCAGGGTAGGGTTTAGGGTACGTTCATCTCACGGGCATGGTCATTTCTGCTCTCTGGGGTGCTGAGCTGTACGGTCATGGCTAGGCTCCTCTGCCATCTCTGTACCCTTTACCATCTCTGTACCCTTTACCATCTCTGTACCCTTTACCATCTCTGTACCTGTACCCTTTACCATCTCTGTACCCTTTACCATCTCTGTACCCTTTACCATCTCTGTACCCTTTACCATCTCTGTACCCTTTACCATCTCTGTACCCTTTACCATCTCTATACCCTTTACCATCTCTGTACCCTTTACCATCTCTGTACCTGTACCCTTTACCATCTCTGTACCCTTTACCATCTCTGTACCCATCTCTGTGTGCGCATGATTGCCACCTAGGGATGAGCGTCGTTCGAACATCGAACATGTTCGCCCGGACAGTCACGAACACAGTCTGTGGGCGAACCGAACATGTTCGGTTCGCCCGAACACCTTTTACAGAAATGTTAGGTTCGATGTTCGCCCACAGTGGGCGCACATCTTAAGGGAGGGCGAACAGGGGACATGTTCGGGCGAACCCGAACATGTTCGGGTTCGCCCACTGCATGGGGGGGAAATCTGCTTATGTTTTAGTGGATATGAGATTCTGTTGGGATATGTTATGCTCATTCCATTACCGTTCCCACCCCATTGGTTCCTAACTAACGGTTGATGTGGGCGATTTAGTGTAGGAAGGTACGTTGGGTGGCGCTTAGGCTCTAGATTAACCCTAGGAAAAGTAGATCGAGCTGAGAAACAGCTCAATCTGCTCTTCCCGTCCATTTCGTATCCAACAAGCGCGACATTGTCGAGCTGGAAATTTCCCGAACATCAAAATGTTCCGGAAAACAGGATTGATGCCCGAACATGTTCGATGTTCGGGCACTAGACACGCGCGCGCCACGAACGCGCGAACATGTTCGGGCCGAACCCGAACATGTTCGCGCGAACATTTTACCCAAAAAAGGGATGAAAGTTCGGTTCGCCCCCGAACATGTTCGGGCGAACCGAACGCCCGTTCGCCATTTTGCTCATCCCTATTGCCACCCATGACGTTCCTATTCAACACTTGGGGAATTTGGGTTGACTCAAAAGTTGCTCCTCTACCATCTCTCTACCATCTCTCTACCATCTCTCTACCATCTCTCTACCGTCTCTCTACCATCTCTCTACCATCTCTCCGCCATCTATCCGCCATCTCTCTGTCCATGCCCCTCGAGCAGGAGTTCGAGCTTCGGGCGCTGCTGTTCAACACCAAAGTCCCCCGGGTGGCAGGAATGCTCTCCTACTTCCTCCGGCACGCGGCTCACACGTCCCTTTATCTCATGCTCAACACAAACCAGGACATGCAGTGCATCAACCGTCTCTTGCAGCCCTCTGCGCGCTCCCTCACAAGCCTGTCCATTGAGGTCGTGTACCGGCCCAGGAAGGGTTTTCAGGAGAGGGAGCAGCTGATGCGTCCGGCATTTCTGGGGGAGTTTGAGCAGCTGGAGCTGCTGGAGCTAGGCTGTGGCATCTGGAAACTAGACAAGCTGAATCCAGCAAGGCTCCGGGCTTTAAGGCGTCTGAGAATCGAGGATTTCGACTGCGACAGACATGCTCTGTCCTTTCTCTCATCCGTCGCACCGCAGCTGCATGAACTCAATCTCTTTTCCTCCAGTCATGGCTCTGGCACCACCACGCTCGATTTCGAGCTCACCGCTGCTCGAAAAATCGCAGTCTGCTTTGAGAATCAATCGGTCAACCTCCGCTTCGCCGTTGCTCCCTCTTTGAAGTCCTTCTCTGCCGCTGCCAAGTTTCTCAACGTCCACTGCACATGTGACAGCCCCCTCTATCTCGACTTACTTTCTCTGAGTGGCCACGCACGTCTCTCCGTTTCTTCGCTCCCAATATCTTCCGCCAGATTTGTCTACTGGAACGATTTAACCACCCACGCTCGCTTGACCGACCTGCTCAACCATATAGCGCCGTCAGTTGAGAGGCTTAGAATGATGTATGACTGGCCGTGCATGCGGAGTGGAGCAGCCTGTGCGCCCTTACCATTGGTGCGGACCGTGACGAGGACGGGTTTTTTTTCGATGACGAAAAACTGATCGACACAAAAGATGAATTTTTTTGAAAGTGTGTAACACTTTCTAAAAATGTGTATTTTGAAAGCGAAGCTGCTTGTAATGCAGCAATGGCAACGGCGAAGTGCTAGACGCTCTTCGCCAACTATATAGCAGGGGGTGGAGGCCATTTGGCCTCCACCCACGTCTTCGTTTGAAATTTCAAATGTCTTATTTCCCACCCACCCACCCTAGCAAAAATTGCATGTTGTTATGTGTAATGTAGGTACCATATATATCCCGGACGAGAATGATGTAATGTCCATTTGAAACGAAGCTCGTTGCCATTGCCCATTTGAAACGAAGCTCGTTGCCATTGCAAACACAAGAAAGCAAGCTTTCTAAATATTCTTATTTCTTGAGGTGCTTCGGTGGGGAAACAGGGAGCCCATTCATCAACGCTCCGAAGCTGAAATATATTACCCTTGACACTATAAGGGGGTGTCCAGCTCGTTCATTTCGGGAAATTTAGTACCCCCTCACGATCCGTGGTTCAAAACTGATCAGTGTACCTAAAAACGAACGTGCCCTGAGTCGAGTCCACCCTTTCTGTCAATTCTAGCGCGCGGACACATTCCCCCCACAAATAGTTCAACAGTGTCACGGCTGGGTGGAAACCGAGGTAACCTAGTATATTCGTCAACCAGATTTCGCCCAGTCAACACCTCCTCTGCTGAACGAACCGCACACACAAAAAACACCTGGAGGGCATTCCAGCCCTCCCACACGCACAAAATTCGCGAAGTCAACATCTCCTCCGCTGAACGAACCGCACACACAAAAAACACCTGGAGGGCATTTCAGCCCTCCCATACGCACAAAATTCGCGAAGTCAACAGCTCCTCTGCTGAACGAACCGCACACACAAAAAACACCTGGAGGGCATTCCACCCCTCCCATACGCACCAATCAAACAATCAAAATTGGAGGAGGGCATTCCAGCCCGCACATACGCACCAATCAAACAAGCAAAATTCGAGGAGGGCATTCATTCCCTCCCATGCGCTTCCGTCACGCACTCACGCCCGTACATGGCGCTTGCAAGATTTGCGCTGAATGCTGGGCAACATGCTTGACGAGTTGGTTTTTTGCTGTGTTGGCGAATCTGGATTTATGATGCGCTTCTAAATTTGAGATGTCATGCAATGTTGAAGGCCAGAGCGCAGGTGGTTTTGGCGAGCGTCAGGCGGGACTGGCGAAATCGTGAGGGCGATCCGAAGGGCACTCACTGTAGAGGGCAGGACGCGGTGCTGTACCTAGGTTCGATGCGCACGCTGATTCCAGTTATGGGCGTCACACGATTCGAGGTACGTGCAGGGGGTGTGCCGTAACGTGAACGGGAGCCGCACGCGTCCGGAATTTTTGTAAAAGTCAGTGTTACAACGCAAAATGTGGTAACTGAAGGGCTTTACGAACAGTAAATGTACGAGCTGGACACCCCCTAAGGTGGCATCCCAGCATTCTGGTTTCGCTGCGCAGGCAGTTCCCTTTGCTTGCAATTTGCAAGATCAATGATGAAGAGATCTACCGCCAGTGGTAGTAGGAGGGAGAGGAAACAGTGCAACTAAACCACATGGAGGCACCGGATCACTTTTGAGACGTCTCAAATGCAGGCAGTTCCCTTGGCAACTTACATGACCACTGACCAGTCGGCCTGCTGGTAGCGGCAGGAAGAGGAGCGGTCCCATCAGGGCACATCGCGCCACTGAGGTCCTGTGCTGCCTGTACATCTGGGACAGCTAATGATGCTGCTACTGACTGAGACAGTGTCTCAGCTGCTGCCTGCTGCTGCGGCTGCTGTCAAGCGCAGGGCTGGAGCTCGACCAGCTAAGTACAGTAAAGGAGAGGGCTGATATTAATGTATTGATGTTTTGTATTGATGCTAAGTATTAAGTTTTGTATTTATGCTATGTTCTGAAGCTGAGGTACCACCAAGCTCATGGAAAGGAACCTGGATACCGGTATAGAGCTCGCACAAGGGGCCTATGCACACCTCCGGATGTCAACGCAACGGCTCGTCATGTTAGGAGCGATTTTTCTCACGTCGAATGACGGTTAGGCGTCAGTACCGGAACGCGTGTTGTTCTTGCGACAGGCTTCAGCGACTGGCGACTTGAATGGTTACCACTAGCGTCTAGTTCCGCGAGAAAGTATTATTTCAACCCTGTCCTGGATGATCAAAAGTTTGTGAGTCGAGCGGCGCATGGGAGATTGTCTGAACGCGTCTCGTCGCAGATCTTGGCCTATGGCGGTCCCATCCCCGTTGCCCTGAGAGGCATGGCGGTATGGCGACGGCGTTCGCGGTGCGTGCCATTGCGGAGTCAACTGAGAACGAGAAAAT